AGTCATATCTGCGCATTTGAAAGGGCACTGCAAGGTAACAACGCACCTTCGTATCAATCGGAAGCCCTGGTTTCGAATACGGAGAAGAAGGACAAGAAGCTTAAATGCAACTACTGCCTAGGTATTGGTCACAGAGTACGCAACTGTCAAAAATGGATCCGTGACGGTAGACCTCCTAAGAGCCAAAATCCGACCCAGACAGCAACGCCTTCTACTTCAAAAACCGCTAACTTGTTACTCATGTCTTTAGAAGACAACGAAATCTTCACAGTTTCACGGGACAATGAGAGCTGGTACATTGATAATGGCGCAACAAGCCACGTCACCAACAGAGCTGACATTTTCCAAACATACGAACATTTCAATCAGAACTACACTGTTACAACGGCAGCTGGTAATAAAGTCCGTGCCAAAGGCAAAGGAACAGTACAGCTCAGAGGATATGTTAACGGGAAACAAATCGACATCAGCCTGCAAGACGTCTGGTACGTTCCGGCCATAAGCAAGAACCTCTTCTCCGTACTCGCACTTCACGACCGAGTCCCGAATAGCACCTTTTCATCCAGGACAACTGAATGCAACGTCATTGTCAACTGAAAAGTGTGCTTAATAGGGAAGAGACAAAAACAAGGTGGCTTATATCGACTGGAAGTAAAACACGTACTACCAGAAACACCACCCGAAGTATTTGCAACTACAGCAATGATGCAACTGTACCACGAGAGACTCGCTCACCAAAATAAAAGACACGTAAGAGCGACGATCCAACGGGAACTAGGTCTTAACCTGCCGATGGATAAAGAGACCTGTGAAGGCTGCATCTTTGGAAAGGCGCATCGACTTAAATTCGGTACAAGAACCCGAGCTACCGCGCCCGGAGAAATCGTACACGCTGACGTTTGTGGACCGTTTCAACCTAGCTTCTCAAACTATCAGTACTACGTTTTGTTTAAACACGACTTTACTGGCTACCGTATGGTGTACTTTATGCGCAAGAAGTCTGAGGTCAAAGACAAGTTAGTTTTGATGATCGCTCAAACTAAAACTGTCGGACACACCATAAAATGCCTTTTGAGTGACAACGGCGGCGAATTTGATAATGCTTCCATAAAAAGTGTTTTAGACACTCATGGAATAATACAGCGATTCGTCACCCCGTATACACCGGAACAAAACGGAGTAAGCGAAAGGGATAACAGAACCCTAGTTGAGACAGGCAGATCGATGATGTATGCTCATGAGCCATTACCACAAGTGCTTTGGGCAGAGCTCATTAATACCGCGGCATACATTCTGAACAGAACAGGCCCCACAAGTTCAGATAAGAAATCTCCGTATGAACTTTGGTATGGAAGGAAACCTATTATTAAACATCTCCGAATAATAGGCTCAACCGCATACGTCCATATCCCAAAGCAGAAGCGTAGAAAACTCGACAAAAAGGCGATAAAAGGTCGACTTATCGGGTACGATGAAGATTGTTACCGTATCTGGGTCACAGATGGAAAACACTCGACGATCGTCCGCTCTCGTGACGTAATCTTCGATGAGAAACCTCTTCCGATCTGTAATAGTGAAATTCCTAAAACAGAAGTTGAGACGAGAGAATACCCTATTTCCATAACGCCCAACTCGAACTTAGAAAGAGAGGTTGCAGCTCCAGAGCAAACTCACGTTCACGAGGGAGATACACCCGAACCAATCTCCAACGACCATGATCATGTTCTCGAGGGAGAAGAATCGGATCAAGTCCTCCACGAAGACCATGACCATGAAGAAGAAACCACAGTTCCAGAAGAATTTTACGACGCTGAACCACCGCCACCCGGCTATAATCTTAGAGATCGCTCACCGATTCGACGCCCTGAGAGACTAAGAGATTACGTCTGTATCACTGAAACATTCCCAAATAATTTCGCAGACGCTATGAAAAGGGACGATCGCGAAGAATGGCAAAGGGCAATGGATAGCGAATTGAAATCCTTCGAACACCAGAACGTTTGGACGCCGTGTGCACTGCCAAAAGGAAGAAAAGCACTTCCCTGCAAATGGGTTTTACGGATCAAACGAAATCCGGCACGATCGACAAATACAAGGCTCGACTTGTCGTAAAAGGGTACAGACAAAGGAAAGGAGTAGACTACGATCAGACCTTCAGTCCTGTGGCACGCCTGGATACTGTACGAGCATTACTCAGTGTTAGTGCGCAGGAAAACTTACACTTGGTCCAATTCGACATCTGCACAGCCTTTCTGAACGGAAAGCTCGAGGAAGAAATATTCGTTCAACCGCCAGAAGGGTGCATCCTCACGGAAGGAACGGCTACGTCTACCGTTTTCAAGCTTAACCGTAGCCTGTACGGACTTAAACAAGCACCAAGGTGCTGGAACTCTTGCTTTCAAGAGATCCTATTGGATATGACCTTCAAACAGTCCGAAGCTGATTGCTGCTTATATTCAAGAGAAGTAAACGGAAAGAAACTACTGATCACGTGTTGTACGTCGATGACGGATTAGTAGCTGCCACTGATGAAGACACAGCTAACGCCTTCTTAGAAGATTTGAAGAAGAAACTGCGCATAACGACGAAACCAGCGACATATTATCTTGGTCTTCAAATCCATCGAGGAAAGGATGGCACCATCTTCATCAACCAACAGGCATACGCGAAAATGGTATTAGACCGCTTTCAAATGAGTGACTGCAATCCCGTTTCAACACCGATTGAGAGAGAGACTCTTCAAGAAGGGAAAGAAGAAACGGAAGATTCTACGAATCGATGTACGACGAACTAATGTGGCTTGCTAGAATATACCAGGCATTGACAACAATTGCGGGCGTACCGGTCCTGCATGTGGACAATGAAGCTGCTGTTCGTCTTGCTCACAATCCCGAGTTTCACAAGAGAACGAAGCATATCCGGCTCAGACATTTCTACGTCAGAGAATTGGTAACTGAAGGTATCTGCAACGTTGTAAAGATCGGAACAAAGGATCAAGTTGCAGACATCCTCACCAAAGCACTACCTCGTCCGTCATATGCAGTTCTACGCCAGGCGCTAGGATTGTGTACTATGTAAATGTTTAGGGAAAGTGTTGGAGTTAATACATATAGAAACTCATTAACAAAAAAAATAAACATAGACATAGTGATAATAAGTGTCTTGACTTATGAAAAATAAATCGGACAGTTCGTGAAGTAAAACGAAAATAGGAAAAACTGTGATTTCGATAAAATTCTAAAAACATCCGCGTAATAAATTCTACATTATAAAAGTGTATTAGTATATTATTTCGTAACTGCCTGCGCTCTGCAATTTAAAGATCTCTGTAAGACCGAGAAAGACTCTGGTAAGATCTTTAAATCATATCACGTACCTATTCGGCCGGCGGGTTGTCGCGAGCGTATATACCGCCACCTTCGGACGAGGCGGCCACCCATACCTATCGGGTATGAAACGGGCCTCTGCCGTACATACCCGGTGTGCGGGCGGGTTGTCGCGAGCATATATACCGCCACCGTCGGACGAGGCGGCCATACCTATCGGGTATGGAACGGGCCTCTGCCGTACATACCCGGTGTGCGTACTGGTATCGCGTAGCCATATACGCCTCATCCCTAGGACAAATATTTGCGAGAGCTGGCAGCACTGCCACTGCTGTCACTTGAAAGCTTGACACTAGTCTGGCGAAACTAGGAACAAAAAACTTTTCTATGGACTTTACGCGGCAAATAATGGCGAATATTGCTATCACTCTCCCTCAATGCGGTTTCTCTTTCTTGCAATACAAGAAGTGTCATGTTGTTTGTCAAAACTTAATTTCGCATCGCGTATTTTCAATGTAAATGCTTATTTTATTGAAAATTTAAATTGTTTAGAGTAAACTTTCTCACGAAAAGTAGTGACAGGTGATCAGAGTTGTACTTTTAATTCAAAATGCCTAAAAGACGATTTACTACCTGCGAAATTGGTGAAAATCGAGCAAGTGATTCGAATCTTGAAAAAAGGATGTTTATGGCGAGATTTCCCTTAGATGAAGGCCATGTAAGCACTTAAATATGATACTTTGCAGCCATATGTAAGTAGAGCAGGCTAAGAACAAATAAAATTAACAAATTTATCTCATTTAAATTGTGTGCTAGTGATGGACTCCAACTGTAATATCCACATATCGATAACTACATTTATCATTGAAAAAAAAAAAATAAGAAATAAAATGTTGCGTGAAAGAGTAGGGGCACAAAGTTTTACATATTTGAATGGTGTGCCTACATAAATGAGCAAGGATCGGAATAGGTGAATTTTTCAGGATTTTGAAACACAATCTCTGTAATATTGATACGTCATATAATTAATTTCGTGCGCTGAGTATGCAAGAAAACTAAAATAATTTTTGGATTTTGATTCTATTTTTATGTTTCAATTATTTCCAGACTCGTGTACAACAGCTGTTGGCTGAAGAATCCATAAACAAATTTCATTTCAGTAATAAAATTTTATTTTAATTAACAGAAACCGTTTTTTATCTTATTTCGGGTCCGTATTCAAGTCCAATCTTCTACCAAATATCATTAACAATGGACATAAATACGGACTCGATACTTACCTACTAAAATTAATAAAAAAATATTAAATGGAAACCTCGGTTTCTACCTAGTATCTTTTATCGATATCGATAAGAAGCTAAGCTAGCTTCGTTAAGCACTATTTGGCTCGTTACGTTGGTACTCATGTTGTTTGACATCTTTGTGGTATGGTTGGTATTGGAGTGCCGCGTAAACTGATATTTTTATGGCTAGTATGGAAGTCCCGTCTCTTAAACTTAGTGATTACATTCTCTTTGCTTGACACTTCTGTTTTCTGAGTTCTGCTGTTACTCAAAATACTTCGGAACATAAATTAAGATTTAATATTTATTTAACGCAAACTTTCTAGATTTCATAATATATAAATTATTTTCTTACCATGCCCGGTAAACGAAATTCTTGTTGTGTTCTTGGATGTGGTCGTAAGTATACTCATTGGTTACCTTATCAAATTATTTAAGAAAAAAATGTTTTTATCTAACATTAATGCCGTGTTTTCTTAGTTATATGACATATTTTTTTATAATTTTAGGAACAAAACTTCTTCATAAATTTCCAAATCCAACAGAGGACTCGGAGCGTTTTAGAACATGGATTTTTAATATTGGGGGTGATTTGTTGGGGTTGCGTGATGATTATATTTACAAATCTCGACGTGTCTGTCATTTACATTTTGAAGAGAAATATAAATGCCGTTACAGTAGAGTTAGTAACATAGCTATTCCATATTTGAACATTCCTGGTGAGTGAAATGTTTCTATATTGTTATTTAATGAAACAGTTTAATTCTTTTTTAAATTATAGAACTGATTCAAACAATACACAAATCTCTGAATATGTATTTTTAGGGTCCCCTACCTTAAAAGATAAAAAAAGGATCCCTTATTACTACTCTCTCTTGTTCATCTGTTTGTCCGTGTGACACCGCTGATTTTCTCAAGAAGAGGCTGACCTAGCAAGATGAAATTTATACCGCATACTGAGGTCTGTAGTCTTTATTAACCGTATAGAAAATAAAGGTCCCAAGCTACAATATAAAAAGATATGGACAAATTTAGATTTACACGAAAAGTTTGAGTACCAAAATTTATCTTAGTTTTCATCTTTTTTATTTTTCGGAATTATCCCTTTACTTGTGCAGGTCTGGGTCAAACTAGATCAAACTCTATAGGTTTTGGGTTGAAAACCTATTTGGTAGTTCCCGTTGACCTAGAATCACTACAATTGGCCTAGGACTGTAGACCTCACTATCTGGTATAAGTTTCAACTTGCTAGATCCAAAGGTTCCTGAGAAAATCAGTGGTGATTATTTACCAATTTTGTTATGGCGGTATAATAGGTAGGTACAACACTACTTTTAATAACTCGGTAAATATTGATGTTTAAAGAATGTAAATGTTTTATACAATTTTAAAAAGTTATCATCTATATGTGTGTTCATTTATTGTCGCGGTGGTAACGACACACTGTATATGATACCTATTTAACAGGAAACTGGATTAACTTTGACGGTGGTAGGGCCACGCAGCAGCCTCAGCTGTTGTACGAATGTGTCACGACCTCACAGAAGGCCGGCGTATAGTGGAAGTATAATACTTTCGTATTTCGTCTGGTGAGTGAGGTGGCCGGAGCCCAATTTTCAAAAGGTTGTCAACGCATCTGCGGCCCTCGGGTGTAGCAGATGTCCATGCGTGGCGGTATTCACTTAACAAAAGGTGAACGGTCTGCTCACTTGGCAACTTTTCACATAAAAAAAAGAAATTAACTTTATGCATTATCATTAAAACTGCAGGATAAAAATTATATTTTAAAATTAATGTCATTTTAATTCTTACATAGGATTGAAAAGTCATGGAAGTTTAACAGGATCACAAGGTCAACAGGATTTGCAAAATAAACTTCCTAGATTATCAACCCCTTCGCCATTACAGGAACTCTATAACAATGTGACTGGATCAATGACAGGTTTGTTTTTGTGTAATATGTTATCATATTTTATACCTCACTAGTGGATCTGATAGTTTCGCTCAAACTATTGCGGTGGATGAAACTTTTGGAATATATGTATTTCCTGATATACATCTTCCCTTCTTCCTCAGAGTGTATTCCACCATTCCAATTGGAGGCGTATGCCCACCATTGGGCATACGCCTCCAATTTTCCTTGGTCTATTTTTTCTATAAGTAATTGAGATACTTCCTCAAGGGGTAAGGAACTGGGTCTCTCATGATTTGAATTCCAACCACCTAACTCGACTAATTGTGGCTTTTAGAAAATCAAAAACTCCTTTGTCAACTTGAATTATATTTCAAGTAAATGTTAATGAGGAAATAATAACAACACTGATTGTTATAGTTTTACATAGGAGTGGGTTCATACACATTTTTCAAAAGGAGCATTGAAGCAATTGCAAAATGTACTGCTAAGACTACATCTTCTACTGAACAACCCCGGTTTTGAACTATTAATAGGTTCTTTATCACTGTCATATTCTAATCACTCTGTATGTGTCACTCTCCTTCCACGGTGTGGATATTATTCATTTATTTATTTAAAAACTTTTTGCACATTTTATTTTTTTTATTTTTATTTAGAACTGGCCAGCACTTGACTGCCATCCCACCTGATGGTAAGTGGCGATGCAGCCTTTGATGGTAAGCGCGCTAGCTCAGCTACATACAACATACAATGGCGGACTCAACACCGTTAGGTGTTCTCTACCAGTCAACCGTGTTATTGTACCGTCTCATCTATGAATCAATAGAAATATTCTCTCGCGAGGTGTTTGGCGACTCGCGTGTTACATCCAGGGCCGGATTTAGGGGAGGGCAACCGGGGCCACAGCCCCGGAGCCTTGACAAAAGAGGGGCCCCCACAATGGAGATTAGTAAACAACTTTTAATGTTAGATAATTCTTGTTTCCGATTATATTTATATGTTTATTATAATTATTTATTGGCAGTCTCGACTGAAATAAATTGTTCATTTCATTTGGAAAATAATTTGGGGCCCCTTGGCCTCCACTCCTTTGCAGCCCCGCGGCCTCCAGACCTCTAATGGCCATGTGTGACCATGGGCGGCATACACCACCAGGTCGACTGCCTATTCAGCGACCCGGTTTGAAACAAGAAAACCCCTTCCAGGTTCGTCCGTCGAAAAGAAAGCCGAGGTCGTCAGCGAAGGTGACCTCTATGGAGAGTTGTCTGATGACGATGCACTGGACCAACCGGCCACGGACGCCGCGTCAGCTGACGGCACACAACCTGCCACGCCCTATGTGGAGCTTCTTCAAAACGACTCCACCGCGATCATCTTTCCGCTTGCCGAAGACTTTCTGACTCAAACCGCCGCCGTTCCCGTGTTCAGCAGTGTTACGGGTGATTGTTTATTTATTTATTTTTTATTTTTTTAATTCTTTATTTTTAAGGGACTTTTGCGTAATCTGCATATCAGCTCATCCTCTTTTTTTTTTAATGATACCTTAGCAACTGTACCACAGAGTCATAGTAGTTTCTTCGTAGCTACTAAACAGCTTTACCAATCAGAATGAATGATATTTATTTATCTATTTGGGAAACATACAGTATACACCATACTTATAACTGTTATAAATAACTTTTACAAACACCAATGTCGTTAGATTCGTCTTTATTGCGCAAGTGTCACTAGATACATGAATCACTACATAGTATAAAACAAGTCGCCTCGCTGTCGGTCTGTCCCTATGTATGCTTAGATCTGTAAAACTGCGCAACGGATCTTGATGCTTGTTTTTTTTACTAGATAGAGTGATTCAAGAGGGAGGTTTATATGAATAATACATTGCACCCGTACGAAGCCGGAGCAGGTCGCTAGTTAGGAATATAAAAGAAACAAGTAGGAGAATTTTGACGCCGAAATTTTTGTTTTGCCATTTCTTTCATACCACAAAGGGATTTTTAATCATTGACCGTTTGTCCTTCTTAAGAGATAGTGACCGAAGCAGTGCCAGCGATTTACCCGACGCCTACTGAGGCCCGACCCCCGCCGACTCTCGGCACAATTGACACGAAAACGGCGGCACAATTCCTAATGGAGTTCTCAGCCAGTTCTCAGATTAGCACGGCGGCTGGCCCCGAGTTTGGTAAGTTTATTTAATGTATGTATATATACATATAAATATTTATGTGAGAAAGTGGCAAACGTGTTGGAAATCCCCACCTGATAAGCGATAATCGCCGCCCGTTAAAAATTTTAATTGCAACACCCGTAGGAATGCAGACGCGTTTTAATTAACTAGCCCCCTTCGGCTACCTCACTCGCCGGACGAAACGCAGAAGTGCAACACTTCTACTTTACGCCGGTCTTCTGTGAGGTCGTGGTACTTACCCAGACGGACCTGCCCATCCGTGCAACAGCGAACACTATTGCCTGGCCCTACCACAGTAGAGATACCAATGCCTGAATGTCGCATCATTAAATAATATTAATTATTGTTCAGGTGGCGGTCCCAAAGGTTCCGATTCTGCACCCAATGGAGAAATGGAGCACGATTATTGTGCGAATGACGGGAGCAAAAGAAATGATTTTACAGAATGTAAGTTTTCGTATTTAGTAAAGTATATTATCTTCACTGCGGTAGAGCAATACACCTCGCGTGGGAGTGGGAGCTTCGGATACTGGTCCAAGATATCGGGCAGGGCTTTTCTTCACCAGAAATCTGCTTGGATGGCACCGGTCTCCTTCCGTGAAGCTGTTATGTTGGAATAGTATTGCTGGAAACGGTCAGCCTGTATGTAGTCTCGGGCCATAGAATAGGGCTTACACAGCCGTAGTAGTAGACTAAAAGGGGACAGGGATTGGCAGCAGAACGAAGTGGTCTCGAGCTGCTGCAAGATGGCGAGACAATCGGCGAAGGTCTATCCTTCTCCTATGCGTGCTCACGCCCAGTAGCGTGGAACACTGGTGCGTTCCGTAGGAGATCCCGGAGTCCACCCAAGCGTACAGAAGATGGCCACCGAGTTTTAATGGGTACGAACCCCACATAACCTTGTCATGTAAGACAGGGTATCTTTTGGAGATTTCCCCCCGATGCCAAAAACAGCTGGGCCGTGCAGCAGCTTCTAGTTGCACGAATGGCCAGGCTCGTCTGGGGAAGTATTACGGCCTCAAAGAAGACGTCCGTGAAGTCAAATTATATATTCAGTTTCGCATTGCGGCTGGTGAGTGATGTCACCGGGGCCAAATTTTTAATATTGGAAACGCATCAGCAACCCGATAGACGTCGATCGGCAGTGGTTAACACTTAACATTAGTTACCATCTGCTCGCTTGCCAGCTTTTAACGTGAAAAAAAAAACTAATCATCGATTCCAATTACAGTCAGACCCGAAATGGCGGCCTATTACTACAAACAGTGGATGCTCGTGAGGAAGAAACTGCGTGCCAAGAACCAACAACTGCGCCGGCTAAGGAAGAGAGTGGAAACTTTGGAAGGGCGCTCGAGAGAGGGTGCTGGAAAGACTTAGTGGGAAATATGTAATATATATCCAAAGATATTTCCTAAAAATGCAAATGCACGAAGCAATGACAACAGCTTTCCTGTCGAAGAGAATGAGTTGTCCCTCTCTGTATTCGAGGAGAGCCCGGAGAGCTACTGGCTGCTTTGTCGACTGATCATCTCAAATGATGGAACATTTGAACTCTAATGTCGTCCGCTAGCACATGAAACTTTTCTTCTTTTCAATTAAAGTTATTTTATTTTACATAACAGTGTACAGAACTTTTATTATTTATTTATTTTTATTTGAATTACCCCACTAAATTGTACTACCAGTAATGGTAGATTTGTTATTATAATTATTTATTGAACTTTTACAGCTAACCTTGTTTGATATATTTATGTGATATGAAGTTAGAAAGGCACGTTTCTTTTAATATCGTAGTAAACTCCCCACTGCCTAATTAAGAACTTTATTTTCAATAATACTGTCACACCATCTTATTTATGGAACTAGCGGGTCGAAGATAATTATAATTGGTTCAATAAAAAACTGATTGATACAGAAATATATTTTTTTTATTTTTATTGGATTTTTATTATTTCGTACCTTACACAAAATAATATTCATTCTGAACTGAAATAATTACAAACATCTCACAGGATATTCGAGGATACATTAATTTTATGAAAATTAGCATTCTAACTGCAAATTGTTGCAAACATGGAAACATTCAAGCACATTCAAGATAATATAAGAACTTATAATTATTAATAAAAACTAATAGAGAAAACTTGGAGTAAAATAATGAATGAAGAGTAGAATTTCGTTAATGAAAAAAAATATATTTTTCTCATTATTTAAATTAAAATAAATTATAGAATTTAATATATTTTTATTAATAACCTATCAAAATGAATAATACTGATTCAATTTATTTTTAATTACTTTAAACACAATAACATTCCATCTGAAGAAAGAACCGGAAGACGACCGTGACGGGATAAACATATCGACAAGGTAACAAAGTCAGACGATGAATCCAGTGACTATTCATATTATAAGCAGCAGACTATAAGCAGTTTGATTTAACTATAACAACGCATGTTCTGTTGTTTTATTCAACTCTATAGATTTCTAACATTCATAATAAGGTACATTGTCAACGAATTTCATATTTCTTAACGATAAAAAACAATGTAGATAAAAGACGTTAAGATTTTCGTTGGTGTGGCAATCAGCCGTTTAGCTTAGTGGCTTAGCGGCCTGACGCGAATGTGAAGACGTAGGTTCAATTCCCACAGCGGCGACAACCTTTTCGTACTTTTTCTATAAACTTTAATGTTGAATTTTAAGTTCAGTAATTAGCACTACAAAAAAAAATTATAAAACTAATCACTTATCACGTCAAACTCTCGTGTCACCCGCATCAAGTTAACATTTATAGATGTTACAAATTGGTAGCCTGGCTAGGTTTATAATAGTGTTTGAAGTTATTCTTATTATGGTGTGTTTGGAAAAAAATACGAGTGCAAATTACTATGCGCGCGCACACCGATAGCCAAAAAGCAACATTATAAGCACTGCTGGCAAAGCGGATGCATTTTTTTAGTTATTGAAGTTATACTTCTTTAGGCGCGTTAGGAAAAAATGATCAGGGCGAAATTTTAAGATGCGCGCGCATCACTGCCCGCTAAACCGTTTATTATAGATGGCAGCATATTCCTACAGTTCTCAATAAAGAATGTAGATGGCGTTTTCATAATTTTATACTTATATCCTTTTCCAGTCTTTTTATTACTTTATGCTATTAATCATTTGCATGCAATTGAAAACTATTTTTAGTGATGCCTAATAAGTATAACTTCTTACGCGCGTACATAAAGTACAAGCACCCATTTTTATATTTTGTTACAATAAAAGCGCCCGTGTACAATCATTGCGTGAGTAATTTTTTTTTAAATTTCTATTTATTGAAATTGAAATAACATTTATTTAGTACACATGTAACTATTAATTTCAATCTGGGTGCTCGAGTCTATATTGTGGAGCTACAGAAAAATTTCTGGCTGCAAGAGCCCACTACGGTTGCAGCACAGCCAAGTAAGATTTATCCCAAAGAAAGTTCTAAAGGAATTGTCGTTTACGTAGCATGTTAGAAAAAGTATTTTTAGGAAGGAGGGAGTGAAAAAAATAAAACAAAACACAACTTTGTGGCTATTTGAAACATGTTTAATTTAAAAAACCGCGAGTCAGTCTCACGCACATAGGGAAAACAGCAAAAAAAATCATGTCATAACTGTGGTAGGGCCACGCAGCAGCCTCGGCTGTCGCACGAATGAGCAGGCTCGTCCGGGTAAATACCACGACCTCACAGAAGACCGGCGTAAAGTGGAAGTATGGCAAATACTTTCGCGTTTCGTCTGGTGAGTGGGGTAGCCAGAGCACAATTTTCAAAGGGTTGTCAACTCATCCGTGACCCTCGGGTGCGGCATATGTCCATGAGCGGCTGTGTTCACTTAACAGCAGGTGAACCGTCGGCCCGCTTGGTAACTTTTCACATAAAAAAAAAACATTAGCTCCATAATACCTATGTTAAAATTCTATCTCCAGTAACCAAATCTGTTACTGACATGAAATTGGCAGAAATTCTTTTAAGCGAGGCCACTAATCAAAGAAGAAGAAGAACCAAATCTGTCTGTAGAAAGAATATAGGAACTGGCCGTATGGCAACCAACGGATGAAATCTGTCACTGACACGAGAACGTGTCAGTGACAGATTTCATCCGTTCTATATCAGGCGTCCCAACCGGCACTTGCACATCCGGCGGCGACTCTCCCCACTGGCTGCTGCACGCGATGTACCTGCCACCGCTTCGAATTCGATAATCGAGTTGAAATTGAATTGAATTTTAATATATTTATTAATATAATCATATTTACTGAAATGTAATACTTTATCCAGCTATACCCAGCCTGCGGCCCGTCAGACATTTGCGGCCAGATGGTGTTACTTTATTTTAAGATATTTCAAATTTCGGGCCCATAAAAAATTTTGAGAGCGCACTGAGCAGTGTGTTGTACTAAGTGTAAGTTCTTATTGTCACAATGTAAGTTATTATTATTGTTGTTCGAATTAGTCTCCGTTCCTCTGTATACAGGGCGGATGCAGGGCAAAAGAGTGGAGGCCCCCTTGGCCCCTAATTATTTTCCAAATAAAATTAACATATTTTCAGATTTTTTCAGTCCAGTTTTCCTATAAATAATTTATTGTGAAACCAAGTATAGATCCTTTTATCATTTAACAAACATAAATATAATCGGAAACGAGGATTATCTCAAATTAAAAGTTATTTACTAGAATTTATTTAATTTTTTTTTCTGACGCCTGAGTGAATGTGCAGGCCCCGGGGCTGTAGCCTTCCCCTAATTCCGGCCCTGTGTGGATGACTCATTATCACGACACCTACCATAGTCATTTAACAGTTAATTATTAGCATCAACTATTTCTGATATAGCATTGATATATATACTTATATACTGAAATTGTTTAACTCTTCAAATGTTTCAAGATGTCGCTCGATTTTAAAAATTTATGAAGTATCATGGGCACATATTTTTGAAGAACTGCAGATCTCCTACAAAATGTATGCAAACCGGAACTCTTTTATCATTGAAAGCAAAGTCGAGATGTGGATGTCGAAAAAATATCGATATTTGCAGGCGATATATTTGGATCAGATCAATCAATACAAAATATTGAATATCAAAAATCGTGACAAGAGCGATATTTTTCTAGTTCAAAGTCAAATATTTTATACTTCACATACCTTTTTTTATTTGGACATAGGGGTTTCTAGGACCTATAGGCCAACAGTGATTGATCCAGCAAAAAAAAAAAGGCTGAGGAAGAAGATTGTAGAACTTCTTACATGCGTACATTTTTTTTAAAAGGACTACATTTGAATAAACTAAACAAATATCACACACTGGTAGGTTAAAAATATATTTGTAATAAAAAATCTACTAATATTAGCAGTCGAAGTTGAATTAAATAATTCAAATAAATATGCTCCGTAAAATAAAATAATTTTAATTGAAAAAAAAAGAAAATTTGCAATTCGCTAACGAACAACATGACAGTTCAAATGCTTAGTCATCGAGCCCCCACGCAAATCAGGTGTTGTGGCACAGTGCCACAACTGTAAACATTTTGGCCACACGGCCAATAACTGCTTCGCTCACCAAAGGTGCGTCAAATGCACCGGTGACCACGGCACAATCCAGTGCACGAGGCCGAAAGATTGCGCAGATCCACCGGACTGCGTAAATTGCCACACTACCGGCCATCCGGCTAGTTATAGAGGCTGCGCTAAGGCCCCGAAAACTCCCGCGAGAAAATCTCCCGCGAAGTCTACGTTGCCTAAACCCGCGCCCGTTAAATACATTCCCGCGCCCGTACCCGTCATTAACGCCTGGGCGAAACCCCAGGTGGCCGCGCCGGTAATCGCGCCGGTAATCCCGGTCGCCTCACGACCGATCGCGCAACAGCTGCCCGCCTCTCAAACGGCGCCGCGGCCGCAGGTGCAGCCAATTCCGTCAGTTTTCGCGGAAAACAAGGACAACCCCTTCACGCAAATAGCTAACATCTGCAGCTTATTAGATAGAATTAATAGGCAGGAACTCGCCGTATTGTCCGCTAAAATAGCGGCCGCCACATCTGGCCACGAGGGTCTTAGGGCAATTAGCCACGCAGTATTAACAATAGTCCGCGCAATAAAACCGCGCTCCGCCGCGTCGTAAATTAGACCCATAAAAACACCTTAATGGGAAGTACAACCGCAGGTCAAAGGGATGAAATCGCGGAATTCCTTCGCGATTATAACGTAGATATTTTCCTAGTGCAAGAGACATTCTTGAAACCTAGCGTACGCGATCCCAGAATGGCAAATTACAATATTGTCCGCCACGACCGGTTAGCAAACCGTCTGGGAGGCACACTAATTTATTATAAACGGTCCTTGCACTGTTGCCCGCTCGACATTCCAGAGCTAAGTCAAATAGAGGCATCCGCGTGTAGGTTAGCGCTCACCGGCCACAGGCCGCTTGTACTAGTCTCAGCCTACCTCTCGGGGAATAGAACCCTCCTTCAAAGCGACCTAGATACGCTTCTTAACTTAGGCCCTTCCGTGATAATTGCAGGAGATCTAAACTGCAAACACGGCTCATGGGACACCAACAGCATCCCAAATAACAACGGAAAGCATCTCTTTAGCTTATCCGATTAACTAAATTTTAGTATAGTCGCTCCCGCGACTCCCACTAGGTATCCTACGGTGGACAACTTCCAGCACGCGTCACCGAGTGTCCTAGACATCATGTTATTCAGGGAGGTCTCGCTCGACATCGAGTCGATAGAGACAATCCATGAACTAGATTCAGATCACAGGCCCATCCTGTGTAAACTGGGCCAGAACGCCGGCGCGGTCCCTCCGACCAAATCCGTAGTGGACTGGCATCGTCTTGAGGTCAAACTCAAGGCCTTGGACCCCCAGGACTTAGTCGACCTACCCGAGACGATAGCTACGTTCGATGACGCAAATCGAGCGATAGCGAGTCTCCGAGAAACTATCACTTCCACAGTCGCAGACTCGGAACGGACGGTGAAACTGTCGGGCGACCGACGGTTTAACTTTCCGCCCGACCTGCGACTGCTAATTAGACAAAAAAATGCAGCCAAACGCGCCTTCGACCGATACCGATCGGAATCGAACCGAACCCTACTTCGACGCCTTCAGCTAGAAGTCAAAGATCGTGTATCGGAACACCGACACACAACGTGGGACACTCTCCTAGAGGACATCGAGCCATCACACACCGCCTACTGGCGGTTGGCCCGCAGTCTGAAAGCAGACCCCCGCGAATCTCTACCGCCGTTAGTTAGACCTAATAGCGCTTCAGTAGCCTTAGATGACTCCGAAAAAGCCGAATGCCTTGCGGACAACCTAGAGCAGCAATGTACGCCATCGCGCGAACACACCGATTCGGCCCACCTAACGGAGGTGGACCGCGTAATCGAGACTAGGGCTGCGCTTCCACCGGAAGGCGAACCTTTAAATTCAGTGACCCCCGAAGAGGTCCAAGATATTATTAAAAATTTAAAACCAAAATCCGCCCCGGGCCCAGATAATATAAGTAATAAGATTCTCAAAGCTCTCCCTGGGCCGCTTATCTGTTTACTGGCGACAATTTTCAATACCCTTCTCTCCAGTTGCTCCTTTCCGGACGACTGGAAGCAAGCCACGCTTATCGGCATTCGCAAGCCGAATAAACCAGCCAATAAGCCCTCCAGCTATCGTCCCATCAGCCTCCTCAGTTGTCTGGGGAAGCTCTACGAGCGGCTATTGTTAAACAAGCTCAAAGAGCACGTGTTTTCCAACGGCCTTCTGCCGACGGAACAATTCGGCTTTCGAGCTAGACACTCTTGTCCCGATCAGCTATACCGCCTAACGGAGCACATCCTAAAAGTCCTTAACCACCCCAAACACATTAGTACAGGGGCTCTATTCTTCGATGTCGCAATAGCATTCGACAAAGTCTGGCACAACGGCTTGCTTTACAAGCTGTACACACTCAAAGTGCCAGATAGGCTCGTACACACCATCCGGGCCTTTTTGTTGAACCGCTCTTTTCGATATCGAGTCGAGGGCACCCTCTCCACAAGCCGCCGCCTCACGGCCGGCGTACCACAAGGCTCCTGCCTCTCTCCTTTGCTATTTACGCTCTACACGAGCGACATACCTAGAGACCCCCACGTCAATCTCGCGCTTTTCGCGGATGACACGGCGCTCTTTTACTCAGATCGCAACCTCAGTCAATTAACAACTCTACTCCAAAGCTCCGCCGACCGCCTCGGCGATTGGTTCCGCAAATGGAAAATCGATATTAATCCCGAAAAGAGTGTGGCGATTCACTTCACACGAAGTACCTACCCGTCACATCTTTATAATGGCCCTCGCCAATGCAGAAAGTTGGGGCAAATATCCCTTTATGGCCAACCGCTCCCCTGGGAGAAAAAGGTCAAATACTTAGGAGTCACTTTCGACTCGCGTATGTCATTTACTACGCACATTAATAACGTTCGTAATAGAGCCGCGTTCGTCTCCGGCCGGCTACACAATTTAACTAATGCTAAAAGTAAAATGCCCTTAAGGCACAAATTATTATTATATAAGACCTGCGTACGACCTATTATGTCCTACGCATGCATGATCTTCGTCCACACGCACCCTACTCGCTTGTACAAGTTGCAAATAGTACAAATAAGTTTATCCGCCGCGCAACCGGTGCGCAGTGGTATCAGCGCAACGTCGACCTGCACAGCGATTGCAGACTCCCGACGATTCGCGCACATTTTAAAGAATTGACAAAACGGTTCTTCGATAGAGTCCAGCATCATCCCAACCCTCTGGTGGTAAGCGCAGCAAACTACCAACCGGACACAAACGCGAACATGAACAAGCGTCGCCCGCGAAACGTCCTCATCGACCCGGTCGACGAACAGGACTTAGATACGATGGACCCACCGCCGGGGGTCCCGCCGGACAACACTACACCCACAGTTAGTGCAACAACAATCACACTAGTTCGCCCTCGCTTCCGAGCACGGCGAGACCCACACAACGCGTACACAAGGTACACCCGCGTTCCGGGGCGGTTCTCACCGCTCCCAGCCACCGATTAGCTAAATGCACAGTCGACGGCCGTCAGGGTCTCGGTCCGAACCGGCGACCTCGACGGCCCTTAGATGACATACCATAGTAGTTAAACGCACGCATGAGCACATGCGCGACCCTACCCATAGCGGAGGGTCCAAACCCGTGGGTTCTGGCTAGCCCACCGGTTCTGCGTCCGATGAAGCTTTAATAGTCTCGGGACTGAAAGCAAAAACATCAGTTAATACAAGATACAAGTTCAAATGCTCCATCATTTGCGACGGTCAGTCGACAAAGCAGTCTGTAACATTCCGGGCTCTCCTTGAACACAATGATTCAACTCGTTCTCTTCGATAGAAAATCTGATGCCATTGCTTCGTGCACATTTGCGTTTTTAGGAAATATCTGTGCTGGAGCACTAATTTTCACACTTTTAAGTCTTTCCATTGCCCTCTCTTGAGCGCCCTTCCAAAGTTTCGACTCTTTTACGCAGCCGGCGCAGTTGTAGCCTCTGGCGACGCAGTAGCTGGCTCTGGTGATGCAGTTTCTTCCTCACGAGCAGCCACTGTTTGTGGTAACAGGCCACCATTTCGGGTCCGTCTGTCATTGAGGTTAATGATTAGGAATTTTTTATGTTAAAAGTTGGCAAGCGAACTGGTGGTTCCACTGATGTTAAGAGTTTACCGCTAACCCATCGACGTCTAAAACAGTGGGTCACTGTTACCTCACTCGCCAAACAAATGCAAGATTCCACTTTACACCTGTATTTTGTAGGGTCGTAATAATTCCCTGGTCGAGCCTGCCAATTTGTGCAAGTAGAAAGAGCTGCATGGCCCCAAAGCAGTGAAGATAATAAAGTAACATGATAACGTACATGCTTTAAAGTATCCTCTTTTTCTCCTGACATTCAAACAATAATCATGCTCCATTTCGGGTGCAGAAGAAACATCGGAACTGCCATCTGAAAAATAATAAATATTATTCAATGTCCCGACATTTAGTCCTCATTACTCCACAATGCACGAATCATAAAAAAAAAGCTCTTACCAAACTCGGGGCCACCCGATGGGCTAATCTGAGGACTGCCCGAAAATTCCATGAAAAACTGTGCCTCCGTTTTGTTCTCAATTGTGTTGAGAGACGGCGGGGGTAGGACCTCACTAGGCATCAGGTAATTCCCTGGGACAGGGTCAGTCACTATCTCTTAGGAAAGGACATACAAGTCAATAATTAAAGCAGAATCTAACAACATGTCATCATCAAGTTATACTTCTTTTGGCGTGTTTGTTTTAGTTATTTTTCTTTTATTACGCTAAAGAAATATAATTTATTACGTTCGTACACAATGTTCGTAATAATAAGTACACACACGTTTTTCTTGTTGAAATGGTACATTCAATATCAGCAAGAATTGAGTGTGAAATTTGAAGGACTCATTAAGACTAGGCTATGGAGATGGACCTGCCCATTGGTGCAACAGCCAACTGATGTGCCATTAGGAATTTTACCAAAAATTACCGTTTGTAATTATTTAATTAATATTACCTAAAATTTTATAAAAAAACCTTAATAACAAAAATAATACCATTTTTTATAATGTTTACGTTTATGTATTTCTTTTTTGTAAGAACATTAGCTAATTTCCATAAGATCTAGAGACAATGCATAAATAAAATACATAGTGAAATTCATCAGGTGTCATCAAATTGAGCAAGAAATGTTACTACATTGGAGAATTACCTGTAACAATACTGGATACTGGAACAGGAGTAGTTTGAGTTAGAAAGTCGTCGGTCAGTTGAAAGATAATCGTGGTAGTTTCATTGTGAACAATCTCCACTGAGGGTGTGGCAGGTTGTGTGTCATCAGCTGTCGCAGCATTCGTAGCCGGTTGGTTCAGTCCATCGTCATCGGATAACTCTTCTCCATAGAGAAGGTCACTTTCGCTGACGATCTCGGATTTCTTTATAACAGACGAACCTGGAACAGTTAACCAGTTTTCTTGTTTCAAACCTGGTAACTGAACAGGCAGTCGACCTGGTTGTATATGCCTCAGCCCAGGGTCGCACACATCAGTGATGCAACATGCGGGTTGCCAAACAACTCAACTATTGGTTCACAAATTAGACGGTTCTGATTCTATTTTTTTTGTATGTAATTAATAAAAAAGAAAAAACTCCTCCCGATAAAACTAAAAAAGAAACTCTTGGACATGTGCATTCTCCCCATCCTCACATATGGTGCACAAACATGGTCCTTGACAAAGTTGCAGAATTCCAGACTCGCGGTCCTCCAGCGGGCTATGGAGCGCAGTATGCTAGGTCTAAAGCTTACAGACCGCGTAAGAAATGAAACACTGCGCTCCCTTACTGGGCTGGTCATGTCTGCCGCATGCCCAACACCTTGGGCCAAAGCTACCGAATGGGTCCCACAAAATGTAAGACGGGCACGCGGCAGGCCCAGACGGAGATGACGCGACGAACTGGACGCATTTGTGAGGGATTGGTCCGGTATATCCCACGACAGGAAGAAGTGGCAGAATTGGAAGGAGGCCTTTGCCCAACAATGGGACACTAATGGCTGATAAAGTAATGTAAATGTAATTCATCTTCGATATACTTTTAAAAGAATTTAAATATCTATAATTTGTAGTGGCTACAGTGTAGCCGCTAGACCAAGTTATTTGAAAACAAAAACTAATAATTATTATATTATTTACCTTGGCTACTTCTGTACACATGTAAAGGAAATTCTTCGAATAGATCATCCGACAGGGGTTCCATTGTTAAACCCACTGAAGGTATTGCTTTTCTCTTTAAACGGGTCTTAGTTTTAGTGAAATCCCGTTTCTTTAAATGGTCCCCGCATATGTAACGTAAACCATGGAGCTTTTCAATGGGCAAGTGGACAAGGTCCTCTTTACCCACTACTTTGACCCACTGTTTACACCTGCAAAACGAGATAGAAAAGCTACTGATAAGAATTTTACCAAAATAAAGCTAATTGCTCTAAAATATGTTTACATGTTTCAATAACAAATAAAACGATATGTAATTTAAAAAAATTATAAGTGAAAGAAACGAGTATTAACACAGAGGAGACGAAAGCAATCATCGATGAAGACGAAGTGGTCAAAGGAATTAAAGAAATATAAACATCACCAACGAAGCTATAAAAACAGGATTCATGTCACAAGACACTAAGGACTGATTAGAAAACTATTTATTTGAAAAATTCCGTTTTGAATTCCGTTTTTTTATATACATTTGACTTGTATTAACAGTCTGACGACAAGTCCCAAACTGAGCAAGAAAAAACTGCAGAATAATAAAAATCTCCTCCCCTAACATAAATAATTGATTAACACAAAACATTAAATCCTCTTACAACAGGTTCATTGCTAATCTCAGATTAGACTAGACAACTAGACATACTCTTTTGATGTCAACTCTGATCTGTTTGGTCTAGATAGGTTTGAATTATTTTAAACTTGGAATGTCAGTTTTATTTTTTCAGATTGAATTGTGTCATATTTTATGATTCCGTGAAAATCGCTTGAAGAAGTAACATGTCTAGTTATCTAAAATAACTTTTGAATTTTATATAAATTTCCTATTGATATCGTTTCATCAAAAATAAATTCAAAATGTTTAAGTTAAAATAAATAGTTTTCTAATCAGTCCTGGTGTTAAAGAGGAAGAATGTTGTCATCAATACAATACTTTGATTGCAACGATTGTTTTGTATTGACGCAACGGAAGTGTGTGACAGATAGTTAAACCATTGCGAACTGAAGATATAAATCCTTCGTTGTATGGGAGCCCCACTAAAATATAATTTTATTCTGCTTTTTAGTTGTTATAGCGGCAACAGAAATACATCATTTGTGAAAATTTCAACTGTCTAATTATCACGGTTAATGAGATACGGCCTGGTGACAGACAGCGGAATCTTAGTAATAGGGTCCCGTTTCAACCCTTGGGTACGGAACTAAAAAAATTAAGGCTACTTGAGGAGTCACACCACTGTCATAATATATATTCATTTCGAGTGTTGCCAATTTGGCATATTTAAAGCTAGATTTTGTATATTTTTTAAATTTTACATTTCAAGTAATTATGTTATTTATTTCACTATACTTTTTTAATTTCAAAATCTGTAATTATGATGAAATTGGCAGACAAGTTATCAATAGGATTGTTGTAAAATTAAATCAAAAAAATTGAATTTTTAGTTTTCTAGAAAAATCATGCTTCATTTCACTTGGAGTCAAAACAGTCACATTGTATTATCCGACATTCATTAGAAAATTATTTTTCAAATAATGACGGATGCTACTTTTCGAATATGTTCTAGCGGCTTACCCATTGATATAAGAATATAAGTACTTATATTCTTATAATATATATACTTATATTCTTTTATCAATGGGCTTACCGAGTAATATATTTGGTGCGGATGTGTTATCACCTGTCAGTCATATATTTGATTAGGAACTAAATAGGTAGGTTGATGTAGTAGGTTAGGTAGGTAGGGTGTCTTAAAAAAAACACAGACTATATAGTAAAACAAGTCTTTATGCTCATTTTAATCACATAAGAAACGTTAAGCTTGAGTCAAGTAATTATATTACGTCTTTTGAAGCTATTGGGACCTGATTACTTAATCATTTATTCACAAAGATGTAGTATCACAATCTTATAAATATAAAGAGTAGTAACAACATTAATTAAAATGAACAAATTATTAAAAGTCGCAACTTCACATACATCTAAATGTAGTATAGTATTCAAATATGGTAAAAAAATAATTTTGTATTTTCTTCAAAAACGACATTATTTTACGATCATGACGAAATTAATTAGGATTAACTAGCCGTTGGAAAAATCTCTTTTCAAACGTTTAGCGATACTCTACTGTAGTTGTGGTCACTGAAGAAACGTCTTCGGTTGTAAAACTACCTTGGTTTTCATGTGTTCAGATATCAATTAGCTAACGAAAAACATGAGTTGAAATGTTCCATCATTTGATACGGTCAATCGACAAAGCAGTCTGCAGCAGTCTGCAGCACTCCGGGCTCTCCTTGAATACGATGATTCAACGTATCTTCTCAACGGATATTCTCTTCGATAGAAAAGCGGTTGCCGTTATTACGTGCGCATTTGCATTTATAGGAAATATCTTTGCCGGGCCACTCATTTTCATACTAAGTCTTTCCAGCGCCCTCTCTTGAGCGCCCTTCTAAAGTTTCGACTCTCTTCCGCAGCCGGCGCAGTTGTAGGCTCTGGTGATGCAGTTTCTTTCTCATGAGCGACCACTGTTTGTGGTAATAGGCCACCATTTCGGCTCCGTCTGTCATTGAGGTTAAGGATTAGACTTTTTTTATATGTTAAAAGTTGGCAAGCAAGCTGGTGGTTCCATTGATGTTAAGAGTTTACCATTACCCATGGACATCTACAATACCTGGGTTGCCAATGCATTTCCATTATTAAAAAGTGGGTCGCGTTTAACTCACTCGCCAGACGAAATGCGAAAGTGTAATACATAATTCTGTAAGACCGTAATACTTCCCCAAACGAGCCTGCCAATACGTGCAAGTAGAAACTGCTGCATGGCCCAACCGCAGTGAAGATAATACATGACAACGTACATGCTTTAAAGTGACGTCTTTTTCTCCTGACATTCACACAATAGTCATGCTCCATTTCGGGTGCAGAAGAAACATCGGAACTGCCACCTGAAAAATGATAAATGTTATTTAATGACCTGACATATATTCCTCAATACTCTACAATGCACTAATCATAAAAAAAACTGTTACCAAACTTGTGGCCACTCTGGTGGCTAATCTGAGGACTGCCAGAAAATTCCATGAAAAACTGTGCCGCCGTTTTTGTGTTCATTTTGTTGAGAGTCAGCGGGGGTCGGACCTCACAAGGCATCAGGTAATTCGCTGGGACAGGGTCAGTCACTATCTCTTAGGAAGGACAAACAAGTCAATAATTAAAGTACAATCTAACAACATATAATCAATCCAGGCTGTTTTTAATTTATAAGATATAGGTACTTCTTTGGACGCATTTTCTTTTTATTACGAAGTATAACTAAGGAAGTATAATTTCTTTCGTTCGTACATATACATATATGTGTATATACACAGACACACATTTCTTTTATTGAAATGGCATTTCAATACCGGGCGAGAATTAATTGTGAAATGAAGAACCCCTTAGTACTAGGCTACGAAAATGGACCTGCCTATTGTGCAACAGCCAAGACTTGCTTGTTCCCAGTAAACAACTAAAGTGCCATTATGGAATTTTACCTAACACAAAAATATTACCGTGTTTTATAACAAACCGGCCAAGAAACTCAAGAGTTGCTCTTTTTTTTAGAGTTTAAGCTAATTATTTTGATAGAGTATAAGCTAACTTCCATAAGACCTAGAGATAATGCATAAATAAAATACATACTGAAATTCATAAAGTGACATCAAATTAAGCGTGTTAAATGTTGCTATACAGTGTTTTGTTGTAATTACCTGTAACAATACTGGATACGGGAACAGGAGTTACATTAGTTTGGGTAAGAAACTTGTCAGTCAGTGGAAAGATGATTGTGGTAGTGTCATTTGCAACAATCTCCATGGAGGGCGTGGCTGGTTGGGTGTCATCCCCTGTCGCAGCGTTCGTTGCTGGTTGGTTCAGTCCATCGTCATCAGATAACTCATCTCCATAGAGAAGGTCACTTTCGGTGACGATCTCGGCTTTCTTTTTAACAGACGAACCTGGACAGGCATTTTTTTTATTTCCAAAATACATGATTTACCAAAAAAAAACCTCCAGGTACTTCTGATTAATATGGTAATGAAATTGAACCAATCACAGGTTCATTTATTTCATTCTAATAAATAATATAATATTTTACTTTGTGATAAACAAAAAAAATTACCTCATTTAAAATTGTTGTTAATTTATAGAAATGGAAGCAAGCAGATTTAATTAAAACATTGATAAATGGTCTATAGCAATTAGTATCTAATTTGTCTCAATCAATGATAATAACAAGAATTCATATATTAAAAATATAATTTTTCAAGAATACTCACAGCTTGAAAAACTAGATGCTTCACCAGATTTTAAATCAATCTCTGGATTATATTTATCTGAAAAATAAAGAACAGATTTTACTTATCACAGCAGTTAGGCTTGATATAACTAAAAATAACTATCTATCACAAAGTCTATGGTTTTAATCTAGTTCATAAAAACAATTGCAAGAAGTTCACTATCTTGACTTTCCCATAAAATTAACATTATAGAAGAAGTCAACACCATACCACATATTTATCCTTGCATCAAGAGAATATTTTGGAGCAATAACATCTTTCATACAGCTTTTCCTGTTCATAGTGCTTCCCACCAGAGTAAAGTAAAAGTGCTTATGCATTTACATTTTGTCTAGCATGTGAGGAAGCCTGAATCTATCTTTTAAATGTTGCCAATGCACTTGAGCAGTGGTTATGAATAAATACCAGATAAACCATCTGCCATGACGATTTTTTATGGCAGACGTGCCATAAAAAAGTAACTAATATCTCACCTCGTATATTTAATGTAGGAATTGCTATTTTTGAAATCCTCTCATAACGACACCAATATTTTTGCTCAAAGTGTGCGTGGCAAACACGGCGGTATTTAAAAATGTATTCATTTGTTAATCCCGCTAGTTCAGGTGCACAAATGTTAGATATCCACGTGTTAAAACGTTTAAGGTCCTTCGTTGGATTAGGAAAACAATGAAGAACGCGCCGGGATGCTGAAAAAAAAAAACATTAATTTCATTATTGTCTAATGTTAAAAAAAACACTTGTCTTGCTTGTGTGTAATTTATACGTAGTTTATTTTTCTTTGTAAGATACAAGATTTATCCATTCTCATTATGAGAAAAGATTTTTCAGATCTCTCAATCTTATTATTTCATCAATATGACCATGACAGGGAAATCGATGTTGCAGGGTTAGATATTAAAATGAGATACGTACTGCTCATCTCCAAACACCCAGGAACGCAACAAGTTTTATCAGAAGGCATATTAGAAGAGTATTTCTTGGAAAGAAAATTATGTTAATAACTAAAAACAAGCACACCGAGGTGCCGATGTAAAGAACTCAACGAACTTGAGTCAATAGATATCTCAATGAAACACACACTTTACCGCAAAACACTACCGGAGAAAACTATTCAACTCAACGAATTTAAAAGCAGAAAAATGTGGAATTATGGAACAACACAATTCATTTTCATCACAACGCGCAAGAAAAAATTGTAAGCAATAGGCATGGGCCAAAAATAGCGATAAATAAAAATATCGATATTTTTCTATACAAGTCGATACTTGTAATTGTGAAAATATCGATGATATATATCGATATATATATCATCGATATTTTTATCTCGATATTCGAAATTCATTTTAGTCTATCGGATTCATGTCAATTTCGAGATATTTTTAACGCCTCTAGTTTCGTGATCGTGTTTGCTATTATAAATACTCTATGCATGCTCCTCATACATGTTTAACTTTAAAACTTCATTTCATAAAAATTCAATTCATGTCTATTTTATTTTATTTATGTGAGGAAGTGGCAAACGAGCTGGTGGTTGACACCTGATGTTAAATGATAACCGCCTGCCCATGGACATTTGCAACACCCGTAGGGTTACATATGCGTTGCCACCTCATAATAACTTGGGCCCCGGCTACCTCACTCACTAGACGAAACGCAGAAGTGCAACACTTCAATCTTCACGAAAATATGTATAAACAATCATAATGTCCTTATGATGTCATTATAGACAAATTTGGTCTCCACGGGCTTTCTTGAAAAAAAAGTGCTGGCCGCTTTTCCCGCCACGGTTCCCTTAACGACATAATCCGTAGGGCTCTTATTTGCACCAATGTTCCATCTATTTAAGAGCCTTGTGGCATTTTTCGATACAGTCCAGGGGTCCATGCACAACAATTTTTTTTAAAGTTTATGTCCTAGGCTTAATGCGGCGGCTTGTGATAAGAGAGATTCAGCGAGGAAATTCCGCTAGCGTTTTTGTCACCATGCCGCTTGGATTAGGTTTAATAGATAACATGTAATTTTGGATATATTCAATCATTTAAATATTTGTGGCAAATTGATTATATTATTATTATTATTTTTTATTGTACACACAATTATAATACGGACAATCGGATCAAATGACAAAAACATGTACAAAGGCGAGCTTAACCCAAAAAAGAGTTCTCTTCCAGCAGACCCTTGAGAACACGAAGCCATAGTAATGTGTAATTAGATGAAGGCGTGTACATAATTAAAAATAGATAGTTTATCATATTAAAAAAATAATAAAAATCATGAGAAAAATGACAATATATTAATATTTTCACTCTATAATTATCGCTACTTTTTTAAAACGTCGATAAAATGTATATCGATACAATTTTTTTACTTGCCCATCCGTAAAACATACTAGGCATGGGAAAAAATATCGATAATTTTCATTACAATTATCGATATTTTTTATCCCGAAATATCGATATTTATTTTGAACTATCGCGTCAATTTCGTTTTTTTTTTTTGGTGAATTAAGCACAATTATTTATGTCATTTGAGTGCCTCAATTTCGGTATTTTAATGTCTTAGCTTTGTATATAATAACATTGTGACATGGGACATACTATTGCCACCTCCCTCAGTAAATAGTCTAGCAAATTAATGCTTAGTAAAACAAAGTGAATAATCTATACAGATAAATAAAATTGGAGTGTCTGTTTGTAATATTAAAATAACCGCTTTTTATTAAATGCACACGGTACATATACCAAAATAATATTTTTTACAATTTTTGTCTGTCTGTCTGTCTGTTTGTTCCGGCTAATCTCTGAAACGGCTGAACCGATTTGGACAGGACTTTCATTGGCAGATATGTATTAACTGATGTTTGTGCTTTCAGTCTCGAGACTAGCACAAACATCAGTTAATTAATATAAACATAATAAATTTTTATATGTCTTACTGCCCTGTGTTGCTGTGCCCGCGACTTCGTCCGCGTGAAATTTAAAATAAAAAAAGTTCTAAAATAAAAGTAGTCTAAGTTACTCCTTATTACATCAGCTATCTGCCAGTGAAAGTCCTGTCATTTATTATATTATATTTGTTTGTCACCAATAATAAAGATTTTCTTGAAATCTGCCAAATTCAGTCGATTTTTTGGAATCGTCAACTTAACCTGTCAGAGCTTAAAAGGTCCAAAATCTGCCCAAATTGTTGTTATCTGATTTTTTTTTATGTTTGTCACCTCAGAAGTTTCGACTGAGTGAACCGATTTTGAAGATTGTTTTTTTATTTGAAAGCTAGTGCTTCCCATATTAATTTTATTGGTATTTGATCTTGGGTTCCGGAGATACTAATGAAATAAATGAATCCAGAGGAAGATACCTGAAGTCGGTATTGTTTTTCGTTAATAAAAAAATGACTTATGTAATAGGTTATTGGGCTTCGACCCACTTCTTGGCTGTCTTTGAGAAAATTTGGCATAAAAATTGATAATACACAGATTGGAAGGCCTCCGGGATCTCCTACGGAACGCATCGGTGTCCCTCAGTACTGCGCGTGAGCACGCCTCGGAGAAGGATAAACCTTCCCCGATTCCCTCACCGTCTTGCAGCACGAGACCATTGCGGGCTGCTGCCAATCCATGTCCCCTTTTAGTCGCCTTTTACGGCAGGCAGGAGATACCTTAGCTCTATTCTATGAGCCCGAGACTACAAGGCTGATACACAGATTCCCTAGTGGACCTACTTTTTTTTTTTTTTTTTTATGCGAAAAGTTGTCAAACGAGCAGACGGTTCACCTGATGTTAAGTGAATACCGCCGCCCATGGACATCTGCCACACCCCAGGGTTACAGATGCGTTGACAACCTTTTTAAAATTGGGCTCCGGCTACCTCACTCACCAAACGAAACGCGAAAGTATGTGTCATACTTCCATTTTACGCTGGTCTTCTGTGAGGTCGTGGTACTTACCCGGACGGGTCTGCCCATTCGTGCAACAGCCGAGGCTGCTGCGTGGCCCAACCACAGTTAAAACAACTTGACAACTTTATGTTGTCTTATTTGTTCTAATTGGAATGAAATAATATAGGCATTATAAATATCTTTGGAAATAAGATGTATTATATATCTTTTAAGGCTCACTCAATCAAACTTTGCCGCGACCAACCATTGGGTAGCGATTGATAGTTTGGGAAATTCTGTCAAGAACGTCTAACACTTGATTTTTCAAATGTTGACGTTTCTGAGTGATTATTATTAGGTTTGGCTTTGGCGTTTATGGCAATTGGCAATATTAAAAACCAACTGTCGAGTGTCGGTTCTTGGCGACTTGTCGGCGTGAGAATTCGTATACAAAATTTGATCTATTTCCATTGGCAATTCAAAAGATTTTTACGAATTAAGTAGTATTTTTGCAATATTAAGTTTCGCTGTGTGTGAGTGCCAAATCAGTCTTAGTTTCCTTTCAAACGTTTAGTGTCTACTGGACAGTTTTTCCCCGTAATCCATAACATTTACCTAAACATGTGATGTAGTGGTTCGAATTCTGTTCGTGTTTATGAAAGTGACAGAGTAAAGTTACTTCTAGGCGGAACAATTATCACGGTAATACGATATGATCTTGTTTCTGTCACTAACTGTGTAGTTGATATAATTGTTTTTTTTCAGTTAAGATTGTAAATGTTTTTCTATTGAATTCTAAGAAATAGGTACGTTATTTCTTTCTTTCTTTCTTTTATAGAAGCCGAAATTACTTCACATTTTAAGAAAAAAGTTACTTTAAGTGTACTTACAATCATTTAGTTCCCTTTGTTTCGCACACACTTTTTGCTTTTCTGTTTTAGTATTAATTTTATGTGACAATTAATTTAAGCATAATATTTTAGACAGCAGGATAGTATTAGGGTATCTACTATTAGTTTCTTGAATGAAAACCAGGAAAGGTACAGAGACAAATGTATATACCAATAATTAAACCAAAGTATTATAAAAAATTGAGTTTGTGTAGCAGCTACAACTTGGTAGCAATTATATCTTCCATTCTTATACAACTTTTAATTTTATATATACATTAAAGAAAAGAAAACTTTTTCTCAACAGTGAAGGCTACGCATTTCAAATAGCCTGTGTTAACTATGTTGTAATGTATATTAATAGTAATTATTCTACTATTAATTCTATTGTCTTCATTATACCAAAGCTTTCAAATATGAATAATGTACATATATTCTTATTTTAGGCTATGGAAACATGCTGCTCAAGATTTACAGCAGCGGAAGGTGGGGCAAGGCTTTCTGCAGTAGCAAGCGTGAAGAATATTATAATCACCGAACATTGCTCCTTTGTAGCAACCAGGCTCCTGCACGAGGATGCATACAAGATCCGTGGGCAAGTTTTTTTTTTAAGTGTTGTGCCTATGCTATAGGGGTTAGGCCTTGGTGTTCAATTTTTAAGATTAATATAGCATGGCAGGTAGTTTTTTTTTCAAGTCATCTTTTTTTATACTATCATAATAGCAGATTTTAAAAAATATTTATAAATTACTCATTAATTAGTAGATAGTGTGAAAGAAATAAATGGGCTTGGCATATCCAACTAATGTTAAATCAATAAATATTCTGTACATACATAGTAACCCCTTGTCTCGGTAGGAACTGAATAAGAAGTCCATCCTGCTGGCAAGAACTCTGCAAAGGCTCTCATTTCCACATTTTGAATTATGAATATGAATTTATTGGAATGGTAAAGGTTGCAATGCACTTTATCCTAAAGGTGCTGCAAATATCCATGGGCGGTGATTATCATTTATTATCAAGTGAACCACTTGACACTTTCATAAAAAAAGTAAAATTTAACTGTGAAGTTTGCTAAGCTTATCCTCATGACTTCTAGTTTGTGTCAAAGCCAATATCTATTCCCGTCATGCCTTTATTTCAATATCACTCACTTTTCTGTACTTATTTTTTGCTTATGCCACATGTAGTACTTGGGGTATTTAAATTTTCGGTTCAATTACACATTGATATAATTTAACCTCCACTGTTGCAGGTTGCTGAGCGAAGGCCGAAAACGATCTGTTTACGTGACAAGGGCGTCTCGTGTAGCATATGTGGCTTATGAGCTGAACATTTTGACAGACCTTTCAGTAGCACAATCCATTAAGTATGAAGATGTTGAGGATTGGAAGGGCCAGTTGGAAAGTAAAGAAGTGAGTTTATAAACTTCACTGACCGGTTCTAAATATAATGAAAGTTGATCATGGCCCATGTTGGGGCTAGCGGCAGATGAGCAGATGCTTCATCTGATATCAAGACTACTGCCACCATGGGTTGTAACGACACGCTGTATACAGCGTGTCGTTACAACCGCGAAAATAAATGAACACCAATATAAAGGATAACCTTTTAAAATTGTATTAAACATTTACATTCTTTGAACATCAATGTTTACCGAGTTATTAGATTTTACTAAACAAACATTTTTAGGACACCCTTACATATAAAACTGTAACGTAAAGTTCAATTGTAAAGGTCACAAAGCATATGAATGGGATGAATGAATTTAAAAGAGATAAAACAAACTGTTAGAAGGAGAGACTTGTAATGCGACATTGTGGCAAAGAATGAAAAAGTCTCTCAATGTATGAATCAGTCAGTTTTAGTTGTATGTGATGTTAAAAATTTTGTTTCTTATGGATTTTTATCATTATGGATTTTTTTAACTTTTTATTTGGCAAGTAGTGTTAGACGTGTGTTCATTTACTGTCACGGTTGTAACGACACGCTGTATAGTACTCATGCATGTTACCCAGATGAATAAACAGCAGTGATTTCCATTTTTAAATGTATTTCCTACCCTCAGTACATCAACAATTTGATTTGTGATAATTTTCCGCTCACTTTACCAATAATTTCTTTGAGGCAGCCATTATTAACCCTATTCAAGTGTCCAAAGCACAAATGTGATAATATTTCAGTAAATATTTTCTTACAGAGTTGCGGTTAAAACGTTTCAATATCTGATTGGATATTCTCTCTGAGATCACTAATTATGATAGTAAGAAATAAAAGCCGCGATAGCTCAGTGTCTGCGTGCTTGCTTTTATTTCAATAGTCCACTAATTCTAATTCCTATATCATTAGTGAGCTACTGATATAAAAAAGTGATATTTGTACGGGGACATTTTTTGAGAAGTGCACAAATTTACACGGGAGGTTCAGTATAATAATAATAATAATATTAGGCGTAGGGAAGTGACGACCCCATCGCCCACCGGCGTAACAGTTTAAGTGACAGAACTGTTACGTCGGCGCAATTAGTCAGCGCCTTGCCAACAGGTGTTTGCACCGTGCCTAGGCAAAAGTGAGGGTGCATAGGCCCGTCGTGCGTTCGTTCGGCCACACTACCGAAAACGGTGCCGGTCTGGGGGCGTCTTCCGTTAAACGACGCCCTACTTAAAATGGATGATGGAAAATAGAAGAACGCGCATAGGGCCGCTGCCTGGGGGCCGCCAGGGCGCGTCTGGAGCTGGCGCTGGACGTGGCAGCATGCGGGACGCCAGCCGAGCGCGGGGTACTGCACGACCATCAAGCAGTACCTCGCATCCATCATCCCCACCAGTTGGCTTGGTGTCGGCAGGATCCTCTCGGATCCAGCAATCGGCACCCGCCGCTGGTGGAATACGCCGCTTGCGCTGGACGTCTATAATGAATCAGAACGCAATGCGGGCGTATTTTAGGGCGAAAGGGAGTGAAACTGGAGGGTTTGCGTATCGGGCAAGGATGCATCGCGTTTTTGCTGAGCTGGAGCCATCTTTAACCGTCACCGAGCAAAACCTAGCAGACAGAGTTCGGTACATCATGCGTTCAAAAGTATTTGATGATGCCGAGCTCGAACGACTTCGACGTGAGGCTGTTCCCTCATCGAATGAAAATGCAGTGGCTGGAAATGCGACTCCGCAAGCTGCGGATCCCGCAGGGTTACGAGCGGAAGCGGACGCCGCGTTTTACCCCCCGGCTCCTGTAGATTCGTGCGATGATGGAATAGTCGCCCAAGAAATAGAGCAGATGAGAAGCATATTGGAGGAGGCAATTCTGGAGGTGCGCGAAACACGTCTCGAGAATCGACCACGACTCCCCCGCATACCCCTAAGTAAGCGGAGTCGGTCTGTCGTGAGGTCTCTTAACCCGATGCTGGCAACCTATTTGGAAGCCAGCAGGGATCTTTGCGATACGGACTCAATTCTCTTTGGCGCTGCACTGGCAGTATGCCGAATCGTTGGAGCCAAACTTCCAAAGACTGGACGTGCTACTAAACCAGGTAGCACTATCCCAGCATGGAGAAGAAGAATTGAGGACCGTATCGCAAAGGTAAGGGCCATCATCGGCAGGCTGATAAGCTTCAGGTCGGGCAATAATAGGCCCAGAATTGTGCGCACCGTTAGGATGGCGTTCGCTGGGACCAACATCAACTTGTCCCAGCCGGATATTATGCAAAAACTAACGGAGCGCATAGATGACCTGAAGCAAAGGATCGCTGCTTGGGGGAAGCGGATTCGGCGATATACCGAGAGGACAGCGCGGTTTAGCCAGAATCGCCTCTTCCTGAGTGACCAAAAGAGGCTCTACAAATCTTTGGAGCGACCAATAAACTGTGGAACGGGCCAAGGACCGGACCAGGCCGACACTGTTGCCTTCTGGCGCAGCCTGTGGTCAGAGCCCGTAGACCACAGCGAGGGCCCTTGGACGCAATTCGTGGCGAGCCAATGTGCAGATATTACACCCATGGACCCCGTCGTCATAACACCCGACGACGTATTTGAGGCAGTCCGTAGAGCCCCGAACTGGAAAAGTCCGGGACTCGACGGGCTGCATCACTACTGGCTGAAGGGGTTCGTGGTGTGTCATGCTGTGCTCGCCCGACAGTTCCAAGAGGCTCTCGATCAGAGGTCGCTCCCGAGCCTCTTTACTACTGGGGTCACTCACTTGGTTCCGAAAGATCAGGTTACCACAGACCCGAGCAAGTACCGCCCCATTACGTGTCTACCGACCATCTATAAGACACTGACATCTGTTCTGAGCATGAGAATCACCCGACATATTAATATGAATCGGATTATGTCTCCTGCTCAGAATGGATGTCGGGGCGGCGGTCGTGGAACCAAGGAACCGCTTCTCATCGACGCGGTCATTGGCAAAATGGTTAAACGCAACCGTCGGAACTTCTCTGCCGCCTGGATAGACTACAAAAAGGCATTCGACTCTGTGCCCCATACATGGCTAAAGAGGGTCCTCGAACTGTACAAAGTAGACTGTACAGTAAGAGACTTCCTCGGGCACTGTATGGGGCAATGGAGTACGATCCTTTGTCATCTAGGCGAGCGGATGACGGCTGCGGAATACCGGATAAGGATACGACGGGGTATTTTCCAGGGCGACTGTTTGAGTCCAATATGGTTTTGCCTCTCCCTGAATCCTCTCAGCGTGTTACTGGGGGGCTCGGGGGGAGGATTTCAGCTTCGGAGAGGAGGGACAAAAGTGACCCACCTTTTCTACATGGATGACCTCAAATTATTCGCCTCCAATCGCTCCCATTTGATGGAATTGCTTAAAGTCACTTGTGATTTCAGCAATTCTATCAAAATGGAGCTCGGGACGGCTAAGTGTGCGGTCCTTCATGTCGAAAGGGGTAAGGTTACTAATACGGAGGGCATAGACTTATCTATGCCCGTTAACATAAGGACCCTCTCTGAGGCTGAAACATACCGATACCTGGGTATGTCACAAAACATGTGTATCGATGAGGCTGGCATGAAACAGTCAGTTCGTGACGTGTTTTTTGCACGCCTGACAAAGGTGTTTAATAGCCATTTGTCAGGCGGGAACAAGGCACGTGCTTTTAACGGCTGGGTCATGCCAGTCCTCATGTATACCTTTGGCATACTCAGGTGGACTCAAACTGAGCTCAACGCCCTGGACCGAAAAGTCCGCACAACTATGACGTCCCACAGAATGCATCATCCGAGATCGTCAGTGATGAGGCTGTACCTGCCGCGGAAGCATGGCGGGAGAGGCTTTTTAAGCGCCCTCACCATGCACAATCGCGAGGTGTGCAGCCTCCGTAACTACTTTCTGGCGAGATCGGATGAGTCAATCTACACGGACGTCATTAGTTGTGATAAAGGACATACCCCTCTATCCTTAGCCAACGAGCAATGGCAGGACCCGGGAGTACTGTGCGTTTCCGACCGAGAGGCTGTATGGAAGGAGAAAGAGCTCCACGGGAGGTTCTACAAGGCTCTACACGAGCCTTTCGTAGATACTGTTGCCTCCCTGAACTGGCTACGTTTCGGTGACCTCTTTGGGGAAACCGAAGGTTTTGTCTGTGCGATACAGGATCAGGTTATTAAGACGAACAACTATAGGAGATACATCCTAAAGGATGGCACCGTCGACATCTGTCGAGCTTGTCGCCATCCCGGGGAGTCGCTTCGGCATGTTATTTCCGGTTGTTCCATGCTTTCTAACTCTGAGTATCTGCATAGACACAACCTAGTAGCCAGAATCTTACACCAGGAGCTCGCTCTGAAATACGGCCTCGTGGTTCGAAAACTGCCGTACTACAAGTACTATCCGGAAGCCGTGCTCGAAAATGACCGCGCCAGGCTCTATTGGGACCGGCCCATCATCACGGACAGGACGATTGTTGCGAACAAACCTGATATCGTGGTGATGGACCGGGCACAGTCGCGGGTATTTTTGGTCGACATTACCATTCCATATGACGAAAACCTCGTGAAAGCCGAAACAGATAAGAAGACAAAGTATCTGGACCTGGCTCACGAGGTGACCGACATGTGGGGTGGTGTGCCGACTGAAATTACATCCGATAGTCGTTTCTGCCAATGGGTTAATCCCAGTCAGCCTCTCTAAACATCTGAGGCGACTGGGACTCCGGGACGGATCGCTCCAAGCTCAAATGCAGAAGGCGGTGCTCCTCGATACCGCCCGCATCGTCCGCCGGTTTCTCTCCCTTTCGCCCTAACCCTCGGCCGTTTGGTCTCCCCTGCCGAGGGCTTCCGTCTGGTTGGGTCCTATTTATATATGTATTATATAAAATATTTATATGTATATGTTTATTTTTATCCATAATATTTATTTTATATATGCAATATATATCTTTATTTTCATTTTTATTTATAAACTCAACCAGACGAGAAAACAAATAATAATAATAATTTTTTTAATAATAATAATAATAATAATAATAATAATAACAATAAGGAGGGCTCAGGGGGAGGATTTCAGCTTCGGAGAGGAGGGACAAAAGTGACCCATCTTTTCTACATGGATGACCTCAAATTATTCGCCTCCAATCGCTCCCATTTGATGGAATTGCTTAAAGTCACTTGTGATTTCAGCAATGCTATCAAAATGGAGCTTGGGACGGATAAGTGCGTGGTCCTCCATGTTGAAAGGGGTAAGGTCGCTAATACGGAGGGCATAGACTTATCTATGCCCGTTAACATAAGGACCCTCTCAGAGGCTGAAACATACCGATACCTGGGTATGTCACAAAACATGTGTATCGATGAGACTGGCATGAAACAGTCAGTCCGTGACGTGTTTTTTGCACGCCTGACAAAGGTATTTAACAGCCATTTGTCAGGCGTGAACAAGGCACGTGCTTTTAACGGCTGGGTCATGCCAGTCCTCATGTATACCTTTGGCATACTCAGGTGGACTCAAACTGAGCTCAACGCCCTGGACCGAAAAGTCCGCACAACTATGACGTCCCACAGAATGCATCATCCGAGATCGTCAGTGATGAGGCTGTACCTTCCGCGGAAGCATGGCGGGAGGGGCTTTTTAAGCGCCCTCACCATGCACAATCGCGAGGTGTGCAGCCTCCGTAACTACTTTCTGGCGAGATCGGATGAGTCAATCTACACGGACGTCATTAGTTGTGATAAAGGACTTACCCCTCTATCCTTAGCCAACGAGCAATGGCAGGACCCGGGAGTACTGAGAGTTTCCGACCGAGAGGCCGTATGGAAGGAGAAACAGCTCCACGGGAGGTTCTATAAGGCTCTACACGGGCCTTTCGTAGATACCGTTGCCTCTCTTAACTGGCTACGTTTCGGTGACCTCTTTGGGGAAACCGAAGGTTTTGTCTGTGCGATACAGGATCAGGTTATTAAGACGAACAACTATCGGAGATACATCCTAAGGGATGGCACCGTCGACATCTGTCGAGCTTGTCGCCATCCCGGGGAGTCGCTACGGCATGTTATCTCCGGTTGTTCCATGCTTTCTAACTCTGAGTATCTGCATAGACACAACCTAGTAGCCAGAATTCTACACCAGGAGCTCGCTCTGAAATACGGACTCGTGGAACGGAAACTGCCGTACTACAAGTACTCTCCGGAGGCCGTGCTCGAAAATGACCGCGCCAGGCTCTATTGGGACCGGCCCATCATCACGGACAGGACGATTGTCGCGAACAAACCTGACATCGTGGTGATGGACCGGGCACAGTCGCGGGTATTTTTGGTCGACATTACCATTCCATATGACGAGAACCTTGTGAAAGCCGAAACAGATAAGAAGACGAAGTATCTGGACCTGGCTCACGAGGTGACCGACATGTGGGGTGGTGTGCCGACCGAAATTATCCCAATAGTCGTGTCTGCGAATGGGTTAATCCCAGTCAGCCTCTCCGAACATCTGAGGCGACTGGGACTCCGGGACGGAACGCTCCAAGCTCAAATGCAGAAGGCGGTGCTCCTCGATACCGCCCGCATCGTCCGCCGGTTTCTCTCCCTCTCACCCTAACCCTCGGCCGTTTGGTCTCCCCTGCCGAGGGCTTCCGTCTGGTTGGGTCCTATTTATTTATATATTATATATAATATTTATATCTGTATATTTATTTTTATTCATAATATTTATTTTATAGATGCAATATATATTTATGTGTTTATTATTTATCCCCAAACCCAACCAGACGAGAAAACAAATAAATACCCCCATAATAATAATAAAATATCTTTATTCACATAGACGCTTGCGCGTTCTTATGAAACGTCAAAATTTTACAAGAAATTAAAACGTTCGTAAGTTACCACCGGTTCGGAAAGCAGTTTCTGTTCAAACTCAACAGTTGCTCTTTATTAAAAAATCAGTTTACAATATAATAGTACAGGTACAATAGTCTTGTTTTAGCCTACGTGAGTATCAACAGTATTAAGCCCACACATTGGCGTCGTCAAGACATTCGGCAATAGTATAATAGGCTTTAGCCATAAGTTTACTTTTAATTTTTTTAATTTTTTTTTTAAATTCATCAGTGATCAGTCTTTGTTTATGGACGCGAACAAAGGGTACGTGAGGGCGAGTAATCTAGGCCTTTCTGTCTCTCCGCATTCTTTGTACAGTTTCATAATCTGAAATTACGATATATCATATAGGTATTTATTTCATCAGTCTCTGCCTCTGTCATGTCTATTCATCAGTCTCTGTAGTATAATCGTTTATTGAAATAAAATACAAAGTTTTTTTTTTCCAAAACGAATTCCATTCTATTCCCTAAAAAATAGAACGTGTTGAAAATGCGGTAGTCATTCATAAATACCTAAATTTTACTGTGCACGAACTTGTGTGCGTGTTAGTTGTGAATGATCGCGCGCAAAATAAATGAGTTGCGTATAAATCACGCACTTTTTGGGATAAATTCAAATGAATGTAATTAATTATTTACGAGAGATTTTAAATATTTATCATTTTTGGTATAACATTATTTATGTCTAGAATTTAATAAAAAAAATATGGATACACTTAGAAAAGCCACCCTGTATATCACCTATATAATAGATTTGTATATATCTTTTCTTTTCAGTGATATATTAAGCTGAACTCTACAAGCAACCCCAAAGTCTATCGCCTCGCCCAAGTCCCGTCCTGCTTCCTCACCTCAGTGGCCACCACACTAAGGCGTTTTTAAATATGAACTTTCCCATTGGACAATCTGTCTAAATAACACTGAGATTACATTCTTTTCAGGTCATAGTGTGTACATCTGGTGTTCTTCGGCGTGTTTTGGAAGAGGAGCTATTAACTATACCCATTTTAAATGTTTTAATTATAGACAGTTGCCATTTAATATCCACCGATGGGGACCTGAAATATGTGAGTATTGTAAACAACTTTTCTATTTTGATATGTAAAGTTTCGTCTAGCTATAGTAAATAATAGTGTAAGGTGTGTATGGTGCTTAATGTCTTTTATTTCATTAGTTTGTATTCAGTTGATTCTGCATATTAAGTTATTATATTGTATTATTATAAAAATATTTTTTTCTACTTTATGATTAGATACTTCCAAAAAGGTGTAGTAAACAGACAGAGAGACAGATAGACCCTTATTCAACCGGGCATTTATAACAATTGCAAATAAAACAAATGTAAATAATTTACCCTGAAGTTGATTAGGTACACAAATAGTTGTACCGGATGCGAATTAAACCCATGATTCGCAACGCCGAAATCATAAAACCTAAATAAGGAATGAGAGGTTAAAAACACACCTGTGTAGTAGGAACACTTCATATAATCTGGGTAGTTAGGAATCTGTATCCAAATATATTAAAAGATCACTAAGTGTTTTACATTGCCTAGCCTCTACGGTCAGTCATCGAGGGGTTAACAAAATTGACATAACGATTTGATTTGGTTACCCCCTTGTCTAATAAATACCTATATGATACATCGTAATTTCAGATTATGAAACTCTACAAAGAATGCGGAGAGACAGATAGGCCCAGATTACTCGCCCTCACGTACCCTCTGTTCGCGTCCATAAACAAAGACGAGGAACGTATCGAGGATACGGACGAAATATCCGATAGGAGAGAAGATAACAAGTCTGATGTAGGTAGCGATGAAACAGATATAGCAACGAGTAGTCAATCTAATGTAGACAATCCCAGTGATGAATTAGACAAATTAGACAAGGCTGTTATTGATGATGAGAAAAAAGAGAGTACTGAAGAATCCAGTGTTGCTTTCAGCAAAATAGACAATACCAGAGATGATACTGACGGTAATGACGCAGTCGAGAAAAGTATTTCGGATAATGTGGGTTTGCAATGTAAAAATTCTGAGGACATTATTGATTTGAATAGTTACAATCAGAACGTGTCTAAGAACAGGGGATATGGCATGGGCGTGTACAGGAACGTAGACGATTTCGAGATGTACGAAAAGTTGGGCTGGAAGATTGAAGAGCTGGAGAGGGATCTGTGTTGTGATATTGACTTGGCCGAGGATATAGATGGCGCGAAGAGGTAAGTTGTTTTTTTTTTTATGTGTGAAAAGTTGGCCAGTGCGCAGGCGAATCACCCCATGTTAAGTAATTACGGCCGCCCATGGACAGTCTACGACACTTGCGCTTACGTTGCCAACTCTTTGAGTGGTCGTATAATAGTAGAACTTCACGCCCGTCCTCTCTATGGGCGTGACACTTCTCAAACGAGCTCTAGATTAATGTCATCCAATTAATATATGTAGTTAAATTTAATTTGGCTGCCTATCATCTAAGGCAAGGATGAGCTCATCCTTTTGAAAGGTTTACGTCGGAGGCCTAAGACCGCGGCTGGTGACGAGGGTGCTGGTTTTTTCTCGCTCAAAGGTTAAGCTAAATTAAGTTTAGTTATGTAAAATTTTTCAGCGCTTTATTGATTGTGTTTAAAAATCTTTAAGCAGTAGGCACCATGAGCGAAAACCAAGAAATACCTTAAGGCCTTTTTTCTGGGCTTCATTGAGATGTCGCATCCCATTAATATCCTGTCAGTATTATACACTCGTCGCTCTTTTCCAGATTATCGGGAACAGTGAGTAAGCCAAAGGAAGTTATAATAGAATACGGAAAACAGATACGTAGAAAGTTTACCAGAGTTGTACAGAGAGCTGGACCAGTACATGCGGACCACAATACAGGATGCCTTGGATTTTATGAATGAACATCGGTTAGTAAACTTTTACTATAAGAATTAGGCACAAAGTTTCCCTGGCTGTGGTATCATCTATGGGGTATATAGTTACTGGCAATTACATTGTGATTGCACGATCAATAAAGCTACTCCAACTGGTTTTAATGATTAGGTTTTTGGCAAATTAGCAAATAGTTGATACAGCAAATGTTATATATAAATTAATAATATATACCTTATAAATTATTTGAGGGATCTATTCACATTTCTCATACGTAGCGAAGATACATATAAAATTTCTTCAAAATCGGTCAAGCCGTTTCTGAGGAGGATAAACACTAAAATATACTGAAGATATATACTAAAGATATGTCCATGACAAAATTGTCGCGGAATAGCTAGTTTGTAATAACCACGAAACAACCCAAGCTTATTTTTCCTTGCTAACATGCCTATGTGAGAAAATCTGACCCTTATTGTTAATTTAATAAAATCAACCAAATATGTATTTGAAATTGACTATTAACTTTTAAACTAAGCAATGTATAGGAATGAGTGCTAAGTGCATTTGCAATTATATCGTCATGTGAATTTAATCTTACCACGTACGGTGGTAGGGCCACGCAGCAGCCTCGGCTGTTGCACGAATGGGCAGGTCCGTCCGGGTAAGTACCACGACCTCACAGAACACCGGCGTAAAGGTAAAGTGGAAGTATGACAAATACTTTCGCGTTTCGTCTGGTGAGTGAGGTAGCCGGAGCCCAATTTTCAAAAGGTTTCTGTAAATCTCGGGCGTAGCAGATGCCCATGGGCGGCGGTATTCACTTACCATCAGGCGATACGTCTGCTCGTTTGGCAACTTTTCACATAAAAAAAAAGTTATTTCTCACACTGAACCAATTGAGTTTTTCCCTTTTTTGTTCCTCTTGTTACAGATATGATCCATCAGAGATCTATGGGGAAGATTTATATGAGGAGTTCGTGAACATACCGGACCCAACAAAGGAGCCCAAGGAACTGTTTAGTCAGTTCTTGTACATTTTGGACGAATTAGGTAAGATTTTTTACCAGTAAATAACTCTTATCCATTAATAATTATCTATTTAAAAACTCGAGGGGATAGTTTTATAAAAAAAAAATCAGTTGATCTTCAAAATATTCTGCCGCTGCCAACATTATCAAGTGTTAACCGAGAAATCAATTGGTTAGCGTTCCTTATTAAATTGTAGATCAAATGAAAAATTCCAAACCAAATTCCAGATCCTTTCGCATTAAACATTGATGTTTTCTGAAGAAAAATTATCTATTCACAAATAGCAATAAAAAAGTTATATCTGTTCTGTATGTGTGAATGATTCTTCTATTGAGCCACCGAAGTAAAAATTATCCAATTATCAGGTCCCTATGCTGCCGACAAAGCGGCCTTCGCGCTGCTCGCCAAACTGGAGAAGCTCAAGATAAAGGTTCCCTACGAGAGACACTTCCTTCTCCTATGCATGTGCACCTCGCTGCTGGTCAAGATAAGGGGCTACGCAGACTACGTGTTCTCCAAATGCTCCAGCGACTGGGAGAAGATAGAGGCCTTCTGCACGCCGAAGGTGCTACGCTTCGCCGAGATACTGGAGAGGTTTCGGCCGCCGGAGACCGAAAGGGCAGAAGCTGTGGAAACCGCGGGAGCAGAAACCGAGAGGACAGTTACTGAGAGGGGAGAGACGAGGAGGGCACAAACGTTAGAGACGGCGGATAGAGTAGAGAGGGCGGACATCGAAGCGGATATAGCAGAAAATATAGAGACAGCAGAAAGATTAGAGGTAAATACAGAGAGTGCAGTTGCAAATAACCAAGAGACCGAAAATATAGAAAACGAGAGGGGAGAATCATTAGGGAAAATGGAAAGAATAGAGAGGCCAGAGATCGACATTGCAGCAACTGATAGAGGAGAGATAGAGAAGGCAGAAAAAGAGGAGGTGGCAGAGAACGAGAGGCCTGTGACCCAGAAGGCAGAAACAACAGAAGGAGACAAGCCAGAAAAAGTACATGTGGTGGGAAATGTAGTGTGCGTAGAAACCGACAAGGCTGAAACTTTGGAGGGAATAAAAGGAGAGCAGAATACTGCTGTGAGGATTAAACGTTTGTTGGACACCATCGAGGATTGCGACTTTACAACGCTCGGCGACCGGATCGAGGATCGCGTGAATACATACGCGGCGAACCTGAAGGAGCTCGAAGATGCGCCGGAGCAAGACGGCGATAGCGGCGCGAGCGAGAGGGACTCATCTAAGCAGTGTACAAGCGAAAGCGACGATCTCAAGGGGAGCGTCAAGGAGCTCGGGGAGGCGCCGGAGCGGGACGGCGATATCTGCGCGAGCGGGAGGGAGTCGGGCCCCGTCAAGTTCGGCGCGCGCAGACGTGAGCTCAAGTGCGATGACCTTAAGGGTGTCGCCAGACGGCAGAGGACCCGCGGTCGGACAAGGGCCAGCCGCGGCCAGGCGAGGGTGCAGCAAGCGCAATTGAGCCCGGACGCTCTCTGCGGCATCATGTTCGTTAGGGAGCCCCTAATGGCGAAAATCCTGTTCATGCTGATCGTGGTGAGTGCCTTTATGGCCTTTATGGCATTTTGTTCGGATGCATATAAACCTTCCTCTTGCTAGGGCAAAGGCAGTTTTATTATAAAGACAGCGGGACACTATGTAGTGATTAGGGTCTATAAAAATCTTCAGTATATCTTGACCATTATAACTCAGGGACCAGAGAACGACCCTATAATAAATGCCTGCATTACTCTTACAGTTTCTCTAGATGATCAGGCGGAACGCTAGGTTGTATGCCTATTTCTCCAATAAAAATATACATGAAAATTTTGGTTCCTTTATAAGAGAGAGAGACATGATAGAGAAAAGGAGGACTTTAGCAAAAAACAAAAGACATTAAAGCAGATGCCAATTCTTCTTCAAAATAGTTACATTAAATTTTCGCTGTTGCGCGAATGGGCAATTCCGCCCGGGGAAGTATCACGACATCACAGATGAGCGGAGTGAGGTGGAAGTGTTACACTTCTGCGTTTCGTTCGGTGAGTGAGGTAGCCGGGGCCTACTTTATTATAAGGCGGCAACGCATCTGCAACCCTACAAGTGTTGCCAATGTCCATGGGCGGCGGTTGTCGCTTATCATCAGGTGAACCGTCAGATCGTTTTTTGTTTTTTTTTTTTAAAACATTGCCCTTACTTTAGGATAACTTTATCCTGTGTTGTAAGGCCGTTTTACAAACGTAAATTTCACACGGACAAACACTGATATGCGAAACAACTATCCGTGGGTCGCACAAATAGTTGTCCCGTGTGGGAATCGAATCCACGACCCCAGACACCGAAGCCGATACCTTGGCCACTGCGCTACGGAGTCATCAGACAGTTCCAGAACCTTCTCGTGTGGTTTCACTGTTCGCGGTTCCCCAGGACATGTCAAGGAGTAGACCGGGCCTGGGCTACGTGTGCGCCCAGTACTGCGCGGCGGAGGCGACCAGCGCCGGTGCCAACGAGATACAGGAGTGCCAGCGTCAGAACAAGAAGCAGGAGGACGTGCTCAAGAAGTGAGTGGGATCATGAATGAATGAACGAATGAGTGAATGATTGAATGATTGAATGAATAATCAGGAAAAAAGCGCAAGTCTCATCTAGTTCAATGTGGCGATGATTCGGTGGTACAGTTGCCATTGGATTCGGCGCTGGGGATCGTGGGTTCGATTCCCACACTTAGAGCTTAGCGTAGATTGCGTTAATTGTTACTGAAACGTAAAAGATTTGTTATTGTGGTGTTTATGAAAGGTTTCTAAGGTCATAGAATTCACATTAAACATGTTCTTGCAGAGGCAGCGGATATAGGACTAGTATTTTTGCTTTAGTTAGAATCACTGATGACATTCCGCTGGGTATGGATAATCAACAAGTTATAGTCTTGACATTGCTGGACTTCAGTAATGCCTTCAATACTGTAGACTTTGATGTTCTGCTCGCTGTCTTCAGTTCTTTTAACATATCTCCTGCGGTAATTGGTTGGTTTCGTAGTTACTTGCATGGACGCCGGCAGCGTGTAAAAATGCAAGATACATTTTCTGACTGGTCTGCAGTCAAGGCTGGCGTCCCGCAAGGTGGCGTGTTGTCTCCTCTATTATTCTCTACTTTCATCAATTCGATCTGTTCCCGTATTACTTCTCTCTACCACCTATATGCAGACGATTTACAAATCTACTCTCGATGTAAGATTGCAAAATTACCCAATACAATTGGCTTAATTAATGAGAATCTTACCCGCATTTCTCATTGGTGTAACTCGTTTGGGCTTAAAGTTAATCCATCGAAGACCAAAGCTATTATTGCTGGGAGTACTAAATTAATTTCTCGTTTAACATTATCACATTTACCGCCAATCACATTCGAAGGAACAGTTATTCCATACAGTGATAAAGTTAAAAATTTGGGCATCATATTTGATCAAACGTTATCCTGGACGCCGCAAATTAGTGAACTAAGCAGAAAGATGTTTGCTGCAGTTGGCTCACTCCGAAGATTGCGCAATGTCTTCCCCGTCTCTACTAAAGTTGCTCTGTCTCAGTCTCTTTTTCTACCGATCCTTGACTACGCGGACACTTGCTATCCGGATCTATCCGAGGAGCAACTTAATAAACTTGAGCGGCTTCAAAATTACTGCATAAGGTTCATATTTGGGTTGCGAAAGTATGACCATATCTCCGAATTCCGCCATAAGCTGAAGCGGCTCCCGATTCGTCTTCGCAGGAATACTCATATCCTTCATCTTCTTTACTGCATTCTGTTCAATCCCACCACTCCTCATTATTTAAAAGATCAATTTATATATCTAAATGATTGACACTCTTTTTCTCTACGTTCTCAAAATAATTTTCTACTAAGTACTCCTAGTTACTCCTCTTCCTTCTATGCTAATTCTTTTACGGTTTCTGCTATACGTCTTTGGAATTCTCTTCCTTTAGATATTAAACTATCTAAATCTCTTCACATTTTTAAAACTAAATTAAAATGTCATTACCTATCCTCTGAATATACTATCTGTCCATCATATATCTTTTTTTTCTGTCTATATGTATATATATATATATATTTTTTGTGTATTTACTATTCTTATTATTTGTTTAGTACACCCTACCGCTTTCTTCTTTTAATGAATCCTCTGCCCTAAGGTTGCCTGGAAGAGATCGCTGTTTTAGCGATAAGGCCGCCTGTTGTACCCATGTGTCTTTAGTTATAAATCCTTTATTTCTACTGGTGTACAATAAAGTATATTTTACTTACTTTACTTTATTTTTTGTCAAAATTTGCCTGAGAACTCGAAGTAATAATTTGAATTTGATATAACAAACATTTACTTCTAAATGAAATGGAAGCAAAGATTAAGTAATTAAAAATAATAATCTCATTCAAACCAAAAAGTATTTAAGGGGTTATTTGGCGTGACTATATTGGTGCTTATTTTGGATGTAGGTCTGCAAACTAAAAGTGGAAATTATGTCAGAGTAGTTGAAGCTGACAATTGGTAAATTTAACTTGGACCGTTTTAACTTTCAACTGTGGCCAATATTTTTAAAACTGTTGTAATCTGTGTTTTCTCTTACAGGTTCCGAATGCACGAATGCAACCTTCTTCTCGCAACCTCCGTGCTGGAGGAGGGCATTGACCTGCCCCGTTGCAATTTGGTGATTAGATGGGATCTCCCCCCTTCGTAAGTAGAATTATCGTAATTCGTTCAGAATGTATTATCTAACCATATCATCATCATCACATCAGCCGTAGGACGTCCACTGCTGAACGTAGGCCTCCCCCATTGACTTCCACTTCGACCGGTCGTTAGTCTAACCATATATTTTCATTAATTTATTACCACACCTTTCATTAGGAATATCTACTGTGTGTTGATTATTTCTCCTAGTTTTAAATACAGGGTGGCTTTGCTAGATGCCCAAATTCTCACCAACGGTTCAGACTCGGTAGTATAATCGTTTATTGAAATAAAAACAAACTTTTTTTTTTTTTTTCAAATAATTTCCATTCCATTCCCTAAAAAACAGAACTTTTGACAATGCGGTAGTCATTCATAAATGCGTCGTATACTTTTGAAACGAACATGTGTGCGTGTTAGTTATGAATGATCGCGCGTAAAATAAATGAGTTGTCCATGAATCACGCACTTTTTGAGATAAGTTCAAATGACTGGATTTAATTAATTTCGAGTGATTTTAAATATATATTATTTTTATATAACATTATTTATGTCTAGAATTTAATAAACAAAATGGATACACTTAGAAAAACCTCCCTGTAATTGGAGTTATATGGAGGGTCGGAGTGAAAAGTGATTTTAACGATTATGATATAACGATCCGTTATATTAAAATCTGAGTAGATGACTCCGTGGCGCAGTTGCCAAGGTATGGGCTTCGGCGTCAGGGGTCGTGGGTTCGATTCCCACACGGGACAACTATTTGTGTGACCCACAAATATTTTTTTCACACCTGGGTGTTTGTCCATGTGGAGTTTATGTTTATAAAACGTCCTTCTAAAAATATGCTAATATTGTGTAAGCGTTAACAACATTGTGTTACAACCAATGCCCTCACGGCGGTGAAATCTCGACGTCTGTCCATTTTTTGGCACTTTTAACCATGCTTGGCCCGATAGAAAAGACGTTAAGATTTTCGTCGGTGTAACAATCGATTCTCACAGCGGCGACAAACTTTTCGTACTTTTTTCTAAATGTTTTGATGTTTAATCTTAAGTGCAGAAATTAGCATTTTAAAAAAAATATTTTAATACTTTTACATTTCGTTCGGTAACCGAGTTAACCGTCTCAGTTCCTTCACTCACTTCTATGAGGATGCAGGACACGTCTGCAACTCGACTCAAGAATCAATTGGTAAAAAGATAATGTTTCTGGTTTACGTCATGTACTGCTTCTCTCAAAGAAAACTTTTCTCGTTTACGTCAGGTACCGCACTCAAAAAAAAATCTGCTTTCCGTCAGGTACCGTTCGCACGCGCTGTGCAGGAGCAGGGCTAGGGCGCCCCGCGCTGCCCTCACCCTCATGGCGGAGTCTCCGTCATGCAGCCGAATGCTTCTGCACCATCTCGCTATCTACCGAGAGCTGGACCAGGTAACGCGATATGTCCTCGCGTCTTCGATTTGATCAAGGACACGCGCTATGGGAGAATCGAATCCCGCACAAGACAGATTTTTTTTAAAGATTTGTGGTCACAGTATCACATACCGGCTATGGAAGAGAACAATCGACACCAAAGTGCAATAATCGAATACATATTATTATCAGCGAATCACACGGTTGCGTAACTGTACTTCCAGTTTACTCATTTACAATTATTGTCAAAAGTAAAAGTTGTGAGTTATCAGGAAAAAAAAATCCTCTGAGAATTTGAAAATCACAAACTGATTGGTTCATATCTCTGGACTACAAATCTGCCTACTCAACTTTGCTGGCTACTGGGATCACCTTTGTTCACATATCCCATATACATCCACCAAACTTAATACTTACTACAAAATAAAGGGGTTGAACTAATTATCAAATCTTATAACACTTTTTCTCCTGAAAGTTTAGGTTATAAAATAAATTTCATCCTCATCACCATAAGCCGCAAGACGCCCACTGATGAACATAGGCCTCCCCCTTAGAACACCACAATGAACGACATTTTCCCATTTGTATCCAAGAGTCCAACTGCAGGGAGGCCCTCCAACGCTACGCCTTCCGGTTCGTGATCGCAACTCGAGATCCTTAATAAAATAGTACATACAGCTAATAACTGATGTTCTTGAGTGATAATATCAATGATATTACCTATAATGCTTTCATTTCAGATCATCACAAGGAAATGCGGCTGCGGTATTCAGGATGAGCCACCGCCCGAAGAGGAGATTCACGCTGACGATTTGACACCAGTCATCAAGGCCTACTGCCCAACTAGTGTCAGACTAGCGGAGCTTGCTGACTCCAGTCTCAAGCGAGCGGACCTGATCAAGCTGTCGAGGAAGCAACTGGAACAACTGCTGAGGGCCCTGAGCAAACGGAGGAACAACAGAAATCCGTACTGCAACTCACCATCAGAAGTATTACCTATTTATAACAATGAGAAGATGACTGAAATATGCGGAGAAGCAATGGCTATGAACACCGATAACATGAGTGAAATAGCAAACAGTAAAGAAGTGACAGAAGAGATAGGATCCAAAGAAGAGTCTCACCGCATCAGCATCCTCAACTTCCCCAAAGTTGAGGATGCTGATGCGAAAATAGTTGATGATTTGTCGATTATGAACAACACCATATTGCAGTTGATAGGTCAGTTTGAAGATGTTAGTATAGAATCTGGTGACAGTGTAGATATTAGGAATGCAGACAGTGGAAGGGATTGTGATAGAAATGATGGCCTTAGTAAATTGGAAGCTAGTGTAAATCAGTGTTTCGAGAGCCTTAGACTGAACAAGGAATTAAATGGTTTTGACAGTAGAAAGGAGGGCTGTGTTAGGAAGAGTGACAGTGACACCCTCGCCAGTGTGGATCTCAGCACAGCTATAGCCCTTATTAATCGGTGAGTTTAATATTATAGTCAATCATTGCCAGAAATGCTCAGTCATATCAACTACAAATACTGAAAACATAATAAAGCTCAATGTAAAATGTAATTAACTATTGTAATTAACAACACTATGACTCTCGCCTGTAAGCCATCAGTTTTGTAATGATTTATTTTAATTGATTTTTATTCGCAAATTCTCGCAGGCTTATTATTTGAATACTATAATTAAAAATAATAACAAAGGAAAGATAAAATAACCGCCGACTAACATTATTTTTCAGTGCGCACATTGCATAACATCATTACTAACAACATTCTCCAGATATTGTATTTGTAGAAATTATTGCTTCACTCTTGTTTAGTTTCTAAATATTTTTCCTCCACTAAGATTTCGAAAACTGCATGGGGCACAAAATATAATATTTTCAGACAAGAATTGGATATTTTTTTTCTCTACTCTCATGTAGATTGGTTTGCTTGGTATATTTTAGTTATTTCCACAGTATAATGTCTTATGCCATTCTACTTTGTGGTAACGCGGCCGACATAAATACAATCTTCATCCTCCGAAGGAGAGCTAATCGAGCAGATTATAACCCATAAAATCACTAAGAAATTTGTTTAAAGAATGTCCATAAAAGTTAGAATGAATTTTCATGACATAGTGCATGATCTAAATATTAGGAATCCTATTCACAACCAGACTGTGTAGAATAAGTAAATCTTTATGGGATTTTTTTATGGGACAATATATAAGTTTCTACAACAAAATCCCAAAAAAAAAAAACTACTAGTACAGTTATGAACCTGTCTCATTGGAGATATGAACTAAGTCCTACCTACCTCCAGTGTAATGGACAGGAAAGCTTGGTGCATCCTCAGGTACTGCGGCAAGTTGCCTTCGGACACCTTCACACGGCTGGCTCCGCAGTGGTGGATGGAAGAGGTGGAGCTACCAGACCGGCATGGGAACATGAGGCAGGCATACATCTGCACCCTTCGACTGCCTCTCAACTGCCCTGTTAAATACAACATTGTGGTGAGTCTATGTTAATCTAAATTGTTAAAAACTAGCTGATACCCGCGACCCCGTCTGCGTCGTTTATCCTTACTATCCTCACTAATATTACAAACGCGAAAGTTTGTATGTATGGATGGATGTTTGTTACTCTTTCACACAAATACTACTGAATGGATTTTAATGAAACTACAATAATATAGCTTATACATCAGAATAAGACATAGGCTATAATTTATATACATATTTTCATGTATATCCGTCTTTCTGTCTGAATGTTACGCGTTCAGCCTATTCTACGCAGACGTAGTCGCGGGCAGTAGCTAGTTATGTTAATATAATACCAACATGGCTTGCCCCACTTCGCTCTGTTAAGGCTGTTGATGCTACCGACTGCTACTGTGTTTGTATTAACCATGTATCTGTTGTGACCTTCAGGGTCATCCGATGCCGACCAGGGTGCTGGCGAGGAGGATGGTCGCACTGCAGGCATGCAGGATCCTCCACAAATCTGGCGAGTTGGACAACCAGCTGATGCCCATAGGTATGTGTGCCTCAGAGTTTGTCTAGTGTTTCAGATCAATTAAATAAAAATGGGAGATAAAATAAACCTGAAACCCTGCAAAAAGAATTCTGGAAAATATACGATCGAATTGAGAATATATAAGTTCATATTTTCTAGTCCATTGAACAGATAATACCTACTTTTATATTTAAAAAAAATCGCCAGCAGGGTATTGGTAAAACAAACCGTTAAGCTTGTCCAGCCCAATGAGGCAGGACGATAATGATGTTCTGTTATTTAGCCCATTACAATCCGCAGGCAAGGAGAACTTCAAGGCTGCGGAGTTGGACACCGTAGGGGGCGTTGGCGGCTCGGGGGGCGTCGGCGGGTCTGGGGGCGGTGGCGGTTGGGGGGCGTCGGCGGGTCTGGGGGCGTGGGGGCCGCGGGGGGCGTGGGGGGCAGCGGGATCGACGCGGGGGACGCCGGCGACTCGGCGCGCCCCGGGACCACCAAGCGGCGCCAGTATTACTACAAACGGGTACGCGGTGTTTGTCCACGTGAAGTTTATGTATGTAAAACCTCCTTGCAACACGGGATAACGTTGTCCTACAACAGTAAGGGGCCAACGTTTTCGAAGGGAAGAATACAATAGATCTTCTAGTAACCTTAGTAAGACTAACCCACCCCTTTCCGCACAAAATACAAATACACGGGACACCGTGTATTATATAGACATATATTTTAATCCTAACTCCCCACCTTAATTAATCACCTAATCTTAATTTCGGATCTGCGTCCTTCGCAATACTCTTCCGAGGTTCAAATCCTCGCAGCAGCGACAAACGATTCGTCCGTTGTTCTACGAATTTTAAATTTAACCTTAAGTGCATTAAGAGTATTTCCTCAACAGCACTACAAAAAAAAAATATCATTAGAAATTGTGTATCTCTATATTTATATTTAGAATTTACAGATATTGTGCATAAATGGCGCATGCATGTTTGAATGTGCGTTTTGACTTTGGTGTCGGTGGCGACCTGCAATCGTCAAATGTCCCCGAACCCGGGACTGGACGTCACGCGCTGTGCCAGTACCACTTGATGTTGCGAACTCTTCAGCAACTCCTTCCGCAGACAGCGTGGGCCTTCACCGATTGCCAGCCGGTGGTGGACGCGACCGACGCGGACCTGGAGGCGCCGCTCTCGCTGAGGCTATGGGAGGAGAGCAGGCGAGACCTGACACCAGGTAAGGGGAAGTTACAAAGCCTTTGAATGTGCTGGGGCCACGCAACAGTTCAATGGGCAGGCCCGTCCGGGTCAGTACCGCGACCTCACAGAAGACCGGCTTGAAGTGAGTGAGGTAGCCGGGGCCCACTTTATTAAAATGTGGCAACGCGTCTGCAATCCTGCGGGAGTTGCAAATGTCAATGGGCTGCGGTTATCACTTAGCATCAGGTGAACCCCCATCACGTTTGTCACCTTCTCACACAAAAAAATTACAAGCCTATGTAGGTTCCACTGCTGGGCGAACGCCTCTATACAGAGGGTCCAATATTGTGATTGACTTTAGACCATCTTTCACGTGAGCGATTTGAAATTTAAAACATAGCTAAGTATCGCATGACTGTGAAGATAAGGGGGCTCTCCATTATTCGTAAATCTTAGCTACTTGCTATTAGTTACTTGTTATTGTTCCAAACATAGGTACTAAAAATCCACAAATACTTTACGGTTTTATTTAAATCTCCATGAGTAGTTCAATTTTATGCTTTTCGGTGGCAAATGTTGTATGTAAAATAAAATTTATATTTATATATAATGAAAGACGGCAATGTATATTGAAACGACTTAAATTTATTGTATACGGGAATGTTGCATCACTACTAGCTACTTATTTATTGTGACGCGAACAACTCCAATTTGTCACTTCCATTGCGGGCACTACGTTGGCGACCTCTGACTTATAAGGCTTTACGAGGGCGTGCTATACACTTCGACAGCTAGTCACGACCCGATTGGCGTATTGGATAGTGTGCCTGCCTCTGCCAGAGGGTGTGGTTTCGATCCCCAGTAGTGGGGATCCAACTGGTAAATAACATACGCATAATATGTATTTATTTACAAATAAAAGTATGTTTAAGTATGTTAATGTTTAAGTATGTTGATGACTCCGTGGTGGAGTTGCAAGGTATTGGCTTCGGCGTCGGGGGTCGTGGGTTCTTTTCCCACACGGGACAACTGTTTGTGCGACCCACAGATAGTTGTTTAGCATCTGGGTGTTTGTCCACGTGAAATTTATGTTTATCTGAAAACGTCCTTACAACACAGGGTAATGTTATCCTAAAGTAAGGGCAATGGTTTTTTTTTAAAAAAAAAATCAGTTATCTAGTACCCATAGTACAAGCGTTGCTTAGTTTGGGACTAGGGAACGTTGTGTAAAAATGTATCCCAAAATATCACTATTAATATTTTCATCAGGCACGAAACGGAACACCCTGTACGCGATCGAGTCCCGGCTGTGGTGCGCCCTCCCCGAGCGGTACAACACGCGGGGCAGGCGGCTGCACGCGCCGCAGCACGCCAGCCAGGCCATCGGCATACTCATGGCGCGCCACCGCCCCGACAAGTCAGTCGGACTACCTAACCTTTCCCCCGTCTCCCCCTCCCCATGTATAATCTCCCCCCCTTAAACCCATTGCCCCTATCTCCCCCTAAATCCCATAACCCCCATCTCGCCCTTACCTATCTCCCTCTCCTCATCTACCGCTCCCCTGCCTCCCCATCTCAATGACCGAAACCTGATCACATAGCCAGAACTGCTCGTCCCCTTTTGTATTTTTTAAAATCATGATGTTTCCTACACCGCCAGGCGACAAGTGAACTTCATAAATCAGCACTTAAAAATTATGAAATTCATTGGTGCCTGACCAATTTCTGAATTATTTGAAGTCACTCAAGTATGCTGATGTAACTCTATACGTATATTATGATAGTATGCTATTGGAATTTCGACTATGTGTCGTGGGTTCGATTCCCACACCCGACCACTACTTGTGGGGCTCACTGATAATCGTTCGGGATCGGGGTTTTATGTACGTCCTTATAACGCAGGATCCTGTTGTTCTACAGTAAGGGTGTTAATAAAAATATTAAATACATACAGTGCTAATCTTAGCACTTAAGATGAAACACTAAAGTTTTTTGATAAAAAGGAAGAAAAGTGTATCTCCGCTGCGGGAATCGAGTCCATGTCTTCCGGATTCGCGACCACACGCTTTAACCACTGAGGCAAACGGCCGATAGCCGTTTAACTCAGTGATAATAAAAAACGTTACTTAAAATAGCGGTCCCGGGGGCTTTGAAGACCACGCCCCCGGGACCGCCATTGTCGGTTTGGGGACCTGTGACCCCAAACAACATAATTCCACACCTACCAATCATTTGTAAAAATTACGCACACACACACACACACACAAACAGGCGTTAAATGCAATTGTTATGTTTATTAATAATGTGTTATTTTCAAATTATATGTATATGTTATTATTGTTGTTAAAGCGGTCATCTATCAATCTCTCCAGGTTCCACTGAAAACTGGCAATCGCAAAATTTTTTCGCGATCTAACGCTTAGTAGTGGTGCACCTTTTTGGTGCATTGATTTCTAAATTTCACTTGTTATTTTATTTGTTTTGTTTGTTATATCACTACATAGTATAAAACAAAGTCGTCCCGCTGTCTGTCTGCCCCTATGTATGCATCAAGATCCGTTGCGTAGTTTTAATGATCTAAGCATACATAGGGACAGACAATAACGGAACGATTTTGTTTTATACTATGCAGTGGCATTGCACCCGTGCGAAGCCGTTGCGGGTCGCTAGTACCAAATAAATATTTCCTTCTTTCTTATTTTCTTTCAACTGCGCAACCCGCCCGCGATACTAGGCTTCAGATCCCGGCGTTCCCCGTGTACACACGTTCGGGCGAAGTGCGGGTCTCCGTCGAGCTGGCTGCAGAGGCGGACACGCGCCTTTCGCCGCGACGCGCCCGTTTAGTGCGCAGGTACGTGTTGAAAGGTCATCCGAAGGTCATACAAACATTGTTATAGCATTGCGATATGTCCGTAGGCAAACAAAGGTCATCCGAAGGTCATACAAACATTGTTATACATTGTTATACCATTGCGGTATGTCCGTACGCGTTCAAAGGTCATTCGAAGGTCGTACAAACATGTTATACCATTGCGGAATATGTCCACGCCAATGTGTGGAGTTAACACTGTCGATACTCACGTAGGCCAAAATAAGAATTATTATTATTATTTCTTTTTATGTGTAACTCGACGTTAAGTGATAATCGCCGCCCAGGGACATTTGCAAACCCCCGTAAGTTGCAGATGCGTTGCCATCTTTTAGTAAAGTTGTCCCCGGTTAACACTCACTTACCAGACGAATCGCAGAAGTATATGTAACGCCTCCACTTCAAGCCGGTCTTCCGTGAGGTCGTGGTACTTACCCGGACGGGCCTGCCCATTCGTGCTACAGCGAACACTGTATGCGTGGCGTTGGCACATTTAAAATTTATTTTCACATGGCAGGTTCATGCGTTTCGTGTTCGCGGACGTCCTGCGGGTGAGGAGGCGCGGCATGAAGTTGCAGAGCGACGGCTCCGCCCACAACAACTACTACGTCGTGCCTACTATAAAAGGTGCGTGGCAGCGGCGTAGCGCGGAGAGATGTAGAGCATCGTAGTGGAAGCGTAGAGGTCACTTAATAGGATTTCCGTAGCGCGAGCGTGATGGCCGCGTAGAATGTGCGTAGCGGTGAGTGTAGATGGGTAATTAGTTAGCGTAGCGGCAGAGTAGAATTCGCATACTGAGATGTGCGTACTACTAGCTTAGAGGCGTAGCGTAAGCTGTAGGCTATGAAGGGGCATAGAGTCAGTAGGCGCGTAGAGGTTAGTGAAATTGAGTGTTGCATGTTTGGAGATTGATATTATCTATATGATATGATTGTCGTAGCGTAGGCTGCTCGTAGACAGAACGTAGAGTATTCGTAGATGATGCGCTCGGTAAAGGTTTCCTACTTTTACCGAACGCACCATCTACGAATACTCCAAATACAATTTGCATGCTGTTGTTTTTCGAAATCATTATGTCCTCCTTATTCAATAACTTGCTAGTAAGGATGTAGTTGTATTAGGACTCAGTTACTATATTTAGTACATTTGAGTTCCTCTGCTATGCTCCTCTCTATTGGACTTCAAGATGGAAATTACTCAATCGATGTATTCACGCCGGCGTGCGGGGCTTGTTCAAAGGCAAGATACCTGATCACTCCACACACCTCTGCGTGAATCAATGATTGTTTGTGTGTATGGTATTCTTTTGATAACTTCTCTTATTAATGTGCTTAAGTGAATTAAATCTTTTCAGTGGTAAAAGAGGACGGCACGTCTAAAGTGGACGTGGACTGGGCCTTCCTCGAGCTGATCTACAAGCACACAGAAGAGAAGAAGAACCTGGAGGTGGAGCGGCCGAACCTCTTCCAGCAGGAGGACGAGGAGGAGGACGACGAGGGGGGCGGAGAGGAGAGGCAGAGGGCGCGGGAGAAGGAAGAGAAGTCGAAGAAGATGGAGAACCCGCTGCTGAAGCCGGGGGAGACGTTTGTGTTCGACGCGGAGAAGTACAACGACGCGGTCGTGACCCCCTGGTACAGGAATCGCGACCAGCCGCAGGTGAATAGGAAGAGAGAGAGAGTAAGAGATAGAGAGAGATAGAGATAGAGAGAGATAGAGATAGAGAGAGAGAGAAAAATAGAGATAGAGAGAGATAGAGATAGAGAGAGAGAGAAAAATAGAGATAGAAAGAAAAATAGAGATAGAGAGAGATAGAGGAATTATTAAACTAATAGAAGATCCACCTAAGTTCGCTCATCTCATCATTCATCATCATTTCAGCCTGTTTGAGTCCACTGCTGAACATAGGCCTCCCCCATAGACTGCCATGAAGTACGATCCTGAGCCACCTGCATCCATCGACTTCCCGCACATTTGCACAGGTCGTCACTCCATCTAGTGGGGGGTCGTCCCACTGCGATGGCCAGTACGAGGCTGCCACTCGAGAACCTTTCTTCCCCAACGGTTATCGGTTCTACGAGCTATATGGCCGGCCCATCGCCACTTAACCTTGCTAATCCTCTGAGCTATGTCGGTCACCTTAGTTCTACTGCGGATGTCTTCGTTACGAACTCTATCACGCAGAGAAATACCGAGCATAGCCCGCTCCATAGCTCGCTGAGCGACTTTGAGCTTCCTCATACGGCCAGCAGTGAAGGACCACGTCTCGGTTCCGTAGGTCATCACTGGCAACACACATTGATTGAAGACTTTAGTCTTCAAACATCTCAATTCGCCCATCTCAATCTTTCGCAATCTGACATTTTTATTGATAACCGTACGGAACGCTTCGTGCGCAAGTCCCACTCGAACTTGGCCGGCTTTATTGATTAGCCATAGACATCTACAGCACTTTTAGGGTTGCGATAAACTTGGCAAGTGCTCCTGGGGTGAGGGTTCGTGCAACAGCCCTGCAAAGAAGCTGCCATACAGTGCCACGCACTTAAATGTTTGACGCCACCGCCAGTTCTTCCTGGTGGCGGAGATCTGCTGGAACCTGAGCCCGGACTCGGCCTTCCCCTCCGCCACGCACACCACCTTCAGGGACTACTACAGCAGCAAGTACGGCGTGACGCTCACCCAGCCGCACCAGCCGCTGCTGGACGTGGACCACACCAGCGCCCGGCTGAACCTGCTCACGCCCAGGTGACCGTGCAACACCAAGTGCCGAATCGACAACCTCCTTTTTTGAAGTCGGCTAATGATAAAAGTTTAGCGCCCTAAAAGCACAATGTGACGTGGGCTAGTGGTTGTTATAATATTTGCGACTAGACGCTGCCCGCGACTACGTCTGCGTAGAATAGGCTGAAGGCGTAACATTCAGACAGAAAGACGGATATACATAAAAATATGTATATAAATTATAGCCTACGTGTTATTCTGATGTATAAGCTATATTATTGTAAAGTTTCATTAAAATCCGTTCAGTAGTATTTGCGTGAAAGAGTAAAAAACATCCATGCATACATACAAACTTTCGCGTTTATAATATTAGTAAGGATATACTTTATTTTACACCAAGTCTTAAAAGCTGGGTACAACAAGGCGGTCTTATCGCTAAAAAGCTATCTTTTCCAGACAACCTCAGACGAGGAAAAATAAACTAATGAATATAGGGTGCTGGTGTGCTCATTAAACTTACTTTAAGTATACACTTAAATATAATAAAATTAACTAAAATATAATAAACATACATAAACATACATAAACATAAATAAATATATATGATATATATAAATAACATAGATAAATACACAAGAAATCCGAACAATGCCATTCAAAACTGTGGACTTGTGTACAAAGGGATAGATAATGTTTTTTACGTCATTTTCAAACTTTTCTACCGTCTTCGAACGACGAATTTGCTGGGGAAGTTCATTCCACAAGCAGATGGCCCTAACTGTGCCTACGAAGTCGTAACTCCTAAGTTCTTATAATATATAGCCAAGCGAGCAGGCGGTCCACCTGATGTCAAGTGAACACCCATGCCGCCCATGGGCATCCCCTACACCCGAGGGTGCCAGATGCGTTGACAACCCTTTGAAAATTGGACTCCGGTCACCTCGCTCACCAGACGAAACGCGAATGTATTTGTCATACTTCCACTTTACGCTGGTCTTCTGTGCGGTCGTGGTACTTACCCGGACGGGCCTGCCCATTCGTGCAACGGCCGGGGCTGCTGCGTGGCCTACCACATTGGGGAAGGGCTGAGGATATGTAGAGGGGGGGGGGGGGGTGGAGAGGGATCGGTGTAGTGACAAGTAAAGCAATAAACAAAAGCCTCCTTTGCGCAGAGCGTATTGGGGTTTAGTCCACAACGGAACCTCAAAGTGTCAAATCGAAAAACCGGACCTGAATCATGAAGACTTACTTTATGTAATTTTTTTTATGTGACAAAGTGGCAAATGAGCTGGTGGTTCACCTGATGTTAAGTGATATACGACGTCTATGGATATTTGCGACACCCGTAGGGTTGCTGATGCGTTGCCACCTTTTAATAGAGTGAGCCCCGGCTACCTCACTCTCCACACGAAACGCAGAAATGCAACACTTCCACTTTACACTGGTCTTGCGAATAGCGAACACTGTTGCGTGGCCCTACCACAGATATACAGGATGATTTTATAGACGACGGACATATTAACAGAGCATACGCATAATTTGATTCTCAATGTCAATACGTACTTGTGACCTCATTTTTTTCTTCAAAGATCATTTTAATTTGTTTCAAACATTATCGACACTATCAGAAATTCGTGCCTTAGGCTCGTCAATACGAGCACTAAAACTTTTCGCTCTACGCATAGTTACTAAACCGCTTATCACAGAGTGGCCACTCTTAACGGGATAAACAATGTTTTAATTGATATTTTTCCGGTTATTCCTTTTGCAAAATGAAACGTTGTTCATATTTTTTTTTTACATCACGTCAAAGTATGTTGTGTGTGCCACGTGTAAAAAAGTCACCCTATATAACCGTAACCGGTATTCGAGCCGCAGATACGTGAACCGCAAGGGGGTCGCGCTGCCCGTCTCCTCGGAGCGCACGCGCCGCGCCAAGCGCGACCGGCTCGACCAGAAGCAGATCCTGGTGCCGGAGCTGTGCCGCGTGCACCCCTTCGCCGCGCCGCTCTGGTTCGCCACCGTGGCGCTGCCCTGCGTGCTCTACAGGTGACGGCTCCACCCTCCAAAGGGGGGGGGGGGGGGGGGGGGGGAGGGGACCTTCTATTCTTCGGACCAGGGAGCGCGGGAGTCCGAAGCGTTCCCTACACGGCCGGGGGCTGAGGGGTGGCGGGGGTGAACCTTCTATTCTTCGGCCAGGGAGCATGGGGAGGGAGTCCGAAGGGCTCTCCACAGGTGACGCTGCGGCACGTAAACCTTCCGTTCGCGCGTCTTACATCTTGGTCAGGAAGTGGAGCCCGTGCTCTGCAGGTGACGGGGGGGACCTTCGCTTCCACGGCTAGGATTAGATTTGCCGGGGAGAACCGGGAAGTCTGGGTGCGGGGGAGCGGGGGAAGTATTTAGTTTTCCACAAGTGAACGTTTGTCAACCTTCACTGGATGGCCCGTTCGTGGCCAGCGAGTTATTTTCACAGCATCTTGTCGTACGGCATTTTGTTGTGGGGTAGTGCATCTGATATAAATTCAATATTTATTATTCAAAAAAGAGCTGTCCGAGCAATTTATAACATCGGAGCCCGGAATACACTCAGAGATCTTTTTAAAAAGATTAATATACTCACTGTTGCGTCTCAATATATTTATTGTAATATTTTGTATGTTAAACAGAATATTAATAATTATCAAAAGAATAGTGACAGACATAAACTAAATACTAGAAATAAGGACAAAAACTAACTACGCCATTATTTCGCCTACAAAAAGTAAACAGATCGTTCATGGGGCAAAGTGTGCGCATGTATAATAAAATCCCACAGTCGATGTTAAGTCTGCCACTTGATGAATTTAAACGAAAAATTAAAAGTAAACTTATGGCTAAAGCCTATTATTCTATTGCTGAATATCTTGACGACGCCAATGTGTGGGGTTAATACTGTTGATACTCACGTAGGCTAAAACAAGACTATTGTACCTGTACTATTATATTGTAAACTGATTTTTTAAAAAAGAGCAACTGTTGAGTTTCTTACCGGCTTCTTCTCAACAGAAACTGCTTTCCGAACCGGTGGTAACTTACGAACGTGTTAATTTCTTGTAAAATTTTGACGTTTCATAAGAACGCGCAAGCGTCTATGTGAATAAAGATATTTTATTATTATTATGGGGGTATTTATTTGTTTTCTCGTCAGGTTGGGTTTATAAATAAAAATAAAAATAAAGATATAGATATATATTGCATATATAAAATAAATATATATATATATATATATAATATATATTTTATTATTATTATTATTATTAGCGAGGACTGTCGCCCGGCCCCACCACAGTCGCTCTGCATGCTAAGGAAATGGTAAAAAGAGTGGCGAAAAGTCCCTCGCCATTTGCACAGGTCGTCACTCCATCTAGTGGGGGCGGCTTCTTTTATATAATAAGATTTTTTTTTTATTAAGTATTTATTGTAATTTTAAGTTCATTTCTGCTTTCTTTTACATAATAAGATTTTTGTTAATTCAGTATTTATGCTAATTTTAAGTTCATGTATATGTTCATTAATATATTAGGTACGTGTAATACGGTGGTAGGGCCACACAGCAGCCTTGGCTGTTGCACGAATGGGCAGGCCCGTCCGGGTAAGTACCACGACCTCACAGAAGACCAGCGTAAAGTGACAGTATGACAAATACTTTCGCGTTTCGTCTGGTGAGTGAGGTGGCCGGAGCCCAATTTTCAAAAGGTTGTCAACGCATCTGTAACCCTCGGGTGTGGCAGATGGCCATGGGCGGCGGTATTTACTTAACATCAGGTGAACCGTCTGCTCGTTTGACAACTTTTCGCATAAAAAAAAAAAATATTGTGAAAGTTGTACATACCTGTCATCGGTGTACATATAAGGACATATTCTAATGTAATATCACTAATTTTTTTTTAATATGTGTACAGTTGGTGTGTGTAATAAATAAATGTATAAAAATAAAATATGGACTTGGATAAGCGAGCGCAACGCTCCCGCGTGGAACGGAGCGAATCAGACTTGTATAAGAGTTCCAACGTTTTTACCTTCATTCTAATATTTTAACTATTAACGAACTTGAATGTTAACAACTATTATAACGACAAGCACTAGTGGTTACATCACGCCGTCCGGGAGCGCTGCCGAGATCCAAGTGACCGCTGCTCCATGTCTCGAGTGGATAACGCCATATCCGGTATGCAGTGTTGCCAGCGCCAACATTTGTATCTCGTCGGCAGGATCAACGCGCTGCTCATAGCGGACGAGATCCGGCGCGCCGTGGCGGTGGACGTGGGCCTCGGCGAGCCGGACATCGACGAGGCGGCCCGGCCCGGCTTCCAGTGGCCGCCGCTCGACTTCGGCTGGAGCCTGGCCGAGGTAGCACCTCCCCCCCCCCCCCCCACCTCCACCCGCCCCCGCGCCCGTTTCCACGGTCGACGGACACACGACATTTCGGTTCCGCGAAATATGTCTCGGGACACGTTTATGCACGACGCTCTCCAGTCCCGAACTGAGCAACGCTTGCACTGTGGGCGCTAGATTTTTTTTTATGTGAAAAGTCGTCGGGCGGTTCACCTGATGTTAAGTGAATACCGCCGTCCGTGGACATCCGCCACACCCAATGGTTGCAATGCGTTGACAGCCTTTTGAAAATTGGGCTCCGGCCACCTCTCTCATCGGACGAAACGCGAGATTATTTATTATACTTGCGTGGCCGTTACTAGATAACTTGTTACGCAGCCCTAGTATAAGGAATCTGCTGCGTCGCAACGGCAGCACCGACTCAGCACAACGCATTTGCGTCATAAATTCTTTACCTTATTTAGAAATTGTAATCGATCCTCATTCTCAATTCACACATCGAATTAGAGTCACCTTTATTAGCTATAATTTTATTGTAATATTTTAAAGTAAAACAAACAAATTATATTTTATAAGAATTGCTTTTTTTTGCAACCACTGGCTGGAGCCCACGTAATTAACTGATAAACATACTTAAATAATTTTCCTTTGTAAATAAATACATGTTATAAATATATAAACACCCAGACACTGGAAAAACACTATGTTCATCATACAATATTATTCCAGTAGTGGGGATCGAACCCACACCGCCTGGCCCACGAGGCGGTTTCAGTACCCACTACGCTAATCGGGTCGTGTTATTATTATGTTTGTAATTATAACTAAACGCCCCCCTTTACAGCTGCCATGTGAGTCTGAGTAGAAGGGAAGACCGTGAGATTAGTTGTCTCGATGTCACAAAGATGTACCATTTATAGACACTTTATATTATTTATAGACACTCTATTATATATTTTATTACATAAAAAAGGGCCTACTTCACTTGGCAAAACTTCTTCCACCTCACCATCTCGGCTCTAATCAAATGCGTCTCAACTGTCTGGACAACTTGTTTAGGAACAGTTAAAAAGTAGGCATTAGTATCCTAGTAGAATAAGTGAAATTGTGTATTAGATTTAATAACATTATGTATTATCTTATTCTTGAAAATAAATAATACATAATTAAATAAATAACCTACTGACAGGTATTGTTTCGTACTAGGGTATGGCTTGATTTCATTGTTCACCTCTCAAGGTGCTGAGCGCAGACTCGGAGAAGGGGGAGAAGAGGAAAGAAGACGATGAGGAAGAAGATTCGGACGGCCAGAAGCGGAGAGAAGTGAGGTAAGGGATATTGGAAATGCAACTGTTGTTTGGGGATATCCAATTGTCTCGTAATGATATCTCTCACTCACTAATTAAGAATTACGTAATACGTTACATAAATAACAATAAACAAATAGCGCCATGATAGCTCAGTGTCCGGGCGCTCGCCTTTAATTCAATATACTCGAGCAACCTGAGTTGGATCCCCGGTGCCGGCACCAATGAAGTCTTTAACTTTAAGGGCTAACTTATCACGTGCTCAGCGGTGAAGGAAAACAGTGAGGAAACCTGCATATTTTCGAAATAATAACAAAAAAAAATATTTTCGCAGATATGTGAAGTCCGCCAATCCGCAGTGGGGCCGCGTGGCGGACAATGCCCTGATACCCTCTGTATAGAAGGGGCCTTTGCCCAGCAGTGGGATATGTATAGGCTGTAACTTTACTCTCTTTTTATGATATCTCTCAATGCTGGCACTGAATTAAAAAAAAAACCCGGCGAGTGGGACTCGCGCTCGAAATGGTCCGTATCTATAAAAATTTCATCATGCCTGTGGTATGGGGGCCCTACTTAAATGTGTGTAATATAACCTAATTTGAGCGTAATAAAAACTAATTTGGGCGTAATATTACCATTAATATAGCTTATATGTAATCTAACCTGACCTAAGTGTAATATAACATAACTTGGGTGTAATATATACTAATCTGTATGTAATATAACCTAAGTGTAATACAACTTTGGGTATAATACTACTTAAATTGGATGTAATGTAAACTATCGCGCCCACGTAAAGCGCTGAGGACGCTTGCATTTCCAACCTCAACATTCTTGACACCAGTCGGATGTATTTTCATTTTGTTCGAGGTACAACTATGTCACGTTCCAATGTAATAGTGGTGCCATCTAGTAACAAATATACTTTGGACCCTCAGGGCGATAGAAGGCAACAAGGAGGCAGCGGCAGAAGGAGACGCGGAGGAGAAGAAAGAGCTGAAAGAGAAGACTATTAACGACATTTTGCAGGAGAAGGAGGACGCGGAAAACGTATGTAGTTTTTATTTTAGTTATGTTGGAAGTGGTCAAGCGAGCTGGCGGTTCTCCTGATTTTATTTATTTATTTATTAAGGTTCACCAACATTGGACACATTAAGCATAATATAAAACAATAAAAAAAAGGCGTAAATGTTCCAACAATTACAGGTGGACACAGCTTTCTTAACATAAAATTATACCCTAATTAAAATAATGTAATATCTACAAACTAATGTGAGAAAAATGTAACAAAACTGAAATTTTAATACCGGTTACAACATAATAATTTTGATAAAAATAATGAACGCAATTACCACTCATACTTATCGTTAGTTATGGTTAGTCCTAGTATTTTATGTGATAACCGCCACCCATGGATGTTTGCAACACTGGTGGGGTTGCAGATGTGTTGGCAACTTTCAATAAAGTGGCCCCCGGCTACCCCACTCGAAAGACTGTACGCTGAAGTATAACACTCCTACTTGAAGCCGGTCTTCTGTGAGGTCGTGGCACTTCCCCGGAGGGACCTGCCCATTCGTGCAACAGCGGGGAGTGATGCGTGGTCCTGCCACAGTTGAAAAGAAGTTAATTATTTATTTATTTGCAAGAATAAGGTAATACATAATGGTCTTAAATCTGATAGACAAGCTCACTTATTCTGCCTCTTTGATAGGCGTGCAAATATTAATACGTTTTAATTCAATTTAGACATTATTAAGATTTAATAAAAAACTAAATAAACATAATATAGATAATTATTATAGAGTTGCAGTTATAGAAGCTATCTCAATGGAAATGCTCTATTATAATTTAGAGCAATATATCGAGGTCAAGTATATGGGGAAATTACTCTTGCTTTGTACTTGCAAATAAAAATAACTAAATAAATATTTTAGGACACATTTTTACACAACATTTTCTAGTCCCAAACTAAGCAACGCTTGTACTATGGGTACTAGAAAACCGATAAACATATTAAGTATGTACATACTTTTCTTTTGTAAATAAATACATAATTAATATACATATGTATATAAACACCCAGAAACTAGAAAAACACTATGTTCAGCACACAATATTTTCCCAGCAATGGGGATCGAATCCACACCCTCTGGCGCAGGAGGCAGGTACACTACCCACTGCGCCATTCGGGTCGTGAAATCCCCGGCTGCTGCTGATTTTATTACATTTGCTGTGGGGATCGAACTCGCTCCTTAAGCCGTAGGAGTAAGGTTCACTGTCCACTGCACCGGTCGGCTAAATGATCCAGTTTAACGCGACCCTAATCCAGGGCTTCGAGATCGGCACGTGGAGCAACGACATGGCCTCCTCTATCCCGGAACCTCTCGAGTACGACGAGTTCCTGGAGCCGCTCCCGGCCAACCTCACCTTCTGCACTTCCGCTTCCGGTGAGTCCCCCCCTTTATGGCTCCCTGGCGAAAATCGTTTTCGCAATGTTTCTCTATCGTCTCAGAAACACCGCCCTCGCTTTAGGATAATATTACCCCGTGTTGTAAGGTAGGTAAAAAGTAACAAACACAAATTTCACGCGGACAAACAGCCAGACGCGAAACAACTATCTGTGGGTCGCACAATTAGTTGTCCCGTGTGGGAATGTTTGTTTGTTACGCTTTGCTATAAAACTACTCAACCTATTACCGTGAAATTTTGTACAAATATTCTTAGAGGTATCAAAAATGCCATAGGATAGGACATACTTTTATTAAAAAAAATATATTTATTTAAGGGCTTCAACGCGAGCTAAAAGCCAGTATGTACATACAGGGTGGCTTTTCTAAAGGTGCCCAAAATCACACGGAAGGTTCAGACTCGGTAGTATAATCGTTTATAGAAATAAAAAATTTTTTTTTTTTCAAAAAAATTGTCATTCTATTCCCTAAAAAACAGAACTTGTTGACAATGCGGTAGTCATTCATAAATGCGTTGTATACTTTTGAAACGAACGTGTGTTAGTTATGAATGATCGCGCGTAAAGTCAATTTGTTGCCCATAAATCACGCACTTTTTGAGATAAGTTAATATTTAATTAATTACGAGTGATTTTACATATTTATAATATTTTATAGAGCGTGTCGTTACCATCGCGACAATAAATGAACACACGTCTAACGCTACGTGCCAATAATCTTAAAAAAATATTAACGTTAAACAATATCCATAATTAAAAAAAATATTTTTCAAACAAACTAATTAAGTAAAAAAGAAACAAAATTTGTAACATCCTATACAACTCGCGCCACAGCGTCTTATTACAAGCCTCTCCTTCTAACAGTATGTTTTGTCTCTTTTAAATTCATTCAACCCATTCATATGCTTTTTGACCTTTACAAATGAACTTTACGTTACGCTTTTATAGGTAAGGGTGTTCTAAAATTCTTTGTTTTGGAAAATTTAATAACTCTGTAAATATTGATGTTTAAAGAATTTAAATGTTTAATACAACTTTAAAAAGTTATCCCCTATACATATAGGTCGTTACCATCGCGACAATAAATGAACCCACATGGGTTCATTTATTGTCGCGATGGTAACGACACGCTGTATAAGATTATTTATGTCTAGAATTTAATTTAAAAAAAAAATGGATACACTTAGAAAAGTCTCCCTGTAAAATACCCTGCTGTGATATGTGCATGTTGTTTTTGCGAATAGGGGGCGCTAATTGGAGCGAGCCGATGGAGAAGCCAAAACTCCAGTACGGCGCGTCGAGGACATTCTCCGTAGCGGACAGCGACTGTTCCTACATGTCCAGGTGGATGCCGCTAGTCTATTTAGTTATTTAGTCTTCATTGCTTTTCCACACATTTACGCATACGGAACACAATAGGCGGACTCAATGCCTCTAGGCATTCTCTGCCAGCCACCCTATGGTGTGGTGAGATCCTTTGGCAGGTGCAATAATAAAACTGAATAAAATTAAATTAGAAAAAAAAATAGTATTTGCATGTATCCGGGGTCGATTCGAGCTAGCATTTATGCCCGGTTCCCATATTCAACGTAACTTTCATAACGACTTGTTTATTAAAGGAACGCAAGTAACTCATTTTCCGTAGGTAATGCAACGGCTCGTGAGGAAAACGCCTCGTCTTGTTAATATGGGAACCGGGCGTACACGCCTTTTGTCTACAAGTCGTTATGAAAGTTACGAAGCTATGTAACTAACAGCCGTTCGTTGAATATAGGAACCGGGCATTGGTGATGCTTGGTTCCATTTGCTGTTTAAAAGCAGCCAAGTGTGAGTTGGACTCCCGTACGTAGGTTTCTGTTACTACCTATGAAACTGGCAAAAAACATGTGAGCCCCACTTAAATATTTTTTTTATTGTTTTTTTTTTTGTATTGCAATAAAATTATGTGAAATAGTTACATCATAGTTATGTGAAAATTTCAACTGTCTAACTATCACGGTTCATGAGATCCAGCCTGGTGACAGTCGGACAGTTAGACAGACAGACAACGAAGTCTTAGTAATAGGGTCGCGTTTTACCCTTTGGGTACGGAACCCTAAAAATACATTGGCCAAACGAATTAGACCAGTAATGCTAGATTTTTTTCTCTATTATTAATAAATAGATTTGTAATGTGGAAAAGTCGTTGTTTTCGCGATATATCCTGAATTATTTATTCATTATCCATTAACAATCAATTGAAATTAACAATTGCAATGCAATTATCATCTCGTTTATTTATTTCATATGTATTATTACATATTTTCTGTTCCAGTGACTTCGATACGGACGACTCAGATTTGAATTCCGACGGTAGCTACGAGGACCCCGACTCCGGTGGGTTCTGCAGCAGCAAGAACTCCAACGGTAAGATATCTCGTTCACTCATTAATACATTCGTTCATTCATTCATTCATGCATTCGTTCATTCATTACATTCGTTCATTACATTCGTTCTATAAATTCGTTCATAAATTAATTACATTCGTTCATTACATTCGTTCTATAAATTCGTTCATAAATTAATTACATTCGTTCATTCGTTCATTCATTAATTACATTCGTTCGTATGTATTAATTAATGCGTTAAGCAAAAACTCGTAGTTATAGTTTGTATAGAGGAGTGCGGAATATTTTTTTTTTAATTATGACTTAAAATACATGAAATAAAAAAAAATCATTACACACACATGTATGGCGGTACGACCAGTGGGCGACCACTAGTATATTAACAGAAAAAGGAGATTAACCGCAAAGATCGTCAGTAACTATCCATATAATGTTTTCGAAAGTGAAGACTACAATAGATTGTAAGTGGTGGTTGTCGCCGGAACTTGCTATCCAATCCCTTCCGGACACAATACAAACACAACATCCACGGTATATTTATTGACTAATAAAAAAGTGCATACCGCCGAAGTCAAAGCATACATACGAGTTTCGTCCGTCGTGTGAGGTAGCCGTGGCCACACTGTTAACGGCCGTAGATTTATAGACTAATAGGATAAATGATTGGGTGGCTACGGTCGAACTCAAAGGGTATACTACCGCGGAGTCAAAGAATTCGAGTGTCCTCCGTCTAGTGAGACTATATTCATAGACCAATAAAATAAAGTACTGGTAGGCAACGCTCAGACTAAAGGCCCATTTACACGATGCCATTTTCTTGTACATACAAGAGCAATAATTGAATGCAATAAATTGCGCGCTACAATTGTTTAGACCATTTGTTGTTTAGACCATGCAACTCATTTATTGCTTCAATTTAATTGTATACAACAGGCAAGAAACTGGCACCGTGTAAATGGGCCTTTACGGTAGAACGCCGGGAAGTGAAATCGTTTCGCATGCGTCGTTTAACCGTGGTAGGGCCACGCAACAGTGTTCGTTGTTGCACGAATGGACAGGTCCGTTCGGAAGACCGGTGTAAAGTGGAAGTGTTATACTTCTGCGATTCGTGTGGTGAGTGAGGTAGCCGGGGCCCACTTTACTAAGAGGTGGCAACGCATCTGCAACCCTATGCGTGTTGCAAACGTCCATGAGTAGGCAGTTATCACTTGACATCAGGTGAACCGCCAGCTCGATTGCCACTTTCTCACATAAAAAAAAAAAATCGAGTCTCGTCCGCCGAGCGAGCTGTGCAGGGGCGCCCGCCCGGCGGCCCCCTTTCCGAGCAAAGCGCGGTCCGCAGCGGCGATGGGGGTGCGCATCGAGTACAAGACCGCCCACGAGGCGGAGGCGGTGGACGTGGTGCGCGCCCGCAGCGGCCCCCCGCCGCCGCAGCCCTGCCGCGCGGACGACGCGCTCGACCTGCGCCGCCACCGCGCCAGCCTGCGCGCCGCCAGCCCGCCGCCGGAGGTGGGTTTCTGTTGCAGGGGGGGGGGGGGGGGGGATAGTGTTTACTGTCGGTGCTATCGGCGAGGGGAATTGTGGCGGGGGCGGGGACTTGGTGGGGGGGTGTCGCTGCTGTCGGCGAGGGGAATTGTGACGGGGTGGAACTTGAGACGGGGGGGGGGGGGGGGGGATCAATTTACCGCCAGTACTGACCTGAGACGAGGGGAGACCGTATTCGCTGCAATCGTTACTGTAAAATTTTGTAATAAAAATAGGACTGTAACATTTTGTTCATGACGACGAGGAACAAACTAATCTAAACATCGAGTCAACGAGAGCTCTTCAGCGTTATTCTGGGAAAGCGAGAGTTGTGTCGACTTGTGGTAAGCCTCTAAGCTATCGCTTAAGCTGTTCCAAACGTAGATCCCCCCCCCCCCCCCCCCCAATAAAAGCTGTTGGCGTGGGGTTTTAGCCGATGTGAGTCAGACAATGTGGGAGGCCAGGTATCCATAACGGATTTCTCCACGTAAAAAAAACCGGCCTCACACAACATTGACTAGCAGGAAAGACTTGCGATTCTATAACAAAAAAAAATTTACTGTATTTTTTTCGCCCATTATATTGCATGCTGTCAGCGCATTTTATTGTAATGACGCTAACGAACGGTTGATGTATATTTAATTTTCTTAGTCTTACATAGTGTACGTTATGTTGGCATTCATTAAATAAATAAATAAATGCATTCCTTCTACGATCTTCTATAACCTATCTCTTACCTCTCGCCGTTCCAGTACATCGAGCAGTTCCGCGAATCGGTTAAACGGCACGAAGCGGAGATAGTCGAGAGAGGTCTACTCCTGGAGGCGAGTAGGCCGGTCAGCGACCTGCTGCCCGGCCCGTCGGAGAAGAGCAGAGAACGCAAGAGATCGACGGAGAAGCTGCGGGAGATAGAGGAGATCTTCCCGTACGGCGCGCGGGAGATAGAGTTCGAGGGTGGCCAGGTCGGTTGTTAATTTTAAGTGCTGACTTACCACGTGCTCAGCGGTGAGGAAACACATCGTGAGGAACCTGCGTATTTTAAAAAAGATATGTGAAGTGTAACTAAGCCTATCCGCAGTGGCCTATCGCATAACCTCTGCACAGAGGAGGCCTTTGCCCAGCCGTGGGACATTTATAGGCTATTATTTTACTTTTACTTGACGACCCGATCGCCTTGTGAAGTAGTGAATTTTGCTCTTGCGCCAGAGGGTGTAGGTTCGACCCCCGTTACTGGAAAAGTATTGTGTGACGAACGCAGTGTTTTTCCAGTGTCTGGATGCTTATACAGCGTGTCGTTACCATCGCGACAATAAATGAACACACGCTAAACGCTACTTTGCCAATAATCATAAAAAATATTAACGTTAATAAAAATCCATAACTAAAAAAACATCCTATACAACTACAACTGACTGATTCATACATTCAGAGACTTTTTCATTCGTTGCCACAACATCGGATTACAAGCCTTTCCTTCTAACAGTATGTTTTGTCTCTTTTAAATTCATTCAAAGTCAAAGCCAAAGTATATTTATTCTAATATAGGCCTAACTTAAGCTGTTATTGAACGTCAACAAAAAATCTACCACCGGTTCACTAAACTAGACCTGCACAGAGAAGAACCGGCAAGAAACTCTGCGGTCTTGTTCTTTTTGTTATATTTTTTTGATGCAATTATACACACTTATTTAGGTATAAAATCAGCAGCAGCCAAGGGTCGTGCAAGTACAGAGCAAGAGTCATTTCCAAACATCCTTGTCCTCAATGTATTCTTGGATATTATAGTTGGCTCTTGCCATTACAAATTGTTTGAAATTCATTTAACCCATTCATATGCTTTGTGACCTTTACAGATGAACTTTACGTTAAAGGTTTATACGTAAGGGTGTTCTAAAATTCTTTGTTTTGGAAAATTTAATAACTCTGTAAATATTAATGTTTCAAGAATGTAAATGTTTAATACAATTTTAAAAAGTTATGCTCTATATGTGCGTTCATTTATTGTCCCGATTGTAAAGATACGCTGTATATGTACTAGCGACCCGTCCCGGCTTCGCACGGGTGCAATGCTGAATGTTTGTTTTAGACATCGCTTTAGAAACTTCTAAAATGATCAGTGTTTCTCTACTATATTATGCATGAATTATACGTATGAACTTTCCCCTTGAATCACTCTATCTATTAAAGAAAACCGCATCAAAATCCGTTGCGTAGTTTTTAAGATCTAAACATATATCTAACAGACAGACAGCGGGACAACTTTGTTTCATACTGTGTAGTAATAATACGTATTTATTTTTGTTTTATACTATGTAGTATACGTATTTATTTACAAAAGAAAAGTATGTTTAAGTATGTCTATCACTTTTCTAGTACGCATAGTAAAAGCGTTGCTCAGTTTGGGACAAAATTTGTGCGCAAATATTTAATGCTTTCCCTCTTCAGGTCACCCTCGAGAGCGTCGAGAGGAACAAACGGCTTCTGCTCTCCGAGCTGGAGAAGCGGCTGCCCAAAGAAGAGAAGAAGAGGATGAGCTGCTTCTCCATGAAGGACGTGGACATCGACTCGCCTCGCTACGTTAACGAGAAGCTGGCTAACGTCGGCTTCGACTCTAAGGTAAGGTAACTAAGCGACTATACAGGATGATTCTATAGACGGCGGACGTATTAACAGGGCATTTGCAGAATTTGATACTAAATCTCAATCTGGTACGTACTTGCGACCTCATTTTTTTTTTCAAAGATCATTTTAATTTTTTTTCTAACATTATCGACACTATTAGAAATTCCTGCCTTCGGCTGGTCAATACAAGCACTAAAACTTGCACTAAAACACATTTGCAGAATTTGATTCCAAATCTCAATCTGGTACGAACTTGTGACCTCATTTTCTTTTTTTCAAAGATTATTTTAATTTTTTTCTAACATTATCGACACTATTAGAAATTCCTGCCTAATAGGCTCGTCAATACGAGCACTAAAACTTGCACTAAAACACATTTGCATAATTTGATTATAAATCTCAATCTGGTACGCGATACTACTGTTTTTCTGGTTGTTGCTTGTCAAAATAAAATATTAATATTTTTCTTTATAAATTATGGAATGCTCAATTAACATTATGTCAAAGTATGTACTTCGTCTAAAAAAATCATCCTGTATAGATAAATCTTTTATGGGACAATGTATACGTTTTTATAACGGAAACGTTCTAAATCAATCTGTAGTAGTAGTATAGTAGTAGTAGTCTAAATTCAAAAAAACTTGTATAGTATAGTATTAGTAATTATTTGAATGGTAACACACTCTGGAATTGAATTGATCGCTCCAGGCTCTTTCAAATGGGATTTGATAAAATGAACGCTTTTTACGTTTTTTCTGTTTGTTATCATGTTTGTCAAATTGTTATAAAAAAAAATGTCCCGCCGAGTTTCTTTCTCCGGTTCTTCTCAGGTCGGTGGCTTTCTTTCCGGACTGGTGGTAGGGTTTTTTGACAATCAATAACTAAGTGTAAAAAGTTAAGTATCCTATACATTTCCTTATACATGTCCCACTGCTGGGCAGAGGTCTCCTCTGAACAGAGGGTATCAGGGCATAGTCCACCACGCGGCCCCACTGCGGATTGGCGGATTTCACATATCTGCGAAAATATTTTTTTTTTGTTATTATTTCGAAAATATGCAGGTTTTCTCACTGTTTTCCTTCTGAGCACGTGATAAGTCAGCACTTAAAGTTAAAGACTTCATTGGTGCCGGCACCGGGGATCGAACTCAGGTTGCTCGAGTATATTGAATTAAAGGCGAGCGCCCGGACACTGAGCTACCGGGGCTATCTAAATGTAATGCTTCTATATTAAATGAGGATATTCGTAATAATTTCTTGTATTTACGCGATTACACATTATAAATGAAACTAATTTTACGGATTTATCGCGTTTTTTTTTTTTTTTAATTTTAGTTCCCGACGTTTCGAACCCTTTACAGCGTTCACGGTCACGGGACAGACAGTCCCGTGTCCCGTAATAAACGCGATAAATCCGTAAAATTAGTTTCATTTATGGGGATATTCGGTTTGATTCGATCAAGGAGTGCTACCGGGAGAGGGTGGGCACGTGGCGGGAGGGGAGCGAGTTCCGCCCTTATTACCAGGACGGTAAGGTGCAGAGTGGCAAGCCGTTCGACTTCGACCACCAGCCCGACCTGGAGGGGCACCCGGGGCCGAGTCCCAGTGTCATTTTGCAGGTGAGCATGGCGAGCTATTCATAAGTTGCTAATATGAAGTTTAGTAACATTCTCTACAATCTCAGGCTGGGCCAAGGCATCCTTTTTCAGGGTTCCGTACCCAAAGGGTAAAACCAATTTCAAGCCCATTACTAAGAATCCGCTGTATGTCTGAAATTAAAATTTTCACAGCTGACAAAGTGAGAGTGTGAAGATTGGTACTGTACCATTATCTACGAAGAAAAATCATATTTGTTGTATGGGAGCCCCAAAATATTTTTTTTTATTTATCGTCTGTGATAATTTCAACTGTCTAACTATCACGGCTGATGAGATACAGCCTTCCGACAGACGAAGGCGGTCCCGTTTTACACTTTGGGTACGGAACCCTAAAAATGACGATAATATAACGTCTTCTCGCGTCCATTTCGGACCGGTCTTCCATTTTGGCTTCGGAGGAACCGATTGACGGACGGCGCCGGTCGGCTTCGGTTCCAGGTTCATAATACAAATATTAATGAATACATTAATGACATTAACCCCTGGGAATGAGTTGATCGCTCCCAAGCTAAAAAGAAAGAAAAAAAAAGCAGTTGCATGATATTTAAATTTTTTTTAAGAAAAAAAAAATGACAAAAATGACGATAACTGCGGAGTTTCTTTCGCCTGTTTCTTCTCCATTAGAGGAACATCATTTCGAAACGGTGGTAGATTAAAAAAAAATGACTATACCGATACATGAAATGTACGTTTCTTACGTCGATGGACAAATTGATTTTGTTTTTGATTTTTTTGATTTTGATTTTCATTTTCATTTCGATTTTGATTTTGATTTCGATTTTGATTTTGATTTTGATTATGATTTTGATTTCGTTTTCGATTTTGGTTTTGATTTTGCTTTTGATTTAAGGCCCTAACCATGTCTAACGCTAACGACGGCATCAACCTGGAGCGGTTGGAGACCATCGGCGACAGCTTCCTCAAGTTCGCCATCACCGCGTACCTATACTGCGCTCACCCCACAGTCCACGAGGGCAAGCTCAGCCACATGAGGAGCAAGCAGGTGGGCCCGATGGCGTTCTGATAAATATGACGCACGTCCATACCGTGCGACTTTTAAAAATTGCTCCTTTTTACATTGCAAGACACGTATCGTCTGCCACATTCACTTATACTGTGTGTTTCAACGTGGATAGTACAATTTTCACATAAATAATAAATATTGTGACTTATATAGCTAGTGTGTAAGTCATAATTAGTTTAGTAATGAGTAATTTACACACGACTTGGAGATTTTTTTTTTATGTGAAACGTTGCCAAACGAGCAGACGGTTCACCTGATGTTAAGTGAATACCGCCGCCCATGGACATCTGCTACACCCGAGAGTTTGCAGATGCGTTGACAACCTTTTTGGAAATTGGGCTCCGGCTACCTCACTCACCAGACGAAACGCGAAAGTATTTGTCTTACTTCCACTTTACGCCGGTCTTCTGTGAGGTCGTGGTACTTACCCGGACGGGCCTGCCCATTCTTGCAACAGCCGAGGCTGCTGCGTGGCTCTACCACCGTTAAAAGACTAGTTAAACGTCATTCAAAGGTAACATTTTAGCATTTTATCATCATAAACAGAAAAACATAAGTATCTGAAGCCTTGATGATAATTGCTTTATACACAAAAAATTTACTACTAAATGTTCCGGCGTAAAATGATTCAACCCTCGAGAATGCATCACCGTTCTCATGTTTTAAAACATGCATACGTCCGACACCCTCCCTAATGGCGTGCATGAGGAGTTTCAAGTTACACATGTTTGCACATGTCAACATGTGCACGCCATTTTCACATGTCAACATGTGCACGCCATTTTCACATGTCAACATGCGCACGCTGTTTTCGCCCGTGGCCACTGACCGGTCCACCGACTTCGCCCCCGCAGGTGTCCAACCTGAACCTGTACCGTCTGGGGCGCAGCAAGCGGCTGGGCGCGCGCATGACCGCCTCCAAGTTCGAGCCGCACGACAACTGGCTGCCACCCTGCCACCGCGCCCCGCCCACGCTGCACACCAGGCCGGTGGGTGCGCCCGCCCGCTGCCACATCTGCCACCGCGGCCGGCGCTGCCATCACGCGTGACGGCGCTGATGAGGGCCGTCACGCGTGACGTCACCGTGTTCTCAGCGGCCGCCCTAACATCATTACCATGCTTGCCACAGCTGCATATTCTGCCACCATCGCTGTTACTGGCTCGCGTTGCTATAACATATTCGAACCTGAGATTTCTGTTTACCCACTAAGCTATGCGGCCGATGACTATCGACGTCTGTCTACGTTCTTCAATTGAAGTAAACGTGGACCCCGGCTACCTCACTCATCAGACGAAACGCAGAAGTGAAATACTTTCACTTCACGCCGGTATTCTGCGAGGTCGTGGTACTAGCCCGGACGGACCTGCCCATCCGTGCAACAGCGAACACTGTTGCGTGGCCCTACCACAATAAATCATTGTCTTGTCACGGTAGGTTGATGCTTCAAAGGTTATAATTGGACACAGGCCACAGATTTCACGATACATAGTGTCGTCTATTATTAGTTAGTAGTTCAAATTTATTCCTTGGTACATACACGTTACGAATCTTATTAATTGTGGTTTAAAAATTGTAAATTAATACAAAAGCGACGGAACAAAATTATTAATAAAAACCTATGAAACTGGTTTCCTGGCGCATTTGCAGGTACCGGCTTAGGTGCTAGGGGTCGTGGGTTCGATCCCACAGGAGACAACTATTTGTATGACTCACACATAATTTTTATGCAATGTAATATAATAAATAGTACCTGGAGGACCGGTTTGTTTTTTTTTTGGTAAATCGTGTGCTTGGAAATTACATTTAGATACAAATTACTGAGTAATGAAATATGCATAATATTTTTCGATCTTACCGACGTAATAATAAGAAAATATAAACTGGTGTTTTTCACAAAAGAAATAACTTTAAAAAAAGGGAAAAAAGAACAAAATCATCTGGATGGACAAAAAATAAAAAATAAAGAAAGCAATGATCTGGAATCGAAAAAAAGTAAAAAAAAAAGTGTGTAAATGATCGTGACACGAACCACGGCATTCTGTTTCGTGGCCGCCCCATTACCGACCGAGCTATATATATATATATATATATATATATATATATATATAGCTATATTATAATAATATATTATACTACAGGTTTAAAAGGACATTTTCTAAAAATGAAACCTAGCTAGATCGATTTTTCGCCCCCCAATCTACGCACATACTAAATTTCATGATAATCGCTGGAGCCGTTTCCGAGATATACACTGTCCTTACGACACAGGGTCACGTTATACTACAGTTAGGACTATAGTTTAAAAAATTATTTACTTTTTACTATACAACATTTTCAGCCCGAAGGCCCAGACCACCTCCCCATCGCGGACGGCACCGTCGACAACGCAGGCTGCTTCATCCCGTACAACCTCATCACTCAGCACAGCATACCGGGTGAGTGGCCGAATTCTGTCACTCTAAACCCTCTTTATTGCCTTAATGTGAGACAGTGGCAAACGAGCTGGCGGTTCACCTGATGTCAAGTGATAACCCATGGACATTTACAACACCCGGATCGCAAATGCGTTGCCACTTTTAAATATAGAGGGCCCCGGCTACCTCACCCACCAGACGAAACGCAGAAGTGTAACACTTCTACTTTACGCCGGTCTTCTGTGTGGTCGTGGTACTTACCCGGACGGACCTGCCCATTCTATTACCGTGAAACCACCCTTTTCCTTAAGATAAAAATTCGAATGTTTTTATGACACCACTTTTGAGCCGTGATAGCTCAGTGTACGGGCGCTTGCTTTTAATCCTATAAACTCGAGCAACCCGACTTCAATTCCGGTGGCAGCATCAAAGGAATTGTTAACACAATGTAGTCGAAATAGTGACAAAATAAAGACGTGTGTAGTCCGCCTAACCGCAGGGGGGTCGCGTGTTGCACTATCCCCTAATACCCTCCGTATATAAGAGGCCTTCGTCCAGCAGTGGGACCTGTATAGGTTTGTAGTTACACTATTTTTTTAAGTTTTGTATGCATCCTTTGTACTAAGATCGTGAATAAACGTTTCTTTCTGTATAGGCTGTTACTTAACTTCTAACACCTTGTACCCTCGCAGACAAGTCGATAGCGGACTGCGTGGAGGCGCTGATCGGCGCTTACCTGCTGGAGTGCGGGCCCAGGGGCGCGCTGCTCTTCATGTCCTGGCTGGGCATCAGGGTGCTGCCGAGGCACGACCTGCCGCTGCCCGAGGGGCACCCCTACGTGCAGGCCCACATGGAGGGGGGGCCGGACGCGGCGGCGCCCGTCGCCGAGGTGAGAGGGGGAGAGACAGAGAGAGAAGTACCACGGCCTCACAGGAGACCGGTGTGAAGTGGAAGTATTGTACTGGTGACGTTGAGGTGTGGGGTGGAGAGCGAGACGAAAAGAGAGAGAGAGAAACAAAGGTGCGGCCGTGTAGCGGCCTCAGCCGTTGCACGAATGGGCAGGCGTCTGACGCCGAAGTGAGGGAGGGAGGGAGAAAACTGTGGTAGGGTCCCGCAACAGTCTTCGCTGTTGCACGAACGGGTGAGTACCGCGGCCATACAGAAGACCGGCGTGAAGTGGTAGTGTGATACTTTCGCGTCTCGTCTGGTGGGCGAGGTAGCCGGGGCCCACTTTGTTAAAGGGCGGCAACGCATATGGCAACAGCGCTACCCTACGGGTGTTGCAAAGGTAAATGGGAGGCGGTGTCACGTAACATCGGGTTAACCGCCAGCTCGTATGACACGTAGATGGAGAATGACACTAAGAAAGAGAGAGACAGACATGTGTGGGGTCGCGCAGCGGCTTCTGTGGAAACGCATCTGCAACCAGTCAGCCGTTGTAGATGTCTATACTGCCTGCTCGTTTTCCAACTTTTGACATAAATAATGAAAAATTGACTATTTCATTCCAGTTCCTTGCGTGAAAACTTTGTTACACGAATGGTTACAGGCCCGTCCGGGTAAGTACCACGACATCACAAAAGACCGGCTTAAAGTGGAAGTCTAGTACTTTCGCGTTTCGTCTGATGAGTGAGGTAGCCGGGGCCATCTGCTACCCTTTCGGGTGTTGCGAATGTCAATGGGCGGCGGTTATCACTTAACATCGGGTTATCCGCCAGATTGATAGCTTTTTTAAAACGACGCAATTAAAAAAATAATTGCGCTCTTTAAAGGCGACTTTCAGCGCATCCTGCGACGGATCCTTCATGTACGGCGCTACTTTTCTCGCCACGTCAACGCGTTGCCTAATACTCATTCCGGCGCGGACGTACCAGTGTTCAGACGAGTCACGAGTCAAATAAACACGGTTCAGTGACAGACTGAAGTCTATTCAAATATCAATTTGTCATATCCTAATTAGGACAGTCAAACGATAGCGCGACCTAAACATTAAGTAGCGACGAGATCTCCGTCCATTCTTCGTCCCCTATGACAAAAACTGTGCAGGACAAATTGTTTACTTTGTAAGTTAAGCTCATCAAAAATATATATATATATTTATAAATTAATTATTATATATATTTAAAAAAAAAATCAATAAATATGAACTCACTACTGCACCGTTACCACGAGTCTGTAGAGGAAGTTTGTTAAAATAGAAAAAAAAACATTAAGTAGCGCCGTCTAGCGAAATCTATCCATAACATGCACCCTCGTCAGGAGAAGTGCCCGTCGCCGAAGCGCGAGCGACGTTCCTCGGCGTCGGAGTCGGAGTCAGAGTGGAACGAGGAGTCGGAGGGGGAAGGGGAGGAGGGGGAGGGGGCGCCGGGGGGAGGGGAGGCCTGGACTCAGGACGGGGGCCCGGAGCCCGACTGGGGCTGGCCGGGACGCGCGGTCGGCTCGCTGAGGCCGTACTGTAAAGGCGGCCGCTGGTACCAGGTCGGTATTGGTATATTACAGGGGGTTGTTTTGGTCCTTGCGACCGGATAGTTATAATGGTCCTTGCAACCAGATAGGTCCTTGTTTGCTGACCGCGTTTATGTAGAGTTTAAGATTTGGGTTCCAGCTAATACAAATCTATAAATTTAAAAATAACTTGTATATAATTATTATAAATATATTGGAATAATATATAATGGATATGCTTCTGCATGAAAATTATTGTATTCAATTTTGTTGGGAACACCGGTGAATCTGGTTACATGTTTAATATTTTCTTGGTGGTATTTAGTTGTTGCGTAATAGTTTAAATGACCCGTCCAGTGTCCGTTTGAAATAGCTAATATTGGCGAAAAATAAGTTCTTTTTTAAAATGCAGAAATCAAATATTTCCGCGCCATTTTTTTTTTTTTTTTTTACATCTTAGTATTTATGTACCCAATGACACACGATATAAAGACGAATCTAACGACATACCATTCGTCAAAATCGATTAAGCCATTTAGTAGTTCGGGGTGATGGGTGGACAGACACATACAGAACACATAAACCCCTTTTTTCAAAGTCGGGTAAAAGGAAACGGTTTGATACAATCGTGTAACATTTGGACAATCAAGAGGAACCGTTGTGATGTCTTTGATGTCTTCCGCAGCCAATCTTCGGGGCTCTGAAGGCGCCTCCGTCACCCCTGCTGAGGTACATCGAGGATCCCGAGGGAGAGTTGGAGCAGATGCTGTCGGGTGAGTTCGGTGATCCGACCTTGAGCTTTCGTGCTGCGAAAGCGCTGGCGTCTAGTCGCTCGCGTTGTTTTTTCCTGTAAAATGTTGTTGTGTTTTTTTTGCTAACCTTACTTTCGAGGAAGGTTGACAAAAAAAGACAAGAATCACCGAGAAATTTGTTCAAAGAGATTAAAATATTGATTGTTGTTTCTCAGTACATACTTGAAAATGTTATGTATGTCTGTAAAAACAAAAATGAATTTTCTAGACATACGAATGCGCACGATATAAATACTTGGAGCAAACATTAATTAATTCTACCTACAACGCGACTGCGTAGAATAACTAATTCATTTATGGCACAATGTATACGTTTTTAGAACAAAATCTCATAAAATGTTCACAATGCATCGACTTCTAAATTAAAAAAATAAATAGTAAAGGAACGTTTGTGTGTTAAAAGCTATTATAATATTAGTGATTATTTAAATGATAACCCTGGAAATGAAGTGATCGCTACAGGTTCATTTGTAAACATGTTTTTTTTTTTTACAAACAATGGTAAAATGTCGGTCGAGTCATACCTAGTCTACATTCTACCTGGTACACCTGGTCTACCTGGTCCACCTGCTATACCTGGTCCACCTGGTTTACCTGCTCTACCTGGTACACCTGCTCTACCTGGTACACCCGGTCTACATGGTCCACCTGATCCACCTGGTCTACCCGGTCCACCCGGTCATGCCTTGTGCCCCCGTCCAGGTTACGAGGCGCTGGAGAGGACGCTGCAGTACCGCTTCCGGGACAGGTCGCTGCTGCTGCAGGCGCTGACGCACGCGTCCCACCAGCGGAACCGCCTCACCGACTGCTACCAGCGGCTCGAGTTCCTCGGCGACGCGATCCTGGGTGAGAGCGAGACGAACAGACGGACACGGGACAGAAATACATAGAAATCGACCTCGACTTCTCATCATTTCTTCAATTCATCGACATTCACTGCGGTAGGACCACGCAACAGTGTTCGCTGTTGCACGAATGGGCAGGTCCGTCCGGTTTAGTACCACGCCCCCACGGAAGACTGGAAGTTCACTTATGGTGATGGTGAGTGAGGTGGCCGGGGAACACGTTATTAAAAGATGGCACAAAACATCTGCTGTCGGTGTTGCAAATATCCGTGGGCGGCGGTTATCACTTAACATCAGGTGAACCGCCAGCTCGTTTGCCACTCTCTCGCATTAAAATTCTCCCCGCTGGGAGAAGGCGGTGCCAGGCCGAAGAAGCAGACGCGCTGCCCCGTCGGCCCTGTAGTCCCGGGACTAGACTCATAGAATAGGACTAAGATATCCCCTGCCTGTCGTAGAAGGCGACTTGAACGGGACGTTGGGCTCATAGACTAGCGATAGTGCGAAGCGCCCTTGCTACATGCAAGATGGCGGGCGGATCCCGTAGTCTCTCCAAACAGGTACAGAAGGTAACCATATAACCCTGTCATGTGGTTACCTTCTGTACCTGGTTGGAGTGAGAGGTGACAGGGTTATCTTTTGAAGATTTCCCCCTCGAAAAAAACACGGCCTCACCCACAGGGCCACGAAGCACGTAGGACTACCCCTCACCATCGAGTGGGTGGTAGTAGTGGGCTGTAAATGAAACGCACTGCCTTAAAAATACAATAAAAAACAAATATGTGTATTTTTGTCTTAATAGTGAGATTTTTGTCAGTGTAAAGATAAGCCGTTTTGCTCGGTAGCTAGTGCGTCGGGCGCTTATCTAGGAGGATGCAAGGTTCAAGTCCTCGCAGTGTCGGAAAAATTATCGTCCATTTTTCCAAAAAAAAAAAAAGAACCAATTTAAATAATTTAATTTTCCTCAGTTCAGATAATAGCACTATGAAACTTACTATCGCCAAAAAATTAGACCCCCCCCCCCCCCCTCCATCTCAAAATCGTACAAAGGTGCGCGTGTGTGCGTGCGTGCGCGTTTTTGTTCGAGTTTTGATGACTTGACCTGATAATTTCTTGTATTTGCGCGATTACGCATTATAAATGAAACAAATTTTACGGATTTATCGCGTTTATATTTAATTTTAATTCCCGACGTTTCGAACCCTTTACAGCGTTCATGGTCACTAAATTACAAAATAAACGCGATAAATCCGTAAAATTAGTTTCACTCATGACTCGACTTGAATTTGTCATGTTCGCAGACTACCTGATAACGAGGCACCTGTACGAGGACGCGCGCCGCCACTCGCCCGGCGCCCTCACCGACCTGCGATCGGCGCTCGTCAACAACACGATCTTCGCAACGCTCGCCGCCCGCCACGGCTTCCACAAGTGCGTTCAACACCCGCTACTTGTACAACCGACAAATTAAGTAAAGCAACGGCCTGCACGTGTGCCGCCGTCTCCAAACCCGTGGGTTCTGGCTAGCCCACCGGTTCTGCGTCAGATGAAGCTTTAATGGTCTCGGGACTGAAAGCATAAACATCAGTTAATACAAGATACAAGATACAAGTGTGCCGCCGGGTTATCACTTAACATCAGGTGAATCGCCAGCTCGTTTGCCACTTTCTAACATTAAAAAAATATCACCCGTCCCGTAGAAAGACGTGTATTATTGTATCGAACAAAGTTTACAAACCGGAGCGGATACAATCAGGCCGCGTGCAATTCGAACCCACGGATTTAACGACTTCGCCAAAGTGTGGTACTTTGTGTGTTGTTCAACATTGATCTTAATTCCGTGCCTTTCTTGCCTTCTTCTAGATACTTCCGCCATATGTCGCCCGGCCTGAACGAGGTGCTGACGAAGTACGTCAAGATTCAGGAGGAGAACGGTCACTCTATAAGCGAGGAGGTTGGTATCAGAAGTCTAGCTTCTTAGAAGTGTAACTTTAGACACGTAAGAAGTGTCACTTCAGAAGTGTAACTTCTCAGCAGTATAACATCCCAGAAGTGTAACCTGCCACTGCTTATATATCATATTTAAATATATCATTTTTAATTATTTTTAAAACGAAGCATCATTCGGGGAGAGTATTCTTGTAACGTTTATAAAATAGAAGAACTTTTCTTGTCAGACAGTGATTCCTCGTTTTACCTAAACAAAATGGAATACATACGATTGTACTCAAAGTGACACAGCTATCTTGGAAAGTAAAAGGCTATTATTTTCTAAAAATAAGTTTTAAGACCAAAACAGAAGAAAATCTAGATCAAAACTCAATCGACGTTTCCGAGAAAGATTTTTGTCGTTTGTTGAATATTTTTTTTTATGGGGAAAAAGCGAAGTAAACGAGCAGGAGGCCCACCCGGTGGTAAGCGATCACCGCCGCCCATGGACACCTACTTGCAACACCAGAGGGTTCCAAATGCGTTGCCGGCCTTTTAGGAAGGAGCAATTAATTCCGTGTCACTAATTCGACCACCAGCATTACCTGATATACGAAGACGAGATGGAGCAAGCGGAGGACGTCGAAGTGCCGAAGGCGCTGGGCGACCTGTTCGAGTCCGTGGCGGGCGCCATTTTCTTGGACTCTGGTGGGTGGCGTTCGGCCCTGTAGTACCGGGCTCATAGAATAGGACTAAGGTAAAAGGCGACTAAAAGTGGACACGGATTGGCAGCACCTCGAAGTGGCCTCGAGCTGCCGCTATATGGAGGGAAGGTTTATCCTTCTCCGAGGCGTGCTCAGCCCCGGTGCCGAGTTAATTTATTTACTATTTTTAAACTTCATGCACAAAACACAGTACATAGGCGGACTGAATCCTCACAGAGTTTACTACCAGTCAACCTTAGGGTGATACTGAGATGTTGAGGTAGGTGTACAAACATATAAAAGAAAAAAATCCTTACTAATCCTTACTAATTTTGTAAACGCGAAAGTTTGTATGTATGGATGGATGTTTGTTACTCTTTCACGCAAAAACTACGGAATAGATTTTAATGAAATTTAACAATAATATAGCTTATGCATCAGAATAACACATAGGCCATAATTTATAAAGATATTGTGTTAATTGTCCAAAATATAGGTAATGATAAGTGTCAACTAAATAGGCAAAAATTCAGCCATCTGCTAGATATTCTGTTGTATAATAAAAAAATCATTGATAATTCCCTATGGCCGCGCGGGCGAATCCGCTGTTAACAGCTAGTAATACATAATTTTTAAACATACATAGCTTTTCGCCCGCGTTGAAGCTCTTAAATAAACAGCTTTTCTAACTTTTTTTAAAAAACATGTATATCTTATCCTTTAAACGAGCAATTCTTGTATATATATATATATATATAATTGGAATCTCGGAAACGGCACCAGCGATTTTCATGAAATTTTGTATGTGCGTAGATTCGGGGGCGAAAAATCGATCTGACTAGGTTTCATTTTTAGAAAATGTCGTTTTATCCCTGTTTTCAGGGAATGAAAAATATTATTCGAATACGACGTTAAATTTCACCGAAAAAAAAAAGTTATAATAGCTCGGTCGGTAATCGGGCGGCCGCTAACAAACAGCACGAAACAGAAGGCCGTGGTTCGTATCACGATCATTTACACACTTATTTTTTTTTACTTTTTTTTTCGATTCCAGATCATTGCTTTCTTTATCTTTTATTTTTTGTCGATTTGTTTTTTGTTATTTTTTTCCCTTTTTTTTTAAAGTTCTTTCTTTTGTGAAAAACACCAGTTCATATTTTCTTATTATTAAATCGGTATGATCGAAACATATTATGCATATTTCATTACTTAGTAATTTATATCTAAATGTAATTTCCAAAATACACGATTTACCAAAAAAAAAAACCGAGCGAAGCTCGGCCGTCCAGGTACTTTTTTTTTAAAGAAAGATATTTTCAACCCTGTACAACACTTTTTCCAATTTAAAAATAGCCTATCTCCTTTCTTAGGCTCTAGACTATCCGTGTACCAAATTTTATCGGTTCAGTAGTTTTGGCGTGAAAGCGAGACAGACAGACAGAGTTGCTTTCGCATTTATAATATTATTGGATTATGAATCGTTTGATACAGTCTTTCCTTTCACGCAGGCATGTCCCTGGGCGCAGTGTGGCGTTCCTACGTAAGGCTGATGGGCGCTGAGCTGGAGGCGTTCAGCGCGGCGGCGCCGAAGTCGCCCGTGCGGGAGCTCCTCGAGGCGGAGCCGGACACCGCCAAGTTCGGGTGGGCGCCGTTTTGCAATATCGACCCCGCGGTTTCGGTTGATCACCCGCGTTTTGCAATATCGACCCCGCGGTTTTGGTTGATCACCCGCGTTTTGCAATTTCGACCCCGCGGTTTTGGTTGATGTCCCGCGTTTTGCAATTTCGACCCCGCGGTTTTGGTTGATGACCTGCGTTTTGCAATTTCGACCCCGCGGTTTCGGTTGATGACCCGCGTTTTGCAATTTCGACCCCGCGGTTTCGGTTGATGACCCGCGTTTTGCAATTTCGACCCCGCGGTTTTAGTTGATGACACGCGTTTTGCAATTTCGACCTTTACGACGCTGTGTTGATTTACCCTTACGATGCTGTGTTGCTCGACGTTTTGTAATTTTGACTTTACGATGTTACTGTCTAGTGATTTTGTTCTTCAATATTGGGTATTTTGTGATTTAAATTTTTCGATGTGACATTTTGTTTAAGGTATGCATTTTTGCCCTCAAAACGTCTGATTTTGATTTAAGGAATGTTGACTGAACTTATACAATGCCTACTCATATTTCAAAATATCGACTTCCATGTTCGTCATCGTAATTTAATGGGAGTTTTATGTTTTATAAGGTAGATAATCGTTTTGAAGTAATAATCACGGACCTTCCGTTGCGAAGCGCGACTTCGAGAAGTCTACCGCAACTATTTCTAATTTAGATTTTTTTTATTTTGCATTTAAATCGATCGAGCGGCAGACTTAAAAACGACTGTTGGATTTTATTATTCGCGTAAAGCTTATTTATTGTTTTGTGTGACTTGGGGAAGTTGAGCTTCCGTCCCGAAGCGTGACTTCGCGAAACCTTGTTATCGACTGATTGAGATGTGGGTTTTTATTATTCGCATTGCTCAAATATCGCTTCGTTCGACGCGGGGAAGTCGGGCTTCCGACGTGAACCGCAACTTCGCGGAGTCTTGTTATCGACTGATTGAGATGTGGGATTTTATTATTGCTGCATTACTTATCTATCGCTTCGTGTGACGCGGGGAAGTCGTGCTTCCGACGCGAAGCCTTCTTATCGACTGATTGAGAGGTGGGATTTTATTGTTCGCGTATTGCTTATATATCGCTTCGTGTGACGCGGGGAAGTCGAGATTCCGTCGCGAAGCCTTACCGCAACTATTTCTGATTGTTTTTTTTTTATTTTGCATTTAAATCGATCGAGTGGTGGACTTACTATCCACTATGAGATTTTATTATTCCTGCATTACTCATCCATCGCTTCGTTTAACGCGGGGAAGTGGGGTTTCGCGTCGCGAAGCGCGACTCCGCGAAGAGCGACTTCGCGAAGCGCGACTTCGCGAAGTAAGACTCGCGTCCGCTCCGCAGCAAGCCGGAGCGCCTGGCGGACGGGCGGCGGGTGCGCGTGTGCGTGGAGGTGTTCGGGCGCGGCGCGTTCAAGGGCGTCGGCCGCAACTACCGCATCGCGAAGGGAACGGCGGCCCGCTGTGCGCTTCGCCACTTGCGCGTGCACCGGCCTCGCTAGCATCTTACCTGCCCACGCCGCTCCGTCGCCTCTCTATATGGACACTTTTATAGCACAGAGAATCTATGGAGTGGCCGCTGGTTTTGTTCACTCTATCGCTGCGTTGAATGCGTACGCTAGATGTGAAGGACGCCCTCGCTACTGCATTGCTTTTTGGCGCTTTTGTATAGTGAGACCTTTTGCGGTCTCCACTCTGTCGTTAAATAGGCAGTAAAGGACAAAAAAAAAACAATGGCTACTCCATTTTTATTCTTCACTCTATTGTTTTTAAGAACGTTGCTCGCTGCTCCGTCGGTTTTTTTTGTACTTTTGTATATGGAAACTTTAATAACACAAAAACAATGGAGTTGTCATTGTTCTTCTCCACTCTGTCGTTTCGGAGAACGCCTTCACTACTCCATTGCTTTTTTGCGCTTTTGTATATAAAGCCTCTAAAGGCACAAAAAAAGAAGACAATGGAGTAGCCATTTTTTATGCGTGTGTTGCGCAAATCAATGGGCGGCGGTCAGCTTACATCAGGTGGACCGCCTTCTTGCTTGCCGCCTTCTCACATAAAAAAGTTGGCCCCGATTACCGCGCTCGCCAGACGAAACGCGAAAGTATAGCAATTCGAAAGTATATAATTTTACGGTGGTAGGGCCACGCAGCAACCCCGGCTGTTGCACGATTGAGCAGGCCCGTCCGGGTAAGTACCACGACCTCACGGAAGACCGGCGTAAAGTGGAAGTATAATACTTTCGCGTTTCGTCTGGTGAGTGAGGTGGCCGGAGCCCAATTTTCAAAAGGTTGTCAACGCATCTCGAACCCTCAGGTGTAGCAGATGTACATGGGCGGCGGTATTCACTTAACATCAGGTGAACCGTCTGCTAGCTTGATAACTTCACATAAAAAAAAATCTGTGCGGTCGTGGTACTTCCCCGGAGGGATCTCCCCATTCGTGCCCTTTATCTATGCCTATTATGTATAGGTTACGAATGACCTAATGATTTTCTTGTGCGCACACGTATACATTTTACCGTCGTCGGTGTATAAAAGAGCATTGTGAATCACAACAGCTATCGTGAAAAATGCAACTACAATAATATTTTGTATCGAAACTTTGTAATAAAAGAATAAATTATTTAAACCTTTAACGTCGAATTTATTCGTGTTCCCCTCTAGTTGGTAAATTTTTACAAATGTCTTAACTTGTGTGTGTCATTACTGTGAGGCGATATACTCTACAGATGTCACTAAGTGACGGGCAGGTAAAGTAAAGTAACAGCCTATAAATGTCCCACTGCTGGGCAAAGGTCTCCTCTATAAAGAGGGTGTCAGGGCATAGTCCACCAAGTGGCCCCACTGCGGATTGGCGGACTTCACATATCTTCGAAATATTTCTTTTTGTTATTATTTCGAAAATATGCAGGTTTCCTCACCGTTTTCCTTCACCGCTGAGCACGTGATAAGTCGGCACTTAAAATTACCAATTTCATTGGTGCCGGCATCGGGGGTGAGCTGTCACGGCTCAAGTGACAGGTAACGCGTTTTAATAATTATTTTTATTATTTTTATAATTCAAATATGGCCAGCACTCACTGCCGTCCCACCTGACGGTAAGCGCGCTCAGTGAACACATTCGCACCTATTCGCTCTTGCCTTGAAGACGCCTACGTTATAATCGGACGGAAAGACGGACGCCGGTGGGTTGTTCCATTCCTTAGCTGTACGGATGATGAATGACTTACCGAGTACCGATTCGCTTTGTTCTTGAGCGAGGAACTTCGACAGCATAAGGGTTGGAAGCTTAGGAATGTCGAAAATATATCGATATATCGATAGTTTATGAAATATATCGATATTTTTAGCCGATATATTCTGATCCGTTATATCGATATAGAAATCGTGTCAAGAACGATTTTTTTTTTCAAATTCGAATCCGGGACAGAGTCCGTACATTCAAGTATATAAATACTTGGCATGCGTTGTTGTTGGACGACAGGGACAAAAAAGAATATATCGAAATATTTATAAATATCGATATATGGATATATTTGTTCATTCGGCATCCCTAGTAGAGCCCCGCCTAACGCCTTGTCGTCCGATGATAGAATGGGGCGGGAGGAATCAGATTGTGCAACTTCAACGCACACTCCAAAATGCATCCTGTAGAAAATCGAGAAGCTACTCTGGCTCAATGCTAGTGAGGTTGGTTTTAACCAAGTTACGGTCACCTATGAGGCTGATATATGTGATTTTTCGAGCAGCATTTAGTCTAGTATGCCTTTTTGGTAAGGTAGTAACGGCCTGTCCCACTGCTGGGCAAAGCTCTTCTGTACACAGGGCATTGGTTCATTACTCTTGAAGTATCTACGAAACATAACATTTCTATTGGGTTGTGGGTTCGATTCCCACCCGGGACAAGTGTTTGTGTGACCCACAGATAAGTTTAATACGGAACCTATCGATAGTAAATCATAAATGCTCCCAGAAACCTGTATCAAAGAAGCATCGAAGAAACGAACAGCTGGTTTTCAAAAGGAAATTGCATCGCTATATTATAAAATTGATTTGAATTTGGAACTTGGAATTAGAATTAAATTTTTAAATATGCGTATCGATTCTCATTATTGGCCTTATAGACACTTGTCACACATATCTAAATTGAACCCGCATAACAGAACTAGGTGTAAATTGTATTGTAAGTTATTTTTAATTTAAAGTATTTTAGGATTAATTTTTTATTGCTAGTCACTGTACTCAAGATGACATTATAAATTGTAAATTTTGCAACTAAACAAAAACCTTCCGCACTGCGGGATTCGAACCTGGGTCTTGTGGTTTCGCGCCCAAACGCTTTACCAACTTAGCTATGCGGCCAAGGACATCATTGCATAGTATACAACGCCTTGCAAAGAACATTCGTTGAGCATTTATAACGAGAGATGTCACCAATGCTCTGGGACCTACTTTAATATTTTTTTAAATTGTTTTTTTTTGTATTTGTTGTTATAGCGGCTACAGAAATACATTATCTGTGAACATTACAACTGTCTGACTATCACGATTCATGATATACGGCCTGGTGACAGACGGGCGACCAGACAGACAAACAGCGTAGTCCTAGTATAGGGTACCGTTTTTGCACGGAACCCTAAAAACTAGTAGGTAACTTATGTCTTGAAGACAGACTACCTATTGCCACAATTTGAGTCGTTTGGAAAAGTTCAGATGGGATTGATGGAGGCTTGATCAGTTTTGTAAATAAAAAAAATGGTTTAGTTTCGTAGATGTTACCTAATAATGAAAGTCCTCTTGAGAAATAAAAGAAGCCTGTATAAAGACTTAATTGATTTTAACATGTAATAAAGATTCACGCTTTTGGTATTTTAATTGTTTGAAAAAATTCTAGAAACTGTGTTTTGTCAGTAATAATTCCTTTTACTTAGTTTTGATCTATGTCATTTCAGGTGATACATGAAAGATTGTTTAATGTATCTAATCACACTACTTCGTGGCATATTTTAGGTTATGTTGGTCAAATGTAAGTGAATAAAAACAATAATGACAAATAACAATAATTACACCAAATTATTTATTAAAGAACAATAAATAATCCCTAATAAAGTCGACCGTTGACAAGTTTCAAGCTAAATCTTCAAAAATCTTCTCGACTTTACTGTTCAGACCTGCAACAGTTAGATTTGCTCTTATTGTTCGTCGAAACTCGTAGGTGTTATATTTTGTCTATAGTTTTTTTTTCTGTATAAAAATGTTAATGGCATAGTCTGTAGTTACAGACGATACAACAAAAAAAATATACATAGTCAAGCGACGTTCGGAATGTTGATGCTTAATCTGTAATTGAAATCGTTTATTTATTTACATTATTTTTGATATTTACTTTCTTTACTATTTATATTAAGTCGATTTTAGGTATGTAAAAAGTTGGCAAGCGAGCAGACAGTCAGTGTGATGCTGAGTAATTACCGCCGCCACATTACCACATCTGAGGTGTTGCAGACAGCTTTTCCAACTGTTAAAAAAGAAGTTCCCGGTAACCTTACCGCAATACGTAAGTATACTATAGTATACTATACACTATGTATACTGTATTTTTCTTTTATAAATTTCCTTGGATGCAGGCCGCTTCAAACAGATCGAAGTGGAAATCCCTAGAGGAGGCCTATTTCAGCAGTGGACGCCTACAGGCTGAAATGATGATGATGATGAAATTTCCTTGTGTGCATTAAAGTATATTCTAGTCTATTTTAAATAAAAACAGCGCTTACCTTCGAAGAACTTTTCAAATTGATCGTTGAATTTCTCGACAGCTGTAAAAAAACATATTGATTGGTCAAACGTCTTCTCCGCCGTTCTCTTTATTATCCACTATACTCTACATCAGGTATTATATGTCCTAAGTATTATTTTTGTGTTATTGACTTTTTTACGTGAGTAGATGGCAACCGTGCTGGCGTTTCACCCGATGTTAAGTGATAATCGGTGCCCATTGACATTTGCAATACCCGTAGGGTTGCAAATGTGTTGCCACCTTATAATAAAGGGCATCGGCTCACTCACCAGACGAAACGCAGAAGTAGAAAGGTTTTGTCTCCATTAGAGTAAACCTAGTGAGCTAGTTGACAATAACTTTTTAATTTAACCAAAAAACTGCCCTCAAATATCTCACTCATTAGACATTTTTTATTTGGTTTTGAGGATTTCCCCTAACGCATCTGTTAAGAGACCTCAGGGGTCCAAGGTCCAATAGCAAGGGTTTATCTTGGCTAAGTTTTCTAAAGATACTTCTACTACATTACTACATATCTTACCAATAATATGCGGTATTAATTAATAAGAAAAAGTAAAGTAACAGCCTATACATGTCCCCACTGCTGGGCAAAGGCCTCCTCTATATAGAGGGGGCCTTTATACAGGGCATAGTCCACCACTGCGGATTGGCGGACTTCACATATCTTCGAAATATTTTTTTTGTTATTATTTTGAAAGAAAACGAAACCTGCATTCGTCAGGATGTTTTCCTTCACCATGATAAGTCGGCACTTTCATTGGTGCCGGCAGCGGGGATCGAACTCAGGTTGTTCGAGTATATTGAATTAAAGGCGAGCGCCCGAACACTGAGCAGCTATCACGGCTATACATATAATTAATAATATAGGCGATATATCAATTAATAATTTTAACAAAAGTATGTTGTATGTTGTTAACATCGAAATATTAGTATTTGCGATATGACGTCGTTCGGCATTACTTCTATTCTTAGATATAAGTGAAAGATATTGTTAAAGGTTATGGCTCTTACCGTCAAACACGGCGTGGAGTTGCTTTATAACACTGGCCACTTCATCTGTGGGCCATAAACGAGGTATATTAACTGTTATAGGTGTGCCGAATTTTCAACCGAACCGAATATTCGGCTGAATAATTCTAAGAAATCTTTAATAAACAATCAAAAGAATGATGGATTCTTTAGAGAACATTGTGACGAAAAAAATTGATTATTTTAAGTAAGACCTGAATTATGTTGTGTTTTTAACGGATAGATAATGATTACATAAGTTAGTCATATTTGCAGCGTAAAAAATTTATTTCGCTAGTGTGAGATAATTTGGTGAAAAAAAGTTAAAAATTATGTTTAAACTAACACTGTTTAAAAATCTATCATTTCTGAACTGGACATAGAGTCTATATCACTGATTTCTTGTGTATGTCTACGTGGATACTACAATTTTCACATAAATAATAAATATTGTGACTTATATAGTCACGGAATGGCATAAAAAATGTAATGAGCAATAACACACGATTTGGCTGATTTTAAATAGAAAAATATACATACCTGAAGTCTTGGTGATGATTCCTTTGGCTGAAAACAAACGAATACAATTATTAATGCAAGTGGACCCAAAAGTTTTTACATATGCGTAAAATATAATAATTTATTTTGTCCGAAATTGAAGGCTATTACCAAATTGTCTAGGCAAACATCGTATATCAATCTTTATTAAAGCAATAAATATGACTCATGTCCATATTGCGAGGCGACTAAAAATTTGTTCCGCTTTACATTATATGACATACTAGCGACCCGCCCCAGTTTCGCACGGGTGCAATGTATTGTACATATAAACCTTCCTCTTGAATCACTCTATCTATTAAAAAAAAACCGCATCAAGATCCGTTGCGGAGTTTTACAGATGTTATAATACATAGGGAAAGACAGACAGCGGGACGACTTTGTTTTATACTATGTAGTGAGTGAATTTGACGAATGATATTGAACGGAAAGAGATAGCAGTCTATGGAATTGCACTTTGCAGTCTAATCTCAGTGCGCTAGTGTCTTATCTGTGTCGTCTTTGTATATAACATAAACACTACACATTAAGTGTGAACGATGTGTCATATTATCGTTGTTATTATAATTTTAATTAAAAGAATAAAAATGCGGCAATTTAAATTTAGAATAGAACAGATAAAGAGTAGCCACAAGGGTTCATTAAAATGACCCTTACTTATCGGGCACTTATTAAATTGGAGAGTATGAGGTAGTTTCATGTTAATTAATACCATTCACGCGTCCTATTTGTTTTGATGTTCCCGAGGTTTCGAATACCTTAGTTTTTATTGGTCAATCAAAATAAAACGTAGTGGGATCGAACCCACCCCCTGTGACGCCGGAGGTCAGGTGTCTTGACAACGGCGTTACGGACTGTAATTGTTTTATTTGAACATTATTTTTTTTTTTCCGAAAACATTGCCCTCACTGTAGGATAACATTATCCTGTGTTGTAATAGCGTGTCACAAACTATAAATTTCACGTGGACAAGTAACTAAATGCGAAACAACTATCCATGGGTCACACAAATACTTGTCCCGTGTGGGAATCGAACCCACGGCCCCCAACGCCGAAGTCAGTGTCTTGACAACGGCGTTACGGACTGTAATTGTTTGTTTTATTTGAACATTATTCGAGTCGATACAAAAAATAACTTCTATTACCATCCGGTCGATACGAGTTAGAAAGTTTTTCGGTCATGACGCAGAAAATGTTCTGCAATTAACCAGAGAACTTATTCTCGCCCCGCATAATTTCCGGACGAACTATTTCAAGAATTGTTTTACGGTCAAAGCCATTTGCCTATGGAACGCGCTTCCTCCACAAATCCATTGCTCAAAAACGTCAAGAATATTTAAAACCGACGTTAAAAATCTGTCACTGTGTTTACACTGATTGTCACTGACGACGTTTGTATATTTATTTAGTTTATATTTTTCTCTCCTAGAATAAATAAAAAATATACACAGATATTTTTTATTTATTATATATTTTATTACTGTGTATTTATTTTATTTGCCATCGCGACAATAAATGAACACACATATAGAGGATAACTTTTTAAAATTGTATTAAAGATTTACAGTCTTTAAACATCAATATTTAACGAGTTGTCAAATTTTCCAAAACAAATAATCTTGAGAACACCCTTACGTATAAAACTTTAATGTAAAGTTCATTTGTAAAGATCACAAAGCATATGAATGGTTTGAATGAATTTAAAAGAGACAAAACATACTGTTAGAATGAGAGGCTTGTAATGCGGCGCTATGGCAACGAATGAAAAAGTCTCTGAATGTATGAGTCAGTCAGATGTAGCTGTATAGGATGTTACAAATTTTGTTTCTCTTTTACTTAATTAGTTTGTTTGAAAAATATTTTTTAATTATGGATTTTTTAACGTTGATATTTTTTTATGATTATTGGCAAGTAGCGTTAGAAGTGTGTTCATTTATTGTCGCGCGGTAAAGAAACGCTGTATAATAATATAATAATAAGTATTGTCTACTTACTGACTTTCTCCGCTATTTTCTTCGCTTGAACTACTACCTCGCCTGTGGGGAAGGTTTGCACATTATATACGAACATATTTGTAGAAGATCCGTACCTAAATCGACCTTCGCCGAGCTGGTAATAGAATAAAATTTATTTTATAATAAATTTATTATATTAGAAAATATATTAAAAATGCTCTCCTCCGTTTTTTTTTCGGTCAGTCGGTTGAAAATTGGTTCAAGAATGTATATTGCTTATAATAGATACGAAAATCTCAGTCAGGGAGACTAAATGGCTGGAGAAAACGAAGATGCGGTGTATAGAGGCGCGACGCCTTCTGCATTTGATCAATCGCCTCAGATATGGTTAGTCTGGGTCAATAGTTCGCGGGCATCTTTCATATATGTTTTCAGATGAGTTAGTCAGTTTGTCCGTAGACCATCAAGGAGCAGACTGCATTGGACCTGACAAAGGATAGTCTTCAAGCAGAGATTAGCTCTTTCCATTCGCTCTAAGACGCGCGACCGTTCGAATCGTTCAATCGGTCATCCATTCCATTCGCTCACAGAGGTACGTACCGAAGTCCTTAGTTAGTTTCGCTATGACCTCGGCGATGTCAGCTGTAAGAAAAGGGGGTACATAGTATATACTCAATAAGTCGCCACATCGGACAGTAATTTGCGTCACAGGTAAAATAATATTAAAATAAATTTTCAGCTCAGCTCGGAAGCACAGCATATCTGTGTATAACTAGTAAACACAAACAACCTTTTAAAGTTTTTTTTTTTTATATGGAAAAAAGTGGCAAACGAGTTGACGGGTCACCTGATGTTAAATGAATACCGCTGCCAATGGACATTTGCAACACCCGTAGGGCTGCAAATGTGTACCTCACTCACCACACGAAACGCAGAAGTGTAACATTTCCACTTTACACTGGTCTTCTGTGAGGCCGTGGTACTTACCCGGACGAACCTGCCCATTCGTGCAACAGTGCGTGGCCCTGCCACAGAAAAACAATGCACTAGGTAGTTGGCGCTTTAAATGGAGAAGTCGTCTCCATTTAAAGCGCCAACTACCTAAAAAGTTGGGTTGAAAAGATGAGGTGAGAATAGGAAGAAAGAATAGATTTTGGACTCACCTGTGGGGGAAGCCGATGAGTCCGACGCCGCCACCTCCGACGCGTGGTAGATCACCAAGCCGAGCTGGTGGAATGGGTCACGATAAAATCAGAGAAAGAAAGAAAGAAAGATACGTTTATTTGTTTATACCATAGTACAATTTAGGTCTTAAAGGCTAAGGATCTTTACGTTCTACCATTTCTGGTGTACAAATATTTCATTTTACATTAAAAACGTGCAAAAAAAAAACGAAACAAAAGTAAATATAATCTAGGAATAATTACTATTTTGCTCATCAAAAAGTTAAACAGACTTCGCTTAAACAATTTTAAATTCAAAGTTTTTAATCTATTTGGTAATTTATCATATATCCTAATGGCCACACAATAACAGTTTTTGCTGAACATTGTGGTACGATGGAGAGGCATGTCTAGTTTGTTCGAGAATTTCAGATAGTCAGGTCTGTGGCGTAAGCACTGGCTGGACAGGGAGTGCTACGAGCCGTAGAGGACTCGTAGCACAGGATCAAAGGAGGGTCAAAGCTTTTATTAATTTGATCAAAGCTGTTGCGTCTCAATATATTTATTGTAACATTTTGTATGTAAGACATAATCTTAATTATTATCTAAAGAATAGTGACAGACATAAAATGAATACTAGAAATAAGGACAAATTATTTAACCATTGTTTCGTCTACAAATATTAAGTCCGCCACTTGACCAAGTTAAATGACCAGAATCAAAAGTAAACTTATGACTAAAGCATATTATACCATTGCGGAATATCTCGACGAGGCCACTTTGTGGAGTTCATACTTTTGATACTCACGTAGGCTTAAATAACAATATTCTTATATATATGTTATATTGTAATCTGATCTTTTTGTTTATAGAAAAAAGGGCAACTGTTTGTTGAGTTTCTTGCAGTTCTCTTCTCAACAGAAACTACCTCCCGAACCGGTGGTAACTAATTACGAACTTATGTATTACTTAATTATGTTAAAATTGAGAAAGAACGCGCAAGCGTCTATTTGTATAAGGATAGTTTGAATTCGAAATTTGAATTTATTATTGCAGTTTCTTCTTCTTTTTAATCGACTTCAAAAAAGGAGGTTTCTCGATTCGACTGTCTATATATTTTTTTATGTGTTCACGGATAACTTCGTCGTTTATGAACCGATTTTGTTTATTCTTTTTTTATTGGAAAGGAAATATCCCAAGGGTGGTACCATGATAAGGAAACCTGGATCTGATGATAGCATCCCAGATAAATCGAGGGTAATCCTCAAATGTTATAGGTATTAAAAATGTTTTTTAAACGGTTTGAAGTAGGTTTCTTTTTGTTATCAATAATTATTATTTTTTTTTATGCGAAAAGTTGTCAAACGAGCAGACGGTTCACCTGATGTTAAGTGAATACCCATGGACGTCTGCCACACCTGAAGGTTACAGATGCGTTGACAACCTTTTGATAATTGGGTTCCGGCTACCTCACTCACCAGACGAAACGCGAAAGTATTTGTCACACTTCCACTTTACGCTGGTCTTCTGTGAGGTCGTGGTACTTACCCGGACGGGCCTGCCCATTCGTGCAACAGCCGAGGCTGCAGCGTGGCCCTACCACCGTTAAATTCTGCCTTTATCCCACTTAAATGAGGTCGGTACATATAAATCATGTTCGTCAATGGCTTGGTTTTCTTCAACCAGCCGCCTGCCTGATGTAACCCTTTCAGGACCAATACCCAGATCCGAACAAAATATCTGAGGCGACACAAATGTTTGTCCAATATGCTTATCGAACCCGGCGCTGAAGCAAATAGCTTAGCAACTAGGCCATCTAGCCATCAACGTCCATAAAAAATATTTATTTATTTATTTATTTTCAAGTGTCATTTTAGTTGCCAAAAGCATGGTTAAACTCTTTGAATTGATGATTGTGATCATAAAGAAGATCATTTTGGTCAATACAAAGAGTTTAACACAAATCTTTATGGCAACACAAATTAAATTTGAAAAGCCACTTGACACCTGATCAGTTAACATCTACGACGATCAGTGTTTCAGAAACCGGGCGTAATACTGGGTTAAAGTGGAGGAGTCTGAGAGTCTGCTATGTGGTGGAACGATATAAAACGGTTGCACTTATATAAATGGTGGAAGGGTGTAAATTGTCACGGGTCTCAAATGGTATAGTTATGCGATATTCGTTTAATTTTTATTGGATGCGGCAAAAGAACAGGTAGCCCCTTCGACATTGGGCGGCCATCTTTTTCAAAGTGCAATGACTCCATCGACAGTGATCCCATTATGGGACAAAAAGGAAAAAGTAAATTGACAAAAGCAGAGACCGGGCTTCCTATTCCTCCAATCAGATTTAAGGATCCAACAGTCTTCGCTGTGCAGTGGAGAAGTTAAACACCGTGAGGGGAACCGGTTATTATCGAAATAATAACAAAAAGAGAACTATTTCAGTAGGTCTCGTGGTAGACTATGCCTTACACAGAAGAGGCCGTTGCCCAGTAGTGGGACATGTATGTCACAAAACTAAGGGAGTGACTTTATTCATAAATAAATAAATACTTTATACACACTTTAGGATATATTTTTACGCAAACTTCCCGGTCCCAAACAAAGCAACGCTTGTACTTTGGCAGCTAGAAACTGATAAACATCCTTTGTTTGTAAAGAAATAAATATTATAGATATGTAGCCGAGAGACTGGAAAAAGAAGGATAAAGCGACAGGCCTCTAGCCGCCAGGTAGCAAGGGGTGTAAAAAATCAGATGCAAAAAACAATTTTCACATAACTAAAATAAAATTTTGATGGACGCGGAGCAGTGATGCTAGGTACCTGTAGATTTCTGTCGGTTGAATCTAGTTCAATCCGTCGATTTACAAGTTCTCAAGTTAAACTTATTTTGGGTAATTAAGAAAATGTTATGGGAGTAACATTTTTACCATGCAAACGCACACAGCGATATGACCGCGATATGACTAAGTTCGTTGCTAAGCAACATCATCAACTTCGCGGTATTACCATGGCACCCTAAGTAATTAAAATTCTAAAATACATTTTATTCAAACCTAAATCTTAAGCGGCTGGATTTGCCTCGAACTTAGTCCTCATAACACATTGTAAAATTTGCCAGTATAAAAGCGAGGAAGGTTATTTGTGTATAGATTGATTTTAATCTCGATCAATATCTACAAATGAAACTAGTTTCATTATTTAATGACTGATTGCTAAATAACGACAAATAATAATTTAATTATGTTAATAGGAACGTTACTAATGTTGAAGAAGCAGGAGTGTAATAATTAGAGCTATATATTTTTATTTGAATTTAGATCAATACAACCAATAAGATATTATGTTTTTCTATGGTTAGTTATTATAATGCCTACATAGATAAAAGATTTCAGTATTGAATGACTAATTGAAATTAATACAAAATTTCCGTTCAATTACGTAGGGGTAGAAACTTTCTCAATGTTGTAGAATCAGATATATAATAAATACAGCTAATTGTTTTAATTATTTGAATTGATTAATTTTATAACTTGAAAATTGATTAAAATTATTTATTAAAGCTAAAATACAATTTATGCAAAGTGAAAACACCGACTAAAGAGCGCTGAAAGACAATCTCGTTATATCCTGATCAGAGGCTAGGGCCTGCCCTGATATTAAGTCTTGAAACAGGCACACTTATATGATGCTCATCTCAGTCCGCATTTTCGCCTTTCCAGACTCAGAGACAAAACTACTATAGTGAGATGAAGGCGTAAACCATTACTCACCATCAGAAAAACCAATCCCGTTGTCAGCCTCATTTTCACGGATGTATTATTTAGACTAGATATTGTTTGAGAACAAAACTTATAGTTGGAACACACTGTAGAATGCTCGATCGTATTATGCTATAAATATAAATACGATGTTGAATATATCTCACGTTTGCTAATAAATTGACAATAATAATTAACCAATAAAGCGCTATCATATACACGATTGATTAAAATGTCCATTTCGTGCCTAACTTATCGCTGTATATTGAAGATTCTTTAATTTAACAGGGTGGACAGGGCCGGATTTAGGGGAGGGGAACCGTTGCGGCAGCCCCGGGGCCTCGACAAAGGAGACACAATACACAAGACACAATACACAGATTATATTCATATGTTCGTTAAATAAAAGAATCTATACTTGGTTTCGCAATAAATTTCGTATTGGAAAACTCGACTGAAAAAAATTGTTCATTTTATTTGGAAAATAATTTTCTCCTTTGTAGCCCTGAGGCCGCTGGAGCTCTAAATCCGGCCCTATGGGTGGATAGAGCCCGACGCTTTTCAGATTTACATTAATGTTATTAAACACAAAACTCATCGGTTAAACGGTACTATTTTAGTAAATTTATCGCGTTTTAATATAGTAGGATTTTTAAATTATCGACATTTCGAAACCTTTCGGTCGTATCATATCATCAGCGGGGGATCCCATAATTCCAAAATTAGATCCAACCTGCTATTTCGAAATAATAACAAAAAGAATATTTCGAAGATATGTGAAGTATCCGATCAGCCAATCCGCATTAGGGCAGCGTGGTGGACTATGCCCTTATACCTTCTGTGCACAGGAGGCCCTTGCCCAGCTGTGGGACATGTACAGGCTATTTCTTTACTTTTACACCGAAACTAGAACTCACGATGCCATAAGCTCCGTAGATCGCAATAAATAAATGATAAAATAATTGACGGTAGCCTGAGCTCTCTTATTTTAGGACGTGGAACGACCCAGTCAGTCCCGGGGCCATGAATGCTGGAAAAGCTAAACTAAAACGCGATAAAATCCGTAAAATTCTTTATCTAACCATGTACAATATTCTTTTTTTTTTTTTAGTTCTTTTTATCCCCTTAATTTAGGATAACATTATCCTGTGTTTTAAAGACATTTTACAAACATAAATTTCACGTGGAAAACACGCGGACCCAGATGCGAAACAACTATTTGTGGGTCACACAAATAGTTGCCCGTGTGGGAATCGAACCCACGACGCCCGACGCCGAAGCCAATACCTTGGCAACAACACACGGAGTCATCTACTATTTACTATTCGCATAAAAACATACGCTAACATTTAACTGTGGTAGGGCCACGCAGCTTGGCTGTTGCACGAATGGGCAGGCTCGTCCGGGTAAGTACCACAACCCAACAGACGATCGGCGGGAAGTGGAAGTATAAACTATTTTCGCGTTTCGTCTGGTGAGTGAGGTAGCCGGGGCCCAATTTTCTAACGGTGGTTAACGCATCTGGAACCCTCGTGTGTAGGAGATGTCCAATGGCGGCGGTATTTACTTAACATCAGGAGAACCGCCCGCTCGCCTGGCAACTTTTCACATAAAAAAAACGATGACGAGAGTTTTTGTTTTACCAATTATTTCTTAACCAAATTATTCACAACGATGTAGATGCTTTATGTCTCGTCTATAAATTAAATTATATGTGTAACAGGCCCCATGTTGTTTTTAATGTACCCACCCGCCTACAAAAATATAATATGCTTCTAATACTTTTAACCGTGTTAATCTTTTAGTTTTTATATACATTTCGGTGGTAGGGCCACGCAACACTATTGCACGAATAGGCGGGTCCGTCCGGGTAAGTACCACAACCTAACAGAAAACCGGCGTAAAGTAGAAGTGTTACACTTTTGTGTTTCGTCCGGTGAGTGAGGTAGCCGGGGCCCACTTTATTATCATCTAAATTTTAATAAACATTATTGTTCTGTACAAAGTGCAAAATAAAATGTCAAGCGACCCTGCTCGCCGACTGAACGCCCCCCCCCCCCCCCCCCATTCAAAAAGCTATGTTAGACACTTGAACTTATCGGAGATGAAGCTAAAGGGATATGATTTTTGCAACTTTGCAAATATTTTTTGATGTGGTAGGGACACGCAACAGCGTTAGCTGTTGCACGAATTGGCAGGTCCACCCGGGTAAGTATCACGACCTCACAGAAGAGAGTGAGGTCTAACTGTTGTACGTCTGCATTTCGTCAAGTTTGAGAGGTAGCCGGCACTTCATTAAAAGCTCGTAACGCATCTGCAACCCTGCGGGTGTTGCAACTGTCATCGTTTGTGTTATCACTTAACATCAAGTGAACCCCCAGCTCTTGTCATTTACATAAAAAAAATATATTTCACGGTTGTTCAAATGTGGAAAAGTAGTTTAACTATTCAGATTAAAGTGTTTTTCTGCTTTCGTAAAGCGAGTGCAGTTTGAAAACCCGGGGGAACTCTATTTGGGGCTCCCACATAACCCTGACCGGCCCTCGATCTGGTGGCAGAGGATCCATAAAGGATTTTACCCACCAAAAAGGCGTAGGCTAGTCAATAAAGTGCTGACGCACACCTTATCGTGTGACATGACGTAAATTCGATTACTTCCCGGCCTTAAGAATTTTATAGCTAAAATGTTGACACGATTTTCTTTCATGTAGTTATTAAATTTATCGTTGTATACACGTGTATGGCTGGAATCAGACAATAAAGAGGCGAAACCCGAGTGATCATAGACCAAAGGAGTTTTGTGCAGCCTCTGAGAATAGCCGTGATAGCTCAGTGTCGGGGCGCTCGCCTTTAATTCAATATACTCGAGCAACCTGAGTTCGATCCCCGGTGCCGGCACCAATGAAATTGATAATTTCAAGTGCTGACTTACGTGCACAGCGGTGAAGGAAAACATCGTGAGGAAACCTGCATATTGTCCGTTTGTCTCGAAAACAACAATTACGTTGGTACAATTCCTTTACAGGAACGCAGAACGGTTACCGCTGAGTGGTATGTCACTGTTTGTTGGCCATAGCCAAAAAAAATCGCATCATCTTACATCACGATAATGCGAGCTCCCATACGGCTCGGAAGACAAATGATTTTTTGCAGCAGGAAAACTTTGAGCTGATCAGCCATCTTCGATTTCTTCACATTCCCTAGAATGAAAGATTTATTACGCGGTCAACAGTTTGAAGACCCCGAAGCAGCTGTGGAACCGTACATATCAGCCGTTTGGCAACATCAATCTGGAGTTATTGTTTCAATGATTGGTTTGCACGAATGGAAAAGTGCTAAAACTAAAAGATTAAGTTGATCGGAGAATACTTCGAAAAACAATAAAATACAATTTAGACAATAAAATACAAAAGTACTTTATTCTTTTTATTTTTCATGATATTAAATGAAAGTAGTCTATTTCTTCGAATATTGTTTACTTTTGAAGTAAAACTGCTATACGCACACATAAGAAACTTACGCTCTGTTTTTGAAACACCCGTCATCGTAGAAGTTAACTAATCTGCTGAGTCAAATGGCTTTTCAAATCTTATCCTTTAAAGTAGCAATTCTTATATATATATATATATATATATATATATATATATATATATATATATATATATATATATACAAGAATTGCTACTTTATATATATATATATATATATATATATAATCGGAATCTCGGAAACGGCTCCAGCGATTTTCATGAAATTTAGTATGTGCGTAGATTTGGGGGCGAAAAATCGATCTAGCTTGGTTTCATTTTTAGAAAATGTCCTTTTATCCCTGTTTTTAGGGAATGAAAGATATCATTCGAATATGACGGTAAATTTCGCCGCAAAAGAAAATGTTATAATAGCTCGGTCGGTAATCGGGCGGCCCCAAAACAGACTGCCGTGGGTCGTGTCACGATCATTAACACACTCTTTTTTTTTTTACTTTTTTTTCGATTCCTGATCACTGCTTTCTTTATTTGTTACTTTTTGTTGATCCAGATGATTTTGTTATTTTAAAGTTGTTTCTTTTGTGAAAAACACCACTTCATAATATTTTCTTATTATTAGGTCGGTAAGATTGAAAAATACTATGCATGTTTCATTATTCAGTAATTTGTATCTAAATGTAATTTCCAAAATACACGATTTATAAAAAAAAAACGGTCAAGGTCCTCCGGGTACTTTCATTTAAGTTGCCAAAGGGATGGCTAAACTCACTGAATTGATCAGAATTATCTTCTCAATGATCAGAATGAATAAGTATCATGTGACGTGATTTACGCGTGTTCAATGAAATTAATTTATGCCGTCTTGTGTTGTGGACGTCATTCGCCAGAGACGAAGCCATTCGCCATAACTAAAGTTACCGACATTGCGCGCAGAATTAGCACGCCGAAGTGGAAGTGGGCCGGCCATGTCTCCAGACATACTGGTCGCTGGAGCCTACACGTGTTAGAGTGGACACCGCGGTTGGGAAAACGAAGTGTGGGACGGCCTGCAGCACGATGGACTGACGTCTTAAGAAAGGTGGCGGATGGCGGATGGATGCGGGCTGCCCAGGAGCGGGACAGTTGGCACACTTTGGGGCCGATATTGATTGATTGTCTTGTGTCGTTCCTACCGGTAATAATGCAAGATTAACATGACGCAATCCACTTAAACCGACTTCAAAAAAGAGGAGGTTCTCATTTCGAGTGTTTTTTTTAAATGTTTGTTACCTCAGAACTTTTCGGCTGAGTGAACCGCTTTTGATGATTCTTTATATAATATTGTTAATGTTCTTTTTATATTCTCTTTTTTTATTGTTTAGCATTTAAATTTATTGTACAGTCTATTTTTTCTTGGCAATAAACGATTATTATGACGTATTTCATCTGCAAGTGGGATGTATTTTTGTATTTTTTCTGTATATTTCTTTCTTATATTTTCAGAATTTGGTATGGATATGTCTATGAGATATGTAACTTTTTCGCCTTTTAGTGTTAGAGTAATATCTGGTCTATTATTGGTGTTGGTAGTTTTATCGGTTATTATATCGCGGTCCCAATAAAGTTTTGCTTGTCCGTTATTTAGTATATTTTAAGGTTTATATTTATAGGTTAGGTTTATATATATGGTTCTGCTGTATCTAATAATTTGTATTTGTGCTAATTTTCGATGTATTTGTTTAGCTACATTATTATGCCGTTCTGTGTATTGTTTAGTTGCCAAAAATGAGCAGCCTCCTGTAATGTGGTCTATTGTCTCTTGATTAATGTTACATAACCTGCATTTATCCGATACTACTGCTGGATTCTTAATTATGTACTTCTGATAATTTTTGGTGTTTATAATTTGATCTTGAATTGCAATCATAAAACCTTCTGTTTCTTTGTATATACTTCCCTTACTGAGCCATACGTTTGATGCTTCTTTATCTATATATTCTTGATATAGTTGATTAGGGTATTTTCCATGAAGAGATTTCTGTTTCCAATTATTATTTTTTTGTTCATCTGTGGCCATTTGTTCAGTAACCATATTACTGTCATTTAATTTTAAAGGTGTGCCTGAAGTAGATATTAGTGTGAGAGCTCTGTTATTTGCTTTTCTGTGTATGTATGTGCGAATATTGTATATCTGTTTATTGTCAAGATTTTTTATATCGACTACGCCCCTCCCTCCTAATCTTCTCCCTAAGTTAAACCGTTCTATTGCCGAATGGATGTGGTGTATGTTATGTTTATTACAAGTAGTTTGCGTGAGTCTATTTAGTCTATCCAAGTCTGTTGCTGTCCACTTTAAGATTCCGAAAGAATATGTTAAAACTGGCACTGGATATGTATTAATTGCCGTAATTGTATTCCTTCCCGTCAATTCTGTCTTTAGTATTTTATTGAGCCTGTCCATGTATTTTTAGTTAACTCTTCTTTTATCTTATTATGGTCTAATCCTGTACTTTGTGAATATCCTAAATATTTGTATGTATCTGTTAATTCCATATTATCTATTTGTAGGTTACGTTGTGTTTGTAATATATATATGGATCAGTGTCGTAGTGTTTCCTTTTATTATACTGCTTATTTTGCATTTATCAATTCCAAAGTTCATTTTAATATCTGTACAAAATTTTTCTGTGGCCTTTAAAAGATTATTTATTTGTAGTTTGCTGGCTGCATATAATTTTATATCCATGTAAAGTAGATGTGTAATTTTTGTATCTGTATCTTTGTTTAATACATAGCCCTGTTCACTTCTATTTAATATGCGGGATAGTCGATTTAACGCCAGACAAAACCATAGTGGACTTAATTAGTCCCCTTGAAATATACCACGGGCTATCTTTAAAGGACTAGAACGAATCGTTCCCGTCGGTGTGTTAATATTAAATATAGTTGTCCATCTTTGCATGGTGTGGTGCAGAAATTCTATTAATTTACTGTCTATTTTATATATGTTTAGAACCTGTGCTAACCAAGAATGAGGAACACTATCAAATGCCTTTTGATAGTCGATATACGCGAAGTGTAGATTTCTGTGTGTTTGTTTAACTTGATTTTGTATTTCTGTATCTATTACTAATTGTTCTTTACAGCCTCTTGAACCTTTTCTACAGCCTTTCTGCTCTTCAGCTATAATATTTTTTTAAATAAGATGCGAGTTGATTTTATGTGAGATGATATATGTGAGTAATTTGTAAAGTGTTGGTAGGCATGTTATTGGGCGGTATTTAGCTGGGTTTACCGTATCCTCATCCTTTGGTATTAGATAAGTGTTTCCCATGATAAGAAACTTGGGTAAACTGCGTGGATCTTGAATGCTAGTATTAAAAGTATTGGCTATGTATTCGTGAGTTGAAGTAAAATATTTTAACCAGTAATTTTGAATTTTATCCGGTCCAGGTGTTTTCCAATTTAGCGTCCTTTTGATTGCTATTTCTATATCTATTTTGTGTATTGTAATTTCTGGCATAGGATCAAAATGTTTTGTTGCTTCAAGTTCTTCCTTAATCCATTCTGCTTTACTATTATGTTCCACAGGTTTTGACCATATATTTTCGTAGAATGTTTGTACTTCTGTTATGCTAGGTGGTTTTTTTATTGTTGGCTTTTCACTGAAATTTCTATAAAATGCTTTCTGGTTATTGCTAAACATTATATTGTCTCTGTGTCTTTGGTTAGATTTTTTATATCGTCGTAGTCTTTTCGCCAATGCTTGCATTTTTTGGGTTTTATTGTCAAGGCTGTCTATTGCTTCTTGTGTATTTTTTTTTCTAATTTCTTTTGGTTTTTTATTGATAGCTTCTCCTTAATATACTGATTTAATCTTCCTATCTTTTCTGAGGGCTGCAATCTTAACTTCCAGTCGTCTCTCCCATGCTGGTTTATTGATACTTCTTTTAATTGTTTCTTTTTCGATACTTTTATTGTTGTTACGCTTTTCTGTGTTATTGTGTATTGATGTTGCCGTTAATGCTGCGCAGTAAATTATGTCATGTATTTGTTCTATGGATGGTTGTATAATATTTATTAGTTCGTTATTTATCAGTTGATTGAGCATGTTTACTGTTGTTTTTGACTTACGCGTAATCTTTAGTTTTGGCAGTACAGGTCGTGTAAGGGGATCAGTTCCTACATATTTTGTCAAATGTTCATTAAATAGATGATTACACTTTTGTAGAGTATCAATATCATGGTTTTCTGGTTCAGTGTCTAATGCCTGTGTTTGCGTTGTAACATTTTGTACGTGTGATAATAGTGTAGATGTATGTAATATGGATATTCCTTTTGTTTGTGTAATTGGCATTTGGATACCTAATATTTGAAGTACATTGGTTTCTCCAGTTGGTTGGGTTAGATTCGTTTCTTGAATGTCTGTATTTGTCTGGTAAGATTTACGATTTGTGTCTGTTGTGGTTAAGTGACTGGTTTGATTAGATATTGAAATCTTAATTGAGTCTTAATTATTTCTCTGTCTGTGAGAGAAATTCTGTTATTGCGGTGTATAACCCGTATCTGGTCTGCTAATCGTTGTTGTGAAACGATGTTATGTAGGTCGGGGTAGATAGAGATGAATTTATTGTAAAGTTCTGGGCGATATCCAGTGAGATCAGTTTCGCAATGTGTGACTGTGTAGTAGCAACGGAGTAGTTGTTTGTTAATTTAATCACTCCATTTCATCCGTTGCCGTTGTCTGCCAGCGAGAGTGGTTGCAGGTCACATTTCCTGCAAAGCACTTCTCGCCGTTTCATGTATAGTTTTCTGTGTAGGTGTGTGTGTTGTATTATTATTATTATTATTCTTTTTTTTATTTGAAAGCTGATGCTTCCCATGTGGTTGCACATTAATTTAATTGGTAAAGCATCTCGGGCTCCGGAGATACTTAGGGGAATCCTGAAAATCAATTATAAAATTATATTTGAGGTAGATTTTAAAATAAAAGAACACTTATTGTGGCATAGCTATAATAGTTGGACATATGCTGCCGCGACACTTTTTGTAAATAATGATGTGTTCTGCAAATTCTTAGTACATTATTATATTCTATTCTCAATAGTTTTCGCAGCGCAGGCTATGTAAAGAATATTTTATATAAGATTTGTACATTTTGGGTTACATTATTGAAGTTTTAGTAAGGATCCCTAGTTTTTTTAAAATATAATATAGCCTATGTCATCCGGGGATAATGTGGCGTCCCAACAGTGAAGAAATTTTCAAATCGGCTCAGTAGTTTCAGAGCCTATTCAATGCATACAAACAACAATCAAATCTTTCCTCTTACATGGTAGGCGGTGTTCGGTTCTGTTTTGTAGTGGACTGTATTTTATCGGGCTGATAGATTGAACCTTCGGAGCCTATTCATGTACACACATTAGGTACACAACACCGAATTCAAAATACGCACCTTGATATCGCTTCTTGAGGCACGTAGACAACAGCGGCAGCGGCGATCGTCCCGACATAAATATGAACAGTTCCAGCTTCCGATAACTCTTATTATTAGTCTATGCACCAATATTTAACACCAAACAAGGATAAATTTACACAATTATATTTTATATTTAACCGTCCGAAAAGTTCGTGGCCGCCGATCACCGAGACAGGAGCAGAAGAGCTCCCATTGGTCCACACATTTCGCTAGTGAACGCGTCACTTGCGTTCCGTTGAGTACCCCGACTTGCGCCAATTTTAAATTAGGCGAGAGCACATAATGCGTGTACAGGCGGAGTGGGTGGTGTTAAGTTTTATTTTCGTTACTGAATTTCTTGATGATGAATTAATTTTAAAAATATTAAAAATGACAAAACACCTAATTTTAATACTTTCAAAACATACGTTAAGCGTTTTTACATGTGCTATTTTTCGCCATTATTCAAATTAGAACGTTTACAAGCACATTGCATCAGCGATTGCTGCTGATTGAAGGTCGTGAAATTAATTCCAAACATCGCCTTTTTAGTTAAGATTTCATTTGCCTTTACCTTGTACGTGTTCTCATGTATGATACGGGCGATAATAGTTGATGCAAGGTGTATACATTAGAATAATACATAGGCTGCAATTTATAAAGATCTTGACGTCGGAATTACACGAAAATAATGTATCGTGCAATTTTTTGTCGTTAACAGTTCTAAATAAAAGTCCACGACAGCATATTTTATGTGGAATTGTATATAAATAACATACATCATGTCGTTACAACCGGGACAATAAATGAACACACATATACAGGACAACTTTTAAAAATTGTACTAAACATTTGCATTCTTTAAACATCAATATTTACAGAGTTATTCAATTTTCGCCGACGACCCATCGGAGCCACCGCTGTTGTTGGCGTAACTAGAAGATGCACTTTGAGCTCCCGCCGAGGTTCCCTTGGAGCCACCGCTGTTGTTGGCGTAACTAGATGATGCGCTTTGAGCTCCCGCCGAGGTTCCCTTGGAGCCACCGCTGTTGTTGGCGTAACTAGATGATGCGCTTTGAGCTCCCGCCGAGGTTCCCTTGGAGCCACCGCTGTTGTTGGCGTAACTAGATGATGCGCTTTGAGCTCCCGCCGAGGTTCCCTTGGAGCCACCGCTGTTGTTGGCGTAACTAGATGATGCGCTTTGAGCTCCCGCCGAGGTTCCCTTGGAGCCACCGCTGTTGTTGGCGTAACTAGATGATGCGCTTTGAGCTCCCGCCGAGGTTCCCTTGGAGCCACCGCTGTTGTTGGCGTAACTAGATGATGCGCTTTGAGCTCCCGCCGAGGTTCCCTTGGAGCCACCGCTGTTGTTGGCGTAACTAGATGATGCGCTTTGAGCTCCCGCCGAGGTTCCCTTGGAGCCACCGCTGTTGTTGGCGTAACTAGATGATGCGCTTTGAGCTCCCGCCGAGGTTCCCTTGGAGCCACCGCTGTTGTTGGCGTAACTAGATGATGCGCTTTGAGCTCCCGCCGAGGTTCCCTTGGAGCCACCGCTGTTGTTGGCGTAACTAGATGATGCGCTTTGAGCTCCCGCCGAGGTTCCCTTGGAGCCACCGCTGTTGTTCGCGTAACTAGATGATGCGCTTTGAGCTCCCGCCGAGGTTCCCTTGGAGCCACCGCTGTTGTTGGCGTAACTAGATGATGCGCTTTGAGCTCCCGCCGAGGTTCCCTTGGAGCCACCGCTGTTGTTGGCGTAACTAGATGATGCGCTTTGAGCTCCCGCCGAGGTTCCCTTGGAGCCACCGCTGTTGTTGGCGTAACTAGATGATGCGCTTTGAGCTCCCGCCGAGGTTCCCTTGGAGCCACCGCTGTTGTTGGCGTAACTAGATGATGCGCTTTGAGCTCCCGCCGAGGTTCCCTTGGAGCCACCGCTGTTGTTGGCGTAACTAGATGATGCGCTTTGAGCTCCCGCCGAGGTTCCCTTGGAGCCACCGCTGTTGTTGGCGTAACTAGATGATGCGCTTTGAGCTCCCGCCGAGGTTCCCTTGGAGCCACCGCTGTTGTTGGCGTAACTAGATGATGCGCTTTGAGCTCCCGCCGAGGTACCCTTGGAGCCACCGCTGTTGTTGGCGTAACTAGATGATGCGCTTTGAGCTCCCGCCGAGGTTCCCTTGGAGCCACCGCTGTTGTTGGCGTAACTAGATGATGCGCTTTGAGCTCCCGCCGAGGTTCCCTTGGAGCCACCGCTGTTGTTGGCGTAACTAGATGATGCGCTTTGAGCTCCCGCCGAGGTTCCCTTGGAGCCACCGCTGTTGTTGGCGTAACTAGATGATGCGCTTTGAGCTCCCGCCGAGGTTCCCTTGGAGCCACCGCTGTTGTTGGCGTAACTAGATGATGCGCTTTGAGCTCCCGCCGAGGTACCCTTGGAGCCACCGCTGTTGTTGGCGTAACTAGATGATGCGCTTTGAGCTCCCGCCGAGGTTCCCTTGGAGCCACCGCTGTTGTTGGCGTAACTAGATGATGCGCTTTGAGCTCCCGCCGAGGTTCCCTTGGAGCCACCGCTGTTGTTGGCGTAACTAGATGATGCGCTTTGAGCTCCCGCCGAGGTTCCCTTGGAGCCACCGCTGTTGTTGGCGTAACTAGATGATGCGCTTTGAGCTCCCGCCGAGGTTCCCTTGGAGCCACCGCTGTTGTTGGCGTAACTAGATGATGCGCTTTGAGCTCCCGCCGAGGTTCCCTTGGAGCCACCGCTGTTGTTGGCGTAACTAGATGATGCGCTTTGAGCTCCCGCCGAGGTTCCCTTGGAGCCACCGCTGTTGTTGGCGTAACTAGATGATGCGCTTTGAGCTCCCGCCGAGGTTCCCTTGGAGCCACCGCTGTTGTTGGCGTAACTAGATGATGCGCTTTGAGCTCCCGCCGAGGTTCCCTTGGAGCCACCGCTGTTGTTGGCGTAACTAGATGATGCGCTTTGAGCTCCCGCCGAGGTTCCCTTGGAGCCACCGCTGTTGTTGGCGTAACTAGATGATGCGCTTTGAGCTCCCGCCGAGGTTCCCTTGGAGCCACCGCTGTTGTTGGCGTAACTAGATGATGCGCTTTGAGCTCCCGCCGAGGTTCCCTTGGAGCCACCGCTGTTGTTGGCGTAACTAGATGATGCGCTTTGAGATCCCGCCGAGGTTCCCTTGGAGCCACCGCTGTTGTTGGCGTAACTAGATGATGCGCTTTGAGCTCCCGCCGAGGTTCCCTTGGAGCCACCGCTGTTGTTGGCGTAACTAGATGATGCGCTTTGAGCTCCCGCCGAGGTTCCCTTGGAGCCACCGCTGTTGTTGGCGTAACTAGATGATGCGCTTTGAGCTCCCGCCGAGGTTCCCTTGGAGCCACCGCTGTTGTTGGCGTAACTAGATGATGCGCTTTGAGCTCCCGCCGAAGACCCATCGGAGCCACCGCTGTTGTTGGCGTAACTAGATGATGCGCTTTGAGCTCCCGCCGAAGACCCATCGGAGCCACCGTTGTTGTTGGCGTAACTAGATGATGCGCTTTGAGCTCCCGCCGTGGACCCCTTGGAGCCACCGCTGTTGTTGGCGTAACTAGATGATGCGCTTTGAGCTCCCGCCGAGGTTCCCTTGGATCCACCGCTGTTGTTGGCGTAACTAGATGATGCGCTTTGAGCTCCCGCCGAGGTTCCCTTGGAGCCACCGCTGTTGTTGGCGTAACTAGATGATGCGCTTTGAGCTCCCGCCGAGGTTCCCTTGGAGCCACCGCTGTTGTTGGCGTAACTAGATGATGCGCTTTGAGCTCCCGCCGAGGTTCCCTTGGAGCCACCGTTGTTGTTGGCGTAACTAGATGATGCGCTTTGAGCTCCCGCCGAGGTTCCCTTGGAGCCACCGTTGTTGTTGGCGTAACTAGATGATGCGCTTTGAGCTCCCGCCGAAGACCCATCGGAGCCACCGCTGTTGTTGGCATAACTAGATGATGCACTTTGAGCTCCCGCCGTGGACCCCTTGGAGCCGCCCGCTGTTGTCGGCGTAACTAGATGATGCGCTTTGAGCTCCCGCCGAGGTTCCCTTGGAGCCACCGCTGTTGTTGGCGTAACTAGATGATGCGCTTTGAGCTCCCGCTGAGGTTCCCTTGGAGCCACCGCTGTTGTTGGCGTAACTAGATGATGCGCTTTGAGCTCCCGCCGAGGTTCCCTTGGAGCCACCGCTGTTGTTGGCGTAACTAGATGATGCGCTTTGAGCTCCCGCCGAAGACCCATCGGAGCCACCGCTGTTGTTGGCGTAACTAGATGATGCGCTTTGAGCTCCCGCCGAAGACCCATCGGAGCCACCGTTGTTGTTGGCGTAACTAGATGATGCGCTTTGAGCTCCCGCCGAAGAACCATCGGAGCCACCGCTGTTGTTGGCATAACTAGATGATGCACTTTGAGCTCCCGCCGTGGACCCCTTGGAGCCACCACTGTTTGTCGGCGTAACTAGATGATGCGCTTTGAGCTCCCGCCGAGGTTCCCTTGGAGCCACCGCTGTTGTTGGCGTAACTAGATGATGCGCTTTGAGCTCCCGCCGAGGTTCCCTTGGAGCCACCGCTGTTGTTGGCGTAACTAGATGATGCGCTTTGAGCTCCCGCCGAGGTTCCCTTGGAGCCACCGCTGTTGTTGGCGTAACTAGATGATGCGCTTTGAGCTCCCGCCGAGGTTCCCTTGGAGCCACCGCTGTTGTTGGCGTAACTAGATGATGCGCTTTGAGCTCCCGCCGAGGTTCCCTTGGAGCCACCGCTGTTGTTGGCGTAACTAGATGATGCGCTTTGAGCTCCCGCCGAGGTTCCCTTGGAGCCACCGCTGTTGTTGGCGTAACTAGATGATGCGCTTTGAGCTCCCGCCGAGGTTCCCTTGGAGCCACCACTGTTGTTGGCGTAACTAGATGATGCGCTTTGAGCTCCCGCCGAGGTTCCCTTGGAGCCACCGCTGTCGTTGGCGTAACTAGATGATGCGCTTTGAGCTCCCGCCGAGGTTCCCTTGGAGCCACCGCTGTTGTTGGCGTAACTAGATGATGCGCTTTGAGCTCCCGCCGAGGTTCCCTTGGAGCCACCGCTGTTGTTGGCGTAACTAGATGATGCGCTTTGAGCTCCCGCCGAGGTTCCCTTGGAGACCGCTGTTGTTGGCATAACTAGATGATGCGCTTTGAGCTCCCGCCGAAGACCCATCGGAGCCACCGCTGTTGTTGGCGTAACTAGATGATGCGCTTTCAGCTCCCGCCGAAGACCCATCGGAGCCACCGTTTGTTGTTGGCGTAACTAGATGATGCGCTTTGAGCTCCCGCCGAAGACCCATCGGAGCCACCGCTGTTGTTGGCATAACTAGATGATGCACTTTGAGCTCCCGCCGTGGACCCCTTGGAGCCACCACTGTTGTCGGCGTAACTAGATGATGCGCTTTGAGCTCCCGCCGAGGTACCCTTGGAGCCACCGCTGTTGTTGGCGTAACTAGATGATGCGCTTTGAGCTCCCGCCGAGGTTCCCTTGGAGCCACCGCTGTTGTTGGCGTAACTAGATGATGCGCTTTGAGCTCCCGCCGAGGTTCCCTTGGAGCCACCGCTGTTGTTGGCGTAACTAGATGATGCGCTTTGAGCTCCCGCCGAGGTTCCCTTGGAGCCACCGCTGTTGTTGGCGTAACTAGATGATGCGCTTTGAGCTCCCGCCGAGGTTCCCTTGGAGCCACCGTTGTTGTTGGCGTAACTAGATGATGCGCTTTGAGCTCCCGCCGAGGTTCCCTTGGAGCCACCGTTGTTGTTGGCGTTAACTAGATGATGCGCTTTGAGCTCCCGCCGAAGACCCATCGGAGCCACCGCTGTTGTTGGCATAACTAGATGATGCACTTTGAGCTCCCGCCGTGGACCCCTTGGAGCCACCGCTGTTGTCGGCGTAACTAGATGATGCGCTTTGAGCTCCCGCCGAGGTTCCCTTGGAGCCACCGCTGTTGTTGGCGTAACTAGATGATGCGCTTTGAGCTCCCGCTGAGGTTCCCTTGGAGCCACCGCTGTTGTTGGCGTAACTAGATGATGCGCTTTGAGCTCCCGCCGAGGTTCCCTTGGAGCCACCGCTGTTGTTGGCGTAACTAGATGATGCGCTTTGAGCTCCCGCCGAAGACCCATCGGAGCCACCGCTGTTGTTGGCGTAACTAGATGATGCGCTTTGAGCTCCCGCCGAAGACCCATCGGAGCCACCATTGTTGTTGGCGTAACTAGATGATGCGCTTTGAGCTCCCGCCGAAGAACCATCGGAGCCACCGCTGTTGTTGGCATAACTAGATGATGCACTTTGAGCTCCCGCCGTGGACCCCTTGGAGCCACCACTGTTGTCGGCGTAACTAGATGATGCGCTTTGAGCTCCCGCCGAGGTTCCCTTGGAGCCACCGCTGTTGTTGGCGTAACTAGATGATGCGCTTTGAGCTCCCGCCGAGGTTCCCTTGGAGCCACCGCTGTTGTTGTTGGCGTAACTAGATGATGCGCTTTGAGCTCCCGCCGAGGTTCCCTTGGAGCCACCGCTGTTGTTGGCGTAACTAGATGATGCGCTTTGAGCTCCCGCCGAGGTTCCCTTGGAGCCACCGCTGTTGTTGGCGTAGCTAGATGATGCGCTTTGAGCTCCCGCCGAGGTTCCCTTGGAGCCACCGCTGTTGTTGGCGTAACTAGATGATGCGCTTTGAGCTCCCGCCGAGGTTCCCTTGGAGCCACCGCTGTTGTTGGCGTAACTAGATGATGCGCTTTGAGCTCCCGCCGAGGTTCCCTTGGAGCCACCGCTGTTGTTCGGCGTAACTAGATGATGCGCTTTGAGCTCCCGCCGAGGTTCCCTTGGAGCCACCGCTGTTGTTGGCGTAACTAGATGATGCGCTTTGAGCTCCCGCCGAGGTTCCCTTGGAGCCACCGCTGTTGTTGGCGTAACTAGATGATGCGCTTTGAGCTCCCGCCGAGGTTCCCTTGGAGCCACCGCTGTTGTTGGCGTAACTAGATGATGCGCTTTGAGCTCCCGCCGAGGCTTCCCTTGGAGCCACCGCTGTTGTTGGCGTAACTAGATGATGCGCTTTGAGCTCCCGCCGAGGTTCCCTTGGAGCCACCGCTGTTGTTGGCGTAACTAGATGATGCGCTTTGAGCTCCCGCCGAGGTTCCCTTGGAGCCACCGCTGTTGTTGGCGTAACTAGATGATGCGCTTTGAGCTCCCGCCGAGGTTCCCTTGGAGCCACCGCTGTTGTTGGCGTAGCTAGATGATGCGCTTTGAGCTCCCGCCGAGGTTCCCTTGGAGCCACCGCTGTTGTTGGCGTAACTAGATGATGCGCTTTGAGCTCCCGCCGAGGTTCCCTTGGAGCCACCGCTGTTGTTGGCGTAACTAGATGATGCGCTTTGAGCTCCCGCCGAGGTTCCCTTGGAGCCACCACTGTTGTCGGCGTAACTAGATGATGCGCTTTGAGCTCCCGCCGAGGTTCCCTTGGAGCCACCGCTGTTGTTGGCGTAACTAGATGATGCGCTTTGAGCTCCCGCCGAGGTTCCCTTGGAGCCACCGCTGTTGTTGGCGTAACTAGATGATGCGCTTTGAGCTCCCGCCGAGGTTCCCTTGGAGCCACCGCTGTTGTTGGCGTAACTAGATGATGCGCTTTGAGCTCCCGCCGAAGACCCATCGGAGCCACCGCTGTTGTTGGCGTAACTAGATGATGCGCTTTCAGCTCCCGCCGAAGACCCATCGGAGCCACCGTTGTTGTTGGCGTAACTAGATGATGCGCTTTGAGCTCCCGCCGAAGACCCATCGGAGCCACCGCTGTTGTTGGCATAACTAGATGATGCACTTTGAGCTCCCGCCGTGGACCCCTTGGAGCCACCACTGTTGTCGGCGTAACTAGATGATGCGCTTTGAGCTCCCGCCGAGGTACCCTTGGAGCCACCGCTGTTGTTGGCGTAACTAGATGATGCGCTTTGAGCTCCCGCCGAGGTTCCCTTGGAGCCACCGCTGTTGTTGGCGTAACTAGATGATGCGCTTTGAGCTCCCGCCGAGGTTCCCTTGGAGCCACCCGCTGTTGTTGGCGTAACTAGATGATGCGCTTTGAGCTCCCGCCGAGGTTCCCTTGGAGCCACCGCTGTTGTTGGCGTAACTAGATGATGCGCTTTGAGCTCCCGCCGAGGTTCCCTTGGAGCCACCGCTGTTGTTGGCGTAACTAGATGATGCGCTTTGAGCTCCCGCCGAGGTTCCCTTGGAGCCACCGCTGTTGTTGGCGTAACTAGATGATGCGCTTTGAGCTCCCGCCGAGGACCCATCGGAGCCACCGCTGTTGTTGGCGTAACTAGATGATGCGCTTTGAGCTCCCGCCGAGACCCATCGGAGCCACCGTTGTTGTTGGCGTAACTAGATGATGCGCTTTGAGCTCCCGCCGAAGACCCATAGGAGCCACCGCTGTTGTTGGCATAACTAGATGATGCACTTTGAGCTCCCGCCGTGGACCCCTTGGAGCCACCACTGTTGTTGGCGTAACTAGATGATGCGCTTTGAGCTCCCGCCGAAGACCCATCGGAGCCACCGCTGTTGTTGGCGTAACTAGATGATGCGCTTTGAGCTCCCGCCGAAGACCCATCGGAGCCACCGCTGTTGTTGGCGTAACTAGATGATGCGCTTTGAGCTCCCGCTGAAGACCCATCGGAGCCACCGTTGTTGTTGGCGTAACTAGATGATGCGCTTTGAGCTCCCGCCGAAGACCCATCGGAGCCACCGCTGTTGTTGGCGTAACTAGATGATGCGCTTTGAGCTCCCGCCGAGGTTCCCTTGGAGCCACCGCTGTTGTTGGCGTAAGTAGATGCTGCACTTTGAGCTCCCGCCGAAGACCCATCGGAGCCACCGCTGTTGTTCGCGTAACTAGATGATGCGCTTTGAGCTCCCGCCGAAGACCCATCGGAGCCACCGCTGTTGTTGGGGGTAACTAGATGATGCGCTTTGAGCTCCCGCCGAGGTTCCCTTGGAGCCACCGCTGTTGTTGGCGTAACTAGATGATGCGCTTTGAGCTCCCGCCGAAGTTCCCTTGGAGCCACCGTTGTTGTTCGCGTAACTAGACGATGCGCTTTGAGCTCCCGCCGAGGTTCCCTTGGAGCCACCGCTGTTGTTAGCGTAACTAGATGATGCGCTTTGAGCTCCCGCCGAAGACCCATCGGAGTCACCGCTGTTGTTGGCATAACTAGATGATGCGCTTTGAGCTCCCGCCGAGGTTCCCTTGGAGCCACTGCTGTTGTTGGCATAACTAGATGATGCGCTTTGAGCTCCCGCCGAAGACCCATCGGAGTCACCGCTGTTGTTGGCATAACTAGATGATGCGCTTTGAGCTCCCGCCAAGGTTCCCTTGGAGCCACCGCTGTTGTTCGCGTAACTAGATGATGCGCTTTGAGCTCCCGCCGAGGTTCCCTTGGAGCCACCGCTGTTGTTGGCGTAAGTAGATGATGCGCTTTGAGCTCCCGCCGAGGTTCCCTTGGAGCCACTGCTGTTGTTGGCGTAACTAGATGATGCGCTTTGAGCTCCCGCCGAGGTTCCCTTGGAGCCACCGCTGTTGTTGGTGTAACTAGATGATGCGCTTTGAGCTCCCGCCGAGGTTCCCTTGGAGCCACCGCTGTTGTTGGCGTAACTAGATGATGCGCTTTGAGCTCCCGCCGAGGTTCCCTTGGAGCCACCGCTGTTGTTGGCGTAACTAGATGATGCGCTTTGAGCTCCCGCCGAGGTTCCCTTGGAGCCACCGCTGTTGTTGGCGTAACTAGATGATGCGCTTTGAGCTCCCGCCGAGGTTCCCTTGGAGCCACCGCTGTTGTTCGCGTAACTAGATGATGCGCTTTGAGCTCCCGCCGAAGATCCATCGGAGCCACCGCTGTTGTTGGCGTAACTAGATGATGCGCTTTGAGCTCCCGCCGAGGTTCCCTTGGAGCCACCGCTGTTTGTTGGCGTAACTAGATGATGCGCTTTGAGCTCCCGCCGAGGTTCCCTTGGAGCCACCGCTGTTGTTGGCGTAACTAGATGATGCGCTTTGAGCTCCCGCCGAGGTTCCCTTGGAGCCACCGCTGTTGTTCGGCGTAACTAGACGATGCGCTTTGAGCTCCCGCCGAGGTTCCCTTGGAGCCACCGCTGTTGTTGGCGTAACTAGATGATGCGCTTTGAGCTCCCGCCGAAGACCCCTCGGAGTCACCGCTGTTGTTGGCGTAACTAGATGATGCGCTTTGAGCTCCCGCCGAGGTTCCCTTGGAGCCACCGCTGTTGTTGGCATAACTAGATGATGCGCTTTGAGCTCCCGCCGAAGACCCATCGGAGTCACCGCTGTTGTTGGCATAACTAGATGATGCGCTTTGAGCTCCCGCCGAGGTTCCCTTGGAGCCACCGCTGTTGTTGGCGTAACTAGATGATGCGCTTTGAGCTCCCGCCGAGGTTCCCTTGGAGCCACCGTTGTTGTTGTTGGCGTAACTAGATGATGCGCTTTGAGCTCCCGCCGAGGTTCCCTTGGAGCCACCGCTGTTGTTTGCGTAACTAGATGATGCGCTTTGAGCTCCCGCCGAGGTTCCCTTGGAGCCACCGCTGTTGTTGGCATCACTAGATGATGCGCTTTGAGCTCCCGCTGAGGTTCCCTTGGAGCCACCGCTGTTGTTGGCGTAACTAGATGATGCGCTTTGAGCTCCCGCTGAGGTTCCCTTGGAGCCACCGCTGTTGTTGGCGTAACTAGATGATGCGCTTTGAGCTCCCGCCGAAGACCCATCGGAGCCACCGCTGTTGTTGGCATAACTAGATGATGCGCTTTGAGCTCCCGCCGAGGTTCCCTTGGAGCCACCGCTGTTGTTGGCGTAACTAGATGATGCGCTTTGAGCTCCCGCCGAGGTTCCCTTGGAGCCACCGCTGTTGTTCGGCGTAACTAGATGATGCGCTTTGAGCTCCCGCCGAAGACCCATCGGAGCCACCGTTGTTGTCGGCGTAACTAGATGATGCGCTTTGAGCTCCCGCCGAAGACCCATCGGAGCCACCGTTGTTGTTGGCGTAACTAGATGATGCGCTTTGAGCTCCCGCCGAAGACCCATCGGAGCCACCGCTGTTGTTGGCATAACTAGATGATGTACTTTGAGCTCCCGCCGAGGACCCCTTGGAGCCACCACTGTTGTCGGCGTAACTAGATGATGCGCTTTGAGCTCCCGCCGAAGACCCATCGGAGCCACCGGTGTTGTCGGCGTAACTAGATGATGCGCTTTGAGCTCCCGCCGAAGACCCATCGGAGCCACCGTTGTTGTTGGCGTAACTAGATGATGCGCTTTGAGCTCCCGCCGAAGTCCCATCGGAGCCACCGCTGTTGTTGGCATAACTAGATGACGTACTTTGAGCTCCCGCCGAGGACCCCTTGGAGCCACCACTGTTGTCGGCGTAACTAGATGATGCGCTTTGAGCTCCCGCCGAAGACCCATCGGAGCCACCGCTGTTGTTCGCGTAACTAGATGATGCGCTTTGAGCTCCCGCCGAAGACCCATCGGAGCCACCGCTGTTGTTGGGGTAACTAGATGATGCGCTTTGAGCTCCCGCCGAGGTTCCCTTGGAGCCACCGCTGTTGTTGGCGTAACTAGATGATGCGCTTTGAGCTCCCGCCGAAGTTCCCTTGGAGCCACCGTTGTTGTTCGCGTAACTAGACGATGCGCTTTGAGCTCCCGCCGAGGTTCCCTTGGAGCCACCGCTGTTGTTGGCATAACTAGATGATGCGCTTTGAGCTCCCGCCAAGGTTCCCTTGGAGCCACCGCTGTTGTTCGCGTAACTAGATGATGCGCTTTGAGCTCCCGCCGAGGTTCCCTTGGAGCCACCGCTGTTGTTGGCGTAACTAGATGATGCGCTTTGAGCTCCCGCCGAGGTTCCCTTGGAGCCACTGCTGCTGTTCGTGTAACTAGATAGTGCGCTTTGAGCTCCCGCCGAGGTTCCCTTGGAGCCACCGCTGTTGTTGGTGTAACTAGATGATGCGCTTTGAGCTCCCGCCGAGGTTCCCTTGGAGCCACCGCTGTTGTTGGCGTAACTAGATGATGCGCTTTGAGCTCCCGCCGAGGTTCCCTTGGAGCCACCGCTGTTGTTGGCGTAACTAGATGATGCGCTTTGAGCTCCCGCCGAGGTTCCCTTGGAGCCACCGCTGTTGTTCGCGTAACTAGATGATGCGCTTTGAGCTCCCGCCGAGGTTCCCTTGGAGCCACTGCTGCTGTTCGTGTAACTAGATAGTGCGCTTTGAGCTCCCGCCGAGGTTCCCTTGGAGCCACCGCTGTTGTTGGTGTAACTAGATGATGCGCTTTGAGCTCCCGCTGAGGTTCCCTTGGAGCCACCGCTGTTGTTCGCGTAACTAGATGATGCGCTTTGAGCTCCCGCCGAGGTTCCCTTGGAGCCACCGCTGTTGTTGGCGTAACTAGATGATGCGCTTTGAGCTCCCGCCGAGGTTCCCTTGGAGCCACCGCTGTTGTTCGCGTAACTAGATGATGCGCTTTGAGCTCCCGCCGAAGATCCATCGGAGCCACCGCTGTTGTTGGCGTAACTAGATGATGCGCTTTGAGCTCCCGCCGAGGTTCCCTTGGAGCCACCGCTGTTGTTGGCGTAACTAGATGATGCGCTTTGAGCTCCCGCCGAGGTTCCCTTGGAGCCACCGCTGTTGTTGGCGTAACTAGATGATGCGCTTTGAGCTCCCGCCGAGGTTCCCTTGGAGCCACCGCTGTTGTTCGCGTAACTAGACGATGCGCTTTGAGCTCCCGCCGAGGTTCCCTTGGAGCCACCGCTGTTGTTAGCGTAACTAGATGATGCGCTTTGAGCTCCCGCCGAAGACCCATCGGAGTCACCGCTGTTGTTGGCATAACTAGATGATGCGCTTTGAGCTCCCGCCGAGGTTCCCTTGGAGCCACCGCTGTTGTTGGCATAACTAGATGATGTGCTTTGAGCTCCCGCCGAAGACCCATCGGAGTCACCGCTGTTGTTGGCATAACTAGATGATGCGCTTTGAGCTCCCGCCGAGGTTCCCTTGGAGCCACCGCTGTTGTTCGCGTAACTAGATGATGCGCTTTGAGCTCCCGCCGAGGTTCCCTTGGAGCCACCGCTGTTGTTGGCGTAACTAGATGATGCGCTGTGAGCTCCCGCCGAGGTTCCCTTGGAGCCACCGCTGTTGTTGGCGTAACTAGATGATGCGCTTTGAGCTCCCGCCGAGGTTCCCTTGGAGCCACCGCTGTTGTTGGCATCACTAGATGATGCGCTTTGAGCTCCCGCTGAGGTTCCCTTGGAGCCACCGCTGTTGTTGGCGTAACTAGATGATGCGCTTTGAGCTCCCGCTGAGGTTCCCTTGGAGCCACCGCTGTTGTTGGCGTAACTAGATGATGCGCTTTGAGCTCCCGCCGAAGACCCATCGGAGCCACCGCTGTTGTTGGCATAACTAGATGATGCGCTTTGAGCTCCCGCCGAGGTTCCCTTGGAGCCACCGCTGTTGTTGGCGTAACTAGATGATGCGCTTTGAGCTCCCGCCGAGGTTCCCTTGGAGCCACCGCTGTTGTTCGCGTAACTAGATGATGCGCTTTGAGCTCCCGCCGAAGACCCATCGGAGCCACCGTTGTTGTTGGCGTAACTAGATGATGCGCTTTGAGCTCCCGCCGAAGACCCATCGGAGCCACCGTTGTTGTTGGCGTAACTAGATGATGCGCTTTGAGCTCCCGCCGAAGACCCATCGGAGCCACCGCTGTTGTTGGCATAACTAGATGATGTACTTTGAGCTCCCGCCGAGGACCCCTTGGAGCCACCACTGTTGTCGGCGTAACTAGATGATGCGCTTTGAGCTCCCGCCGAAGACCCATCGGAGCCACCGTTGTTGTCGGCGTAACTAGATGATGCGCTTTGAGCTCCCGCCGAAGACCCATCGGAGCCACCGTTGTTGTTGGCGTAACTAGATGATGCGCTTTGAGCTCCCGCCGAAGACCCATCGGAGCCACCGTTGTTGTTGGCGTAACTAGATGATGCGCTTTGAGCTCCCACCGAAGACCCATCGGAGCCACCGCTGTTGTTGGCATAACTAGATGATGCGCTTTGAGCTCCCGCCGAAGACCCATCGGAGCCACCGCTGTTGTTGGCATAACTAGATGATGCGCTTTGAGCTCCCGCCGAAGACCCATCGGAGCCACCGCTGTTGTTGGCATAACTAGATGATGCGCTTTGAGCTTCCGCCGAAGACCCATCGGAGCCACCGCTGTTGTTGGCATAACTAGATGATGCGCTTTGAGCTCCCGCCGAAGACCCATCGGAGCCACCGCTGTTGTTGGCATAACTAGATGATGCACTTTGAGCTCCCGCCGAGGACCCCTTGGAGCCACCACTGTTGTCGGCGTAACTAGATGATGCGCTTTGAGCTCCCGCCGAGGATCCCTTGGTGCCGCAGTTGACGCATGGACTCTGCAGTTCGTACACTTGCGCGTTTCCATTGTTTTGGTAGTTATATATCGTGTATTCTCCACTCGGTGGTCCATAGATGCCATCCGTGTCAGTCTCGGTTCTCGTCGTCACCCCATTGGCCGTTTGTTGCCAAGGGTAACATTTGAACCTTTGCGGCAGTGGAAAAACTGTGGGATACGGCACATCTGTGGTCAAGAAATACGCAGCTTTAAGAAACTTCTAATCTTTAATTGTTAAACGCGGATTATTGACGGTTTTCTGACAGTGATATTAAAGGCTTCTAATGTTTCCTTGTGTGTATGAGTTCAGACTATACTGGGTGAGTATTGCGAAGTCATTCAAGCCATTTTTAAAGTAAAGGCTGTCAAAGGATTCGCACGAATGAGGGAAATCGAATCGCTCAGAGCAATCGGAAGGAAACGAAGAATTAACTTCGATCGTACAAATGAAGGAAAAGGTTCTGGGTTTGGTATTTTTTCGTTCGAATTTTCATATTTATAATACGGTATAGTAAACCCAAAGCTTTCGTAGTACCCGTTTTTGTTAGTACGTTTTTATTTTAGTTATCATTTATGTTTGTGGTTTTTACCCACCCTTCTGAGTAACGCTCGAGTTCATTCATTAATTATCATCATCATTTATATTGCCTGCGGACATATATATATATATATATATATACATGTTACCGGCCAAACCCGATTTCAGGACAGTTCTAAAAACCAACTAGTTCTCCCTATACGCGATAGGAGTAACTAGTTTAGCCTTGTCCTAACTAATTTGTCCTAAGCCCGATAGGATAAACCAGTTTAGGCTAGGTACGTAATTACGACGTAATGAAACCGAACCATATTTGTAAAACCTGATAAATGGTGATGAAATTTGGATCACGTACGACAAGAACGTGCGAAAAAGTTCGTGGTCAAAGGCTGGTCAGGCTTCACAGACTCTGGCAAATCCCGGGTTATCCCGCAACAAGGTAATGCTGTGCTTATGGTGGGATTGGAAGGGCATTCAATATGAGCTGTTACCGCCAGGTGGTCCTAACCATTGATTCTGAACTTTACTACGAACAACTGTTGAAATTAAAGCAAGAAGTTGAGAGAAAGCGACCGAAATTAATCAACAGATGGGGTGTGGTTTTTCATCATGATAACGCTAGGCCTCACACATCTTTAGCCACTCAGCAAAAATTAAGAGACTTTGACTCGGAGGTGTTAATGCATTCGCCGTATAGTCCTGACCTTGCACCTTTAGATTTCCACTTGTTTAGGTCTCTTCAGAATTTTTTAGGCAGTGTCAGGTTAACATCACGAGAGGAATGCCAAAACCAGTTGTCGCGGTTTTTTTATCAGAAGCCCCGGAATTTCTATAGGAATGGGATCATGTCCCTACCTACAAGATGACAGAAAGTTATCGAACAAAATGACAACTACATACTTTAGTTCAAATGTAAATAAACTTTATTAAAAGTGTTTTAAATTTTCATATAAAATGCGAAGAAACTTTTCCCCCAACCTATTATATATACAGGGAGGCTTTTCTAAGTATATTTTTTTTTATTAAATTCTAGACATAAATAATGTTATATAAAAAAATGATAAATATTTAAAATCAATTAAGTAATTAATTACATTCATTTGAACTTATCTCAAAAAGTGCGTGATTTATGCGCAACTCGTTTATTTTACGCGCGATCATTTATAACTAACACGCACACAAGTTCGTTTCAAAAGTATACGACGCATAAATGTCGACACCTATCTATCTACATTGTGACACGTACGCAACTGTGAAGAGAACCAAGACTGGGGTATGTATGAATGACTACCGCATTGTCAACAAGTTATGTTTTTAGGGAATAGTATGGCAATTTTTTTTGAAGAAAAAAAAAAGCTTGTTTTTATTTCAATAAACGATTACACACTGCCCGGACACTGAGCCGTGATAGCTCAGTGTCCGGGCGCTCGCCTTTAATTCAATATACTCGAGCAACCTGAGTTCGATCCCCGGTGCCGGCACCAATGAAGTTTTTAACTTTAAGTGCTGACTTATCACGTGCTCGCGCGGTGAAGGAAACATCGTGAGGAAACCATGCATATTTTCGAAATAATAACAAAAAAAAATATTTCGAAGATATGTGAAGTCCGCCAATCCGCAGTGGGGCCGCGTGGTGGACTATGCCCTGATACCTTCTGTATAGAGGAGGCCTTTGCCCACATGTATAGGCTGTTACTTTACTACTTTAAACGATTATACTACCGAGTCTGAACTTTCTGTGTAAATTTGGGCACTTCTTGTAGATTCTCCCTGTATAATATATGACCGCAGAGTTTTTTGCCAGTTCTTTACTTGCAGATCTAGTTTAGTGAAACGGTGGTAGTTTTTGGCGTTCAATAAGTGCTTAAAATAAGCCTATGTTGAATAAAGAGATTTTGATTTTGACTTTGAGAGATGGATAACGGCGCGTTAAAATTAGGTATCAGATGCATCGCGATACTTACATTGGTACGGCAAAGCGCTTACTGCCGCCAAGGCCTGAAAAGCGGATGATCACTAATTAATTATTATTCTCTTAAAAATAAAGGGCGAAAACTAAAAACGAGAAAAAAATCAACCAGACTCAAAAAAACGAAAAAAATATCACATGGAATCGAGACAAAACTAAAAAAAAAAAACGCTACTTTATATTATTAGATTTTACACAATAAATATAAGTACATTAAGATGAGAAAGAAAAGATAAAACAACATATACATTAAGATGAAAAATAAATCTCCCTTACCAATAGAACCGGTGCAAAACGAATCATGGTGGTTGTAACTTGATCTGTTGCACCCGTCTAAGGTAGGTATATATGGCGAATCCCAACAATGGCCCTGGCACAACAAACAACAAACTATGTAAACAAAGTGAATGTATAACAAAAAATAAGAAATAAACAATTGCTTAGTGCACACAGGTGCGACTTAACGTTTAATTATGATCATTCGGTTTGGAAAACAAACTGTTTACTTAGTTTGTTAGTAGTCTGCTGACACAGCAGAAATATATATGAAAAAAAGTATATGTGTACTTATGTATGCACGTAAAAACTAAAAAGTTATACTTCTTCTTCTTTAGCGTAACAAAAGACAAATAACGAAACATTTTATTTCCTGTGCCAGTACTCTGTTTGTGAAACAGACATGACATGCAATTGATAATGGTTTCATTAAATAACTTGGGGTTATAGGTTATAGGTAAATGTCAAAATGGTTGCCATGGTGATACCGTGAATTCGGGTCGCTTTGCAGCCAACTTTGTCATGTCGTTTTTGGCTGTTGGTGTGCGCGCGCATCGTAAAAAAGTTTGCTCTCATAATTTTTTCCAAACGCGCCAAGAAGTATAACTCCAAAAATTGCTTCGAAATTTATAATAATAATAATAATAATGTGCTAAGCTTTTTGTGAATTGTCGTTATTTTATTTATTTATTCTAGTGTCGAGGTTTATTTATGCATATAATCATCGTATATGCTCACGCAATAAACTAGACCAGCCATTGGCATTGGTTGCAAATCAATTTATTAACATGCCCCTTTTTAACCTAGTACGAGTTGTGACTCATATAATGTGTATACGAGTGATTTGGAACAATAATTTGGGACCTAGTGAATTGGAAAAAGACCCTTGTATGAACTCTAGATTATATACTAAACTACTGACCCTGTGCCAAATCATTCAGAAAGAGAGAAAAGACAAGCTGTCAGTCAACCATCCTGTTGCAAAAAGAGATAGCCGATTGTATTCATGTTACGGTAAGCTAAGCTCTCAGTCAACCTCCATGTTTTAGACAGAGGTAGCTGATTGTACTCATGTTACGTATTTTAGCAGTAAAAGCGATTTATGCACTTGAGTAACGCAGAACTAAAACCTCATTAGTTAACCACTCACTAATATTAATAAGGTTAGCTAAATGTCAAAAAGTTGTTATTGATTGCCATGGCGACACCGTATAGTCGTAGAATGGCTCGCGTGGCGTGGGTACGAATCCCACACGAGACTAATTGTAACTAATCGATATATCGATAGATAATGGTACGGAATCCTTCGTGCGCGGGTTAGGCTCGCAATTGGCCGGTTTTTTAATATTGCCAACGCATTTACAACCCGTCAGGGATGTACAAAAGAGTGATTGTACACGTAAATGTACCGATGCTCATCACCTAACATCAGGTGCACCACCTGCCCGCTTGCCAATTTTTCACGTACCTTTTTTTTATGCGAAAAGTTGTCAAACGAGCAGACGGTTCACCTGATGTTAAGTGAATACCGCCGCCCATGGACATCTGCCACACCCGAGGGTTACAGATGCGTTGACAACCTTTTGAAAGTTGGGCTCCGGCTACCTCACTCACCAGACGAAACGCGAAAGTATTTGTCATACTTCCACTTTACGCTGGTCTTCTGTGAGGTCGTGGTACTTACCCGGACGGGCCTGCCCATTCGTGCAACAGCCGAGGCTGCTGCGTGGCCCTACCACCGTTACCTATATAAAAATAATCTTCCGAAATTTTATAATTTAAAAAAAGAAAGCGGTTATATATGTATAAGCGGAGCGGGGTGATATTGCGTGTATTTAGCATAATTAATTACGCAAAAATAAACATTTAAACGAGCTCTGTGGTCTATTTGAATTATTTGACCAATTAATTATAGGTATAACGTAAAAAATATTTGAACATCTGTTCGCACGGGGAGCAAAGATGCCTTTTATAGCGACAGTCACCGACCTGACGGTGTATGAGACGTTTTAAGGGCAAACGATGTTTGCACCTTTTTATTGGGAGGTGGTGGAAAGGTCGTGAAACAGCCAGTCTCAATATCATTATTATTATTTTTATGCGAAAAGTTGCCAAACGACCCGACGGGTAACCTGATGTTAAGTGAATAGCGTAATAATCATTATACGAGTACCATAGTACTCGTACGATATCAATACCAAAATTAATAGTGCATAATTATTTATTCTACATTATTTATATCATATCCATAACTACAAATATAGTTTTGCGTAGGTATTCCTTTTTTAAAAATAGCTCATGGAAACCGGAAGACGATGATGGCCGTGCTTTGAGCTACAACACTAAATATTATATAGTATACTAGTTGCTGCCCGCGACTACGTCTGCGTAGAGGGGTGAAAATTTAGGGTTGTATGTATTTGTATGCTGTGTCATAAAAAAATAGAAACAAAAAGTTTTATATAAAAAATAAAAAAAAAAATTTTGGGGTGGACTACCCCCTTAACATTTAGGGGGACGAAAAATAGATAGTAGCCGATTCTCAGACCTACTGAATACGCATATAAAATTTGGTAAAAATTCGGTCGAGCCGTTTCGGAGGAGTTCAAGTTCGAACCCCGTGACACGAGAATTTTATATATTAGATAGTACGCTGGCAAAACAGTACCCCTTCTTGTCACTCGGATAACAAACACTATGTTATTCAATGTAAAACAATTCTATTCTTATTAACGAAAAACAAATCCGACTTCAAATATCTCGCTGTGTTTTCATGTTGTAATCGATTTTTGGGAGTTTTTTTTTTTATTTAGAACTGGCCAGCACTTGACTGCCA